AGGTGTTGGACTTTGTTGTTCTTCTGCGTTTCAGAGCTACTGGATCAGTATCTGTGATGGTTTGATCAGTATTGGTAAGGGAAGATACCCTTTTCAGAATCTAGTCTTTCAGTGGCTAGATTCAAATCCAAATTGTAGTGTTCGTTATGTTGGGCTTAGTAGCTGGGATAAACATGTTGGCTATAGGAATGTCAGTGTATTGCCATTAACTCACAACCATATATCCTTGTGGAAGCATGTGGACTGTAACGAGTACATTTGTGAGGAGGATGGTGAAGAGGAGTTGGAAGATGAACAAACGGTTTATGAGAAATGGGGGATTGAAAATTTCCTTGAAAGTTGGGAGTTATCTGATGTTCTTTTCATTGTTGGTACAGAAGAAAGCCCTGTACCTGCTCACAAGACTATTTTGGTAGCATCTGGTAATTTTCCTTTGAGTTCATCAGAAGATGTTATCCAGCTAAAGGGGGTAACTTATCCAGTTCTCCATGCACTGCTTCAATACATTTACACAGGTCGAACACAGGTATGGCTTAAAAGTGTGGGGAAATCAGAACTGCATATCTATTGAAATCTCAAAAGCATGGGATAATTTGTATGAATATGCAAAAGATTACAAATATATGTTATTTTCTGCTACAGATGCTCGGGAATCCTTGAAAAGTACATGCTTTATTGCAAGAACCCTGTGTTTGTTATTTTTTTGCATGACATTCCTCTCTCTCTCTCTCATTATATATATAAGAAAAAACTACATGTGTGTTGTTTTTATGTGCAGTTCATCATCCTTACTATTTGATACAGACTATTATGCTAAATATGCTATCCTAGATGACTCTTTGCAGTTCTAACTTTGTTTCAGAGGTGCCAATTCTAATAGGTCTTATGGAACTGTTTGATATAGATTCCAGAACCACAACTTGGTTCCTTAAGGGCTCTAGGCTTGCAGTTTGAAGTGATTCCATTAGTGAAGCAATGCGAGGAAGCAATGGAACGATTGAAACTAAATAAAAAGTTGTTTGACTTTGGAAAAAGTGTGGAACTGTCATATCCATGCACTCGGCCACATTGTTGCACAGGCTTCCCCTTTGGAGTTCCCGTCGATGTACTGAGGCTTAAACAATTGTATTTAACGAGCAGGTACAGTGACGTAAATATCCACATCGAGGGTCATGGTCTTATTGCCCAGTCACATAAAATTATTCTTAGTTTATGGAGTCTCCCATTCGCAAAGGTGAGCCTATTCATTTTTACTCTGCTTCATATTTTTATTCTGTTTTGTGTACACCCTTGTGCTTCTCAGATAAACCACATAACTGCATAATTTTCCTGGAGGGGAAATGCATCGTTTTAAGAGCGTGATGTTGGTCATAAATGTGCTCTTGGAGTGCACTCTTTTCTGTTCCTGCACATTTTGTTTCCTTAAGTCTCATGGATAAGAATTCTAGAAAAATGTTTCATCATGCAGATGTTCACAAATGGAATGAGTGAAACAATTGCCTCTGAGGTCTTTTTAAGAGATATATCACCTGAAGCATTCAAGGGTTTGCTCGAGTTCATGTATAGTGGGGAACTCAACTTAGAAGCTACTATTGATTCTGGTGCCTTATTGCTCCAACTTTTTCTGTTGGCTGATCAATTTGGAGTCACTCTCCTTCATCAGGAATGCTGCAAAACACTTTTAGAATACCTCTCTGAGGTAGTTTGGTAATCTTTATCTTTCTACATAGTTTAATTCATCTATAGTAGTTCAAATCAGGCCTATGATTTGTCAGTTTTACAGTATGGCACTTGCATGACTAAAATAAAAGAACGGAGAAGTGACCTGCGGTTTCAGACTTCTGAAAACAAAAGAAGAGATTCCTTTTATGATAATGAATTATAGAGATATTAATACCTCTCATGTGCACATTATATGCAGGGATGGAGTTCTAGTGGAAGGTCATACAGCAAGAGTTTTACTATTATGCACAAGTTTAATGGACGTGGAAGCAGACTGTTTTGGCAAATTAATTGGACTGTTACTTTTGATGCTAACTGTTGACGTTTGTTGCAGGACTCAGTATGTGCGATCCTTCAAGTTGTTTCATCAATTCCATCATGTAAACTTATTGAAGAAACTTGCGAGATGAACTTTTCAATGCACTTTGACTATTGTACAACTGCAAGCATTGACTTCGTTTTGTTAGATGAGACAACCTTTAGCAATATCATTCAGGTAGGATGCCACTGTTCTTAAGCAGAGTTGTTAAATAAATTGAAGTTTGGTATGATAACCTAATATAATGGACCAAAGTAGTTGTCACTTCAGCTGCTTAAAAAGATTATATGAATATGGAGTTGGAGGAAACATTTAGAATTGGTACCTTTTCATAATCTATTTTTGAGTATTTTCTTATAGTAGATTATGTTATTGCAGCATCCAGATTTGACTGTAACATCTGAAGAAAAAGTTCTCAATGCAATCTTAATGTGGGGTGTGAAAGCAAAGGAATTGTATGGGTGGGAGGTGGTAGATGAAATGATAATTTGTTCCACCCCGGAACTTCTTTTTGGGGATAGGCTGCAGACAGTTCATGACCTTTTGTCCTTTGTTCGATTTCTGTTACTGCCCTTGGCCTTGCTTGAGAAGGTATGCGGACCTTGGATATAGAGATGTATCACTAGCCTACCAAAGACTTGAAATCTTTTGTCTGACTTCACCATTATTCAATAATAATCTTGCAGTTGGAGAAGAGCAACATTAGCAGGAATATTTCTACTTTTAATAATCTTGTGAGTTGAGCATTTCTTATGATTAGTTTTTGAAAAAAAGAAGCTGTACGCCTCTGAAAATAATTATCATTCCTGAAGATTTTTTCTTTTTTAATGCCAATATCACAGGTCAAGGAGGCCATCAATTGTATCAAGCATGGATTGGCAGGGCCAGAAAATGAGCATAAGTGAGTGTTGAAGTATTACATTGTTCTTTCATGTTCAAACTTCTTGATCTTTGCTTTAAGGAGGCCATCAAATTAAATTGTTTATTTGGTTGCTGAGAAGAGAAGAATGTACAGGAGAACCAACCTTTTACTTCCATAATTTCTCATGGTTCATGGAAATTCTACATGCATGAAATAGTTTAAAGAGAAGTTATTACATGGTAGAGGGCCATGCACCATTATTATTGAAATAAGACCTGCATTATGTCAATTTTGAGGAGATTTGGAGTTTACATGGTGCATCAAAGTTGTTTGGTGTTCATGATCCAAGCTTGGACTTTTGGATTTTTAATAATTTGCATGCTCTTTAATCCTATTGATAATGTGCTTGAGAAGGATTCCTGACTAATGTGTGGATGGGTATTTAGTCAGTTAACATGATTTTATTTTGTAGCCTGAGAATCCAACACAGACGATCTAGTTATAAGGAGCTCCAGTACATACGTGATGGGGACAGCAATGGAGTTCTGTACTTTGCAGGCACATCATATGGGAAACATAAGTGGGTTATCCTGTTCTGGCCAAGGTCTAATTCTTTCATATTTCTTCCCTTTTATGACTCTCCATGGGTTTAGTAGTTTTTAATGCAGCTGTCAATTCTTTATAAATTGCACGTTTCAGAGAATTACTATTACAGCCAGCAGTCCCCCTTCTAGGTTCACTGATCCCAAGGCTTTGGTCTCAAGAACTTACCAGGTACGGTAAATTGAAAGATTAAGGTACTGCGAATTGAAATAATGTAATAAGTGGTTGCTGGAGCTTCTTTGCATAGTAACTGAACAGTATATGTCTACATCAGGGAACATCCTTTGCTGGGCCACAGATCATAGATGGACACAATTGCACCTGGTGGATGGTTGACATTAGTGCAGATCATCAGGTATTTCTGAATGTTCGCTCTCTGTCATTCATTAATAGATGTCATCGATGTGCTTTTTACATATAAACCTCATCATTTTGTAGAACATCGTAATCTAATAAAGTTGACAAATTGAAAATGTTTTACGTCCTCGTAATCATATTCTTTTGGACTGCCTTCCTGTCTAGTGCATAGGAGTTTGTTTTGGTTGGCTTTCTGATGCATGAAAATTGGCTGATACAGCTTATTTGCAACTACTACACCTTGAGGCAAGATGGATCCAGGGCTTATATGAGATATTGGAAGTTCCAGGTAAAATACCTTTTTTTCCTCGGTTACATGAGATGAGATATTGGATGGGAAAGACCTTCAAACATGAGATATTGGAGCCGTTTTTACATTTTTTTTAATGCTATTGGTTTTGGGGGTTTCATGACTATTGCTGGATATGGAAGAAGAATGTATGAAGTGAGTCTTTGTTTATGTCTATGTTAGGGATCTCTGGATGGGAAGACATGGACAAATCTGAGAGTACACGAGAATGACCAAACAATATGCAAGCCTGGGCAATTTGCATCATGGCCTGTTACTGGACCGAACGCTCTTCTTCCTTACAGATTTTTTAGGGTTGTTCTGACGGGTCCTACAACAGATGCTACCAACCCCTGGAATTTCTGCATTTGCCTTTTGGAACTATACGGATACTTCCACTGATACTTGTGCAAATTTGGTCAGTGGTCACCAGTCTACTTTTTTTTTTCTCCGTCCAATTTATGTCCTGTATATCCACATGTATAGTAGTTAAACTGTATAAGTGATAAATGAAGGGAACTTAGGGGCTTGCTTCTTTCAATTGTTTGCTCGTTCCGCCCCCGAAAAAGCCCAAAAGTTGAGTAACAAAAGAGACATGTATACTTACGATTCAATATAATAGATGTCATGATAATTTCGATTGAGCACGTTAATCTTCACAGGAATGGGTCGATTAAAAAAAACATAGCTATTACATTAACAATAGAAACTACATGAAAAACAGACACACAAGCGTCAAAAGATTTGGCATCCAATTCATGCATACAATAAGCCAAGATGCTCTCTGGTTTCCTCTCTTCTTTTACACCATTTTTTAGGGTTTTGAAGGTATGCACGCAACAGGCTGATTACCTCCGAACAGGTGGTACAACACCCCTACCAGCTGTTCCACGGCCGGCAGCTTGAGCCTGCACAACAATATATAATTAGTGAAGCCAATTCCATTTTCTTTTCTTTTTTTTAAAGAGTCGGTCAGGCTTGACAAGCAATATTTTCAGAGTTTTGTACATCTATGCCTCAAATATGATGGTAAAAGACCAAACTAAGGAACACAATCTGCCTTGTCTCCACATTTCTCACACAGGAAAGTCCAAATGGAAGGCATCAGGCATGTCAATTTTTTAAACTAAAACGTTTGTCAATGCACAGATTCTATATCACTATGCTTTTAATATAACCTGTTTTTAAAAGGTTCCATGGACAAAATAGGAAATAGATAAAGATTCAGTAAAGAACAGCTTACTTTAGCCCGCATTGCAACAGCTCTACCTCTGCCAACTCCTAGTGAAGCACCCTTACCCTTCAAGATTAAAAATCAAAGGTAAGTTAAACAAAATGTACACACTATGGAGAATTCAATGATCATTAGAAATGAAATGTTACCTTGATTCTAGAATCCAGACGCTTGAACATTGGAGCATTCTTCAGCATGTCCGGTATGACCATAAACCTATCAAAATTTCACATCAATTTCAGAGGAACAGTCAATTTGGAGTAGTAAAGCAACATAACTCAAAACAAATTATGAATGGATGCCGTCAAACCAAAAGCGACCTATATACCTTACTTTGCTCCCTCGAATAAAAACATGCTCAAGCTGTGAAACCTTTCCGTCCTGTAGAGGAGTGTAACATGATCAGAAACTAAATGAAAGAAGAAAAAAAAGGATAAACCAATTGTTCAAGCTTTGAAAATAAGAACAACACAATAGCATATTCTTTTCAAAATTGAGAATCATCATCAGGACATGGAAGAAGATCAGAGAAGAGGAATGCATGTGACAGACAAAGGAATTAAGGTGTCAGTTTTTTCGGTAACAAAGAAAAGGTATTAAGTGCTTGGTTTAGGTCAAGGAGACCAAAATCCAGTTAAATTGAAATCGTTTGATCCAGATGTAATCTGTACATCAAAGGAAAAGATTTTTAACCCCATGATAAGGATATTAGCGAGTTTAAACCTTACTGGCTCATTCTATTCCACATTTTGAAATTGGGCAATTAGACCATCTCTTAAGATTCTCCACCACCCTTTTTGAACCTAAAAATTGAAAAAATCTTTCAGCTTTATCTAGGAAAATCGCCTCACACAGAGTAGAACTTCAGTTCCTTTACAATTCAATCCGCCTTTTTCACCGGATTTTAGGGCTACACCGCTAAAAGCCCAGGGTTTTGGAACACTATTATGCATCGATAATCAACCACTCTAGGGACTAAAACAAATTCGCTAATCTTGCAAGTGAAAGGTCAGATTTATATAAAAGGTGCAGTGCGCGTGAAACTAGGGTTTAACGTGGCAGCGGAGAATGCAGGGCTTGAAAATTAACAACACATTGAAAAATAAGGAACAAAAGAAAGATTAGATTGAGTAAGTGGTACCTTGGCGGTGTAGGTGATGTTCTCGAGCTGACAGTTCCAGTTATCCTCGCACTCCACCATGCTTCCTCTGTAAAGCTCACCGCTCTTCAGCTCCACTGTTACCACGTGCCCTGACGCTTCGTGAAGAAGCTTCACTGGTATTCCCAAGCTTCTGCTCATGACTATACTCTCTTCTCTGCTGTTTTTCGCTCTGCAAAACCCTAACTAAGACCCACCCTTACGGTTGAATTCCCTCTCCCCCTTACCTTATTTATAGGGCAAAACGTCACTTTTAGTCATGTGGTTTAACACTTTTACTACTAAGGACCTTCTAGTTTCAATTTGATCATTTTTGCCCCTGTGATTTTCAATTTAAGCAATTCAAGTCCAATCTCTAATTTTCTGTCAAATTAGGTTAATTGCTGTTACTTGTTGAGGGGCATTTAAGTCCAAAAACAAGAAAATCTGTTCAGTAGCCCTATTTTTTAAAACTCAAATTCAAGAATAACTAAAAAACATATCAATTATTAAAAACAAAAAATATATGTTTTTTCAGTTTTTTTTTCTAACATCCCACAAGTTCTCAAATTTTTAAGACTTGAAAACAGTTTTCAAATTGCATACCAAACAAGTTTTTGAATCTTAAAATAGATTTAAAAACCCCTTGTTTTAAAGAAAAATCAAAATTTTTGAATCCCCTATTTGAATAGAATACCAAACGTCCCCTAAACTATCTGAAAGCTACACGATACACGTAGCGCCCAACCAACGGTTGTAGACGACTTTTACGACTTTTCACGGGCAGCAGAGGGAGCATATATACTTTGTTCCAATCGCAAGCAAATCCCTTACCCAGAAACAGAAACAATCGAATTGAACGACAAAATGTTGGGTATAACTCATGTCCCACGGTTCTTTCTTTCACGCATTGCCATTTTTTATTGCTTGATATTTGTTACTTTATATTTATTTAGATTTAGGCTTGTACTGTAATTGTATTACATCAGCAATGTAGTCGCTAAATATCTACAAACATGAAATAACAGTCGTTGATGGAAAATTAAGATACAGAGACATGATAATATCAAATGCTATTGCTACTGTATTGAGAGAGATGAGATTTGTGTCTAGCTCCGACTCACAGTGAGAGTGAGTGAGTGAGTGACAGTCTGACAGATAGGCACAGAGAGAGAGAGAGAGAGAGAGTAGGTGAAGAAGATGTTGGGTTCTTTGGTTCTTCATCATCGCACTCCTGCTGCTGCTGCTGCTGCTCTTGGATCCTTATCAAGCAACCGCTACCTGAGACTGAGGGTAAGCAACTCAACCGAAATGTTTCCTTTCCTAGTTTAATTATTAATTAATTAATTTCTACCCCTAAACCCTAAACCCTATTCAGTTGGATTAATCAGAAAATACGTTTCTAGCCTTCCTGGATGGTAATCTGCACTATTCATCATCTTCAACCACAACCACAACCACCATATAGATTTTTTTTAAATTTATTTTTATAAAGAATAATTTTTTCTTCCAGCCGCATAAATTGTGATCTTAATTAGTTTCTGTTTTGTCTTGAACCTTGAAACCTCTTCTTCTTATCATCTCTCTTTTTTACTACTATTATTACAGGCCTTGAAGATTAATCGACACTCTGGCAAAGAGCAAGCACCACTAGTGACCTCTGGATCTCAAAACTCATCGCTTGGGTACCGCAGACTTGTTTCCCCGTCAACAAGTTCAATATGTGCCAAGGTACCTAATACCTATGCTATGCTTGACATTTTTATCATCAACTACTAGACGACAGCCAATCTTTACTTCCCAGTATCGACTTTTAGTAATAAAAAATAACCCATGATCTGTGCTTTCCTTGTTAGGGGGAGGATAGTTTCAAAATTTCAGCTGTTTTCACAGAAGACAGCTCCGCAGTGGCAATGACTGATGAAGAGATGGAAAGTATTGGAATCTTGAGCATCGATCAAGCCTTGGAGCCATACAAGGAGCACTTCGAGTATAGAATAAAGAAATATGTGGATCAGAAAGGGCTTATTGAGACATATGAAGGAGGTCTAGAGGAATTTGCTCAAGGTGAGGTGACTTTTATTGTTACCTTCCTTTTTGTTTTTGGTTTCTTAGAACAGATATTGAAAACGTGTTTGCTTCATCTCTAGGTTATGTGAAATTTGGATTTAACAGAGAAGAAGATGGAATTGTGTACCGTGAATGGGCTCCTGCTGCTCAGTGAGTTCATTAGCTTCTGAACTACAATTTCATAACCTCTTGAGGCATAATATTTGTCTTAATCGCTTAAATAGAAGCTATATTTCTTGTACCTTAGGGAGGCACAGCTTATTGGGGACTTTAATGGATGGGATGGCAGCAAACACATGATGGAGAAAAACCAATATGGGGTTTGGAGTATCAAGATACCAAATTCTGGTGAAAATTCAGCCATTCCTCACAATTCAAGGGTTAAATTCCGGTTCAAGCATGGAAATGGAGTTTGGGTTGATCGTATCCCTGCTTGGATTAAATATGCCACTGTGGACCCAGCCAGGTTCGCAGCACCATATGATGGTGTGTACTGGGATCCACCACCATCAGAAAGGTGCCATTTATTCATACTTTCCTCTTCTAAGTTGCATTAGGTGAAAAAAATGGTTAATTGATATGCAGAGTTTCCGGGGAACATAAATTCTTGCATCTAAGTCCAAAAGCTAGAAACATGCTTCATAACATATTATAAAAGTCAGATTGCAAATTACACTTAAATAATCTTTTGGAACTTCTACCTTGGCTTGGCCCATTTCATCCAAACAAGAGAGTGTTTTGACCATGCAGGTTTCAGTTTAAGCATCCTCATCCTCCAAAACCCAAAGCTCCGCGAATATATGAGGCTCATGTTGGAATGAGTAGCTCAGAACCCCGGATCAGTTCATACAGAGAATTTGCTGATGATGTTTTGCCTCGTATCCGAGCAAATAACTATAACACAGTCCAGTTGATGGCTGTGATGGAGCATTCCTATTATGCATCATTCGGCTATCATGTGACAAACTTCTTTGCCGTAAGCAGTAGATCTGGAACACCCGAGGACCTTAAATATCTAATTGATAAAGCCCATTCCCTAGGCCTTCGGGTATTGATGGATGTTGTTCACAGCCATGCAAGTAACAACGTTACTGATGGCCTCAATGGCTTTGAAGTTGGTCAAAGCTCACAAGAGTCCTACTTCCACACAGGGGATAGAGGCTACCACAAGTTATGGGATAGCCGACTTTTCAACTATTCTAATTGGGAAGTTCTCCGCTTCCTTTTATCCAACTTGAGGTGGTGGCTGGAGGAGTTTAAATTTGACGGGTTTCGATTTGATGGAGTAACTTCAATGTTATATCATCACCATGGGATAAACATGGCATTTACAGGGGATTATCATGAGTATTTTAGTGAGGCAACAGATGTTGATGCTGTTGTTTATTTGATGCTTGCCAACTATCTGATCCATAAGATTTTGCCAGATGCAACTGTAATTGCTGAAGATGTTTCTGGTATGCCTGGACTTGGTCGGCCTGTCTCTGAAGGTGGTATTGGTTTTGATTACCGGCTGGCAATGGCCATCCCTGACAAATGGATTGATTACCTGAAAAACAAGAATGACGAAGAGTGGTCAATGAAGGAAATTTCAGGCAGCTTGACAAATAGGAGATACACTGAGAAGTGTATCTCCTATGCGGAGAGTCATGACCAGGTATGAGGTTTTGCTTTTTGTGTCTGTGTTGTTCTATTAGGTATGAAGAAAGAGACAACAAGAAGAGGAGATTTCAAGTTTTATCATAGTGAATAGGCTTTCCCAAACTACACTTATAATATCATTCCATTTGTTTCATTTTCTCATTTATTGTTGCCAAAATTGCTCCCCCTCCCCCCTTTTCTATCTCTTACTTGCTTTTGGTCGTAACCACTTGCAGGCAATTGTGGGTGACAAGACAATTGCGTTCTTTTTGATGGATAGAGAAATGTATTCTGGCATGTCTTGCTTAACTGATGTTTCTCCTACAATTGAGCGAGGGATAGCGCTTCACAAGGTTTTTTCTGTTACTTCTGTACAAGAACCAATCTGACGCATATTGTTTTTTGGTTCATAGTTGTCTATCTGAACAGTCTCTTTCTTATACTCTTATGTTGTTTTTTGTTGTTTTTTTTAATGTATGACTATCAGACTGCACCAATCATGTTCACCACCTATATAACTGACAAAATTGCAATTTATTACTCTTCTTAACAATGATTGTGGGGCTGACTTGGATTTTTGGATATGGAGAACTGAACTACTGTCAGATTTGTTTGAAGATTCATCTCTTAAATGCTTTACCATAAATCTTCACTTCATTCTTCTTCTTTAAAAAAAAATTAATTAATTTGTTGTCATTGTTGTCTCCATTTTTGCAGATGATACATTTTTTAACTATGGCATTAGGAGGTGAGGGCTACCTTAATTTTATGGGAAATGAGGTAAGCACATTGGCCAAGTTTGCAGCTATTGTTTTATTATTGGAGAGGAAATTTTGAACATATAAAAAAGTACTGCTGCAACCCAGTAGAAAGTTTGGTTCTTTATCACTCTTAAATTGCATGCAACACATGGAACTGAGAATAACGGGCGAAGGAGATCTGGCTGTGTCCTTTATATTACCACCTTTTGTCAAGTGTGGGGAGGGAGAGACACTAAGGGTTACTAAATAAGTCGATGTGAGTTCCCTAGAGAAGGGCTTACTGGCTCTTCCTATCAATCATGTAAAACCCACTTTTTCTTAAGAGTCAAATGTACATCCCCATAATTCCTTCTGCTAGCTTTGTAGTTTCAAGATTTCTTTTGATAGTTTTCTTACTGAATGATTTGTGTAGTTTGGCCATCCTGAATGGGTCGACTTTCCAAGAGAAGGCAATGGGTGGAGTTATGAAAAGTGCAGACGCCAATGGAACCTGGTGGATACAGATCACTTGAGATATAAGGTTAGAAGACAAATTTTTAGTTTTTGGCATTTGCTATGTTTTGCATACTTTATTGTTCTTTTTGTCAATGGGCTCCTTTTGCACTGTAATCATTGAAGGATGAAATGATAACTGGCCACATAACATTCACATAAAACTTTAATTACTATACTTACAATATATGCATATAAACTAACACAAATTAGATAGACAACTAGGCCGGCAAAGTATTATTTATTGTCGTTGCCGATATTTAAATGAAGCTCTTGTCAACAAGCCTCCTCTTTTTTGTGTTTTTTTTCTTCTGAGGTCGCACTTATTGCAATTGAGGACCATACATGCCTTTGACCATCTGATCTATATTTCAGATCTGATGTCCTAGATTCTTCTGTTATAATGGTTTGATCAGGTGCCATATCTAACCTAAGAATCTGTGCATGTTTATGATTGATAACTTATGGCATGGAATCGTGGTGGGACATTATTGATGGACTCTGCCACTTCCACCTCTGTATCATGCAAAAGTGCACCCATGTGTACCATGTATTTTTGTAGGATCTTAATATATGATTTCATGTTGCATAGTTGAAATTTCTGCTTTTACTTGCAATATATTTACTATTTCTTACATCCTTATGCTTGGAACTTGTCCAGTTTATGAATGCATTTGACAGAGCCATGAATTTGCTTGATGAAAAGTTTTCATTCCTGTCGTCGACAAAGCAGATAGTGAGTAGCACAAATGAAGAAGACAAGGTCAGATAATCTTCTTTTTTAACCCAATTAGAGATAAGCCAGTTAAGTGATAATGTAAACAAAGATTGATGTTTGAAACATTGAGTAATTGTTGGATGTTACAGGTTATTGTCTTTGAGCGTGGAGATTTAGTTTTTGTGTTCAATTTTCATCCAGAAAACACATATGATGGGTATGTTTGTTCTTACCTTTGCAGAAGTATCTGCATGCTTGTTTGCTTCTGCACAAATAATGTTGTTTATTTGAGGGACTTGTGTTGTGTGATGAAACATACAGGTATAAAGTTGGGTGTGACTTACCTGGGAAGTACAGAGTTGCACTAGATAGTGATGCTAGTGAGTTTGGTGGACATGGAAGAGTAAGTGATTCCTTTCTATACCTATTCCTGGTTGGGGTGAAGGAGAGTACTGTTAAGGATAATGCCTAACAAAAGAAACAAAAAAACAAAAAGGGAATGCATCATGTCTCTTTTTGATCAGATGCAAGCCTATTGATTATGTTGATTTCACTCTACCTGGCAGGTAGGCCATGATGTAGACCACTTCACATTCCCAGAAGGAATACCAGGGGTTCCTGAAACTAATTTTAACAACCGTCCCAACTCCTTCAAAGTACTCTCACCACCTCACACATGCGTGGTATGATAATCTTTATAAAAAATTTAAAAAAATTATTTATGGTTTTATTGAACATTATTATGATGTATTTCTTATTTCAGTGCAAATACATATCTAAATGTCACGTCCTGCCTAAAACTTCACTAATGAAATATCAGTGATTGATTTGATTTTTAATTGTTCCTTTGCAAATTTTTAAGGTTTATTATCGAGTGGATGAAAGTCGGGAGGCAGATGTGGATGAGATATCAATAGCAGAAGTTGTGGTTGGGAAGCAGAATTTTGAAGAGTTGGGTTCCGTGATAGGTGATGGCAATGTTGGTCCAAAAGCAGAAAAGAGTGGCGAAGGGTCATCAGATGACTGAACTGAAAGTTTTACTCTCTGTAAATTGTGGATGTGAATAAAAATAATGGGGTTTGCTATCAGTGTTAAAAACAGTATAACTGGGGTCGTCAGATGACTGCACTGAAAGTTTTACTCTCTGTATATTGTGGATGTGAGTAAAAATAATGGGGTTTGCTATCAGTGTTAAAAACAATAACTGGGGTCATCAGATGACTCCCAGATGACTGAACTGGAAGTTTTACTCCCTGTAAATTGTGGATGTGAATAAAAATAATGGGGTTTGCTATCAGTGTTAAAAACAATATAACTGTGGTCACCAGATGACTGAACTGAAAGTTTTACTCTCTTTATATTGTGGATGTGAATAAAAATAATGGGGTTTGCTATCAGTGTTAAAAAACAATATAACTGTGGTCATCAGATGACTGTACTGAAAGTTTTACTCTGTGTATATTGTGGATGTGAATAAAAATAATGGGGTTTTCTATCAGTGTTAAAAACAATCTAACGTATTATAATAACATTGGCTTTATCACACAAGTGCTGCAGAATGAGCAATTTAACATATGTAAATTGGATACACAACTTGATCTTCTCTTTTTGCCTCCGCAGAGAGCAAAAGGACATTTATTCAAATGAGCAACGCTCAACAACACGAAATTCCTTTTCACTCATTCAGCTAGCTAGCCTTGCTTGGAGCTTAAAGCGATCCAGTACTTGTTCGGTTTTACCTAGCTTTGTACCGAAGTTGAGAAAGAAGTCTTTGTATTGGAAGCCTTTATAAAGTTGGGGATTGCTTGCATTAATAAGAGCTGCAGCAGGTTCTATAAGGCAGTCATTGGAAGGCATCACGAAAAACCCAGCTGAAATCCGAGCTTCACTTGAATTCGTCACTGCCCGATGTTCAGCACTTTTCAACTTGCCATTGCTGATAATCTACATCCCCATTCCAACCATAATTTGTCATGGTAAAGAAAAGAAGGAAATGAGGGACAATGCAATAATCTTCAGCATAAAGAAGGGTGCACTAGTCTAGTACTAGTAGTAGTGTAGTGTACCTGTAACTGGTAACCTACATTAACCACCAGTGCATGTGGAAGAGGCTCCACACCAATCCATTCCCCATCCTTGAAAACTTGAAGACCATTTACATCCCCTTGAAGTAAAATGGTTATGAGGTTTGGGTCACAGTGTTTAGGTAATCCCAGTGTCAAACTTGGTTCTGCGCAAGGTGGGTAATAATTAACTGAGAGTAACATTTGTTGGCTTAGTTCATCCCTAAAATACCCATCTCCAACACCAAGTCCTTCGCCGATTAGCTCCAAAATATTCGAAGCCAGTTCCCTCACTTGTGTGGAACATGCCCCAACAAGCTCTCTGTAAATGTCATCGTCATCATCACTAAGTATATATATATGTGATATATCTAAAGGTTGGTCTTCGACAATCATCATCATATGTCACTCACCCATATCTAATTGGTTTTTGAGGCCAAACATGCTTGCATTCCTCAAGAGGATGACAAGGGTGTTTTAGGCAGTCACGCCAGATATGAACATCTTCCCCTTCATAATTTCCAGTGCTGCTGCTGGTGAAGAGCCTGCAGCTTTTGTTGGGGTCCTCAGAGTAGAGGCTTGCTTTGTCCTCTGCAGGCAACTCTTCAAAAAACTCCTTGAACACACCCATTGTCTCACTCAACAAATGTTCTGATATGCCATGATTAATTACCTGCTCTATAAAATAACATTAACATAATTTTGTACTTAATTATGACAGTTTAAGCAGAGTTTTAAGTTACCAACCCTAAACCTAAGAAGAAGAATTTAAAGCCTAAGTAAATAAATAACCTGAAAAAATCCAAATTCTTGGCTAGCCTTGAGTATTTGCTCAACTATATAGGTTCTTCGGTCATCAGATTCCGAAGCTTCTTCTGCTCCACCGCCCAAATCGATCACTGGAATGTTGTTGCACAAAGGAACGGCAAGCTTCCCTGGTCTTGCATCAGGTGGGAATATGTAAGTCTCAGGCAAGGGTCTTTCCTTGTACCTGCTTGAAATAAGCTTCTCCATTGTTTTCATCCGAATCTGATACTCATCTCAAAATGGTTGGCCATACTCACTCGGTTCGGTTGCATAAAGATAAAGTCGTCTTAGGGGATTTCACAAACATAAATAATATAAAACCAAGGAAACTGGCCCACCTTTTCTTTTCTACCAATCAGATGGCAATATTGAAGTAGTCGAGTTCTCTTTTGTTAATTAATTTCTGTTAGTCTGCAGTTAGCAAGAAGCAAGCATCGGGCTCCGGCTTATCCAAAATGGCGGCTACTCAACTCTGAAGCTGAGCTCCTAATTAATTTTGATTGCAAAATGAAATCTGCTCACTTCTCACACCTCTCAGCCCCAATCCGTGCCCAAAATCCTAAACACAGTTCTTCTTCTTCTTCTTCTTCTTCTTCTTCTTCTTCTTCAGTTAATCTTCTCCAGCCCCGCAAATTCAGCTCTGTTTCTCTGACCCCGCCTTCAAAGCGGTCCCGTTTATTCACGCTTTGCGCTTCCAATTCCGCTAAAACGTCGTCTTCCCTATCCGAACCGGCCGTGACGGACCTCACCAAGGACGCTTTTCTTCAAATCGATAACGATGTGTCGCAAGGTCCGTTGAATGTGGAAGTCAGAAACCCTAGCGTTCCGAGTCCGTCGGTGGCCAAATTGAGCTTGAGCGACCAAGCTTTCTTTCTCCTGACCTTCATCGCCTGCACGGTATTGGCCTCAATTCTATTCTTCCATATTTAGATCACTTAAATTTTTATTTTTGATGTGGAAATTGGGATTAATCTGTAAAATAAATGATAAATTTGAAGACTTTTTATTTATTTATTTATTTTGATGCAACAGTCACGGATCAAGAAGTTAATTTTGTTCATCATTGCTGATACGAGCATGGATTAATTTCATTGTGTGCAGACTTCTGTGGCATTTACGAGCCTTGTAATTGCAGCTGTACCAACGCTTTGTGTAAGTTGTCGTCTGCTCATTCTGCATTTCAGTTTAAAGGAAAAAGCAAGTGCTTAGAAAATCAGTTAATTTGTTTTAGGGAGTTTTGACTCTACAATGGGATAATATTTTTCACTTAAACCCTAAACCCTGAATCATATTCCATTCACTTCTATTTCTATCTTTCTACTATTTGTTCTTGGGTCTTGGTTCGTTTGCAATTGATCGTTCCATCCATTCTTTGATAGCTGTAAGTCACTTTAAAAATCTTTTCTTTGGTTTGAATCTCATGTTTGGAATTTGGTCCAAATTCTGGTTCCAATGTGGCTCGTTTCTTGTATATTCTGTAGGCAATGGGGAGAGCTGCAGTATCTCTTTCAAAGCTGGCAGATACAGCTCGTGAAGAACTCCCTAGTACTATGGTTGCCATTAGGCTTTCAGGCATGGAAATAAGTGATCTTACACTGGAACTGAGTGATCTAAGGTGATAATTACATCCTTCTTTCTGATTCGTTGTTATGATCCATTGATTAATCGATTGAGTGCTATTGAACCTTTCAGCATTACTTTATAGCTTCTCTTTATAGGCACGCAGAAGAAGCTATAAAGTAATGCTGAAAGGTTCAATAGTGAAGATTTCATGAGGCGATTGGCTATCAGTCATATCTGTCAAGCCTTTCTTATTAATTTTCTCCTTTATGTGTGTTTCATTCATGTTGTGTGAGTTTTATATCTCAATTGCTAAATTGGATTATGTATGTCATGCTTTTATTCCATTCTTCGCTCAGCCAAGAGATAGCTGATGGGGTCAGCAAATCCACTCAAGCTGTTCAAGCTGCTGAAGCTGGGATTCGGCAGATTGGTTCACTTGCTCGACAGCAGACTATGTGTATGTTTTAAGCTCCATCTTGTATAGAATTTGATCTGCTGCTGTTTTGCGTAATACAGGCTTTCCATTGATCTTCACCCACTTCTAAACAAGTACTATTAATCTATTGTGATACAGCTATGATTCAAGAGAGGGCGAGCCTGCCCATCATCTCTTTGCAACCTGCTGTTGTTGGAGCAGCAAAGAAGACTTCTCGTGCTGTTGGCCAAGCCACCAGGACGCTCATGAATATAATCTCTCGAAGGGACTTAGAGAATAAGGATGACATTGGAATTGATAGGGTGGAAATTTGAGTTTGCCGCACTTAAAATCAGTAACTTTATTCTCACCAACTTTGTGCACATACTTGTATGTACTCCATTATTTCCACCCTAAACCCTAAACCCGTTTGTGAAATAGTTTACACTGAAAAGTTTGCGCCCTTAATACAGCTTGTAGAGCAGTTATTGTAAGTGCAAATGCCCCGAAGTTAGGGATAAGTCGTCAATATACCGTTGACTTCATAGTAGCATATAAGCTCCCGTTGCAGTGGTGGTCCAGTTCTTCGAATTCAAGCTGTCAAAGGAGTAGGAAGTTCCTAAGCTCCTATTGTGATGCTGGTCCACATGTGAGATTCCTATATTACCGTTCCAAACTAAGGTTGGCCAGTACAACAACATTGATGATGTAATGGACTCTTTGTGGTACAGAGGTGCTGTAGAACCGAAAGAAAAAGAAATTGCAGAGAGAAAATGAAAAAGAGAATAAGTTTATTGTTCATTCAGCTGTTGTTTATTTATGCTTGCCAACTATCTGATCTGATCCATCAGCTGCAATTACTGAAGATGGTTCTGGTATGCCTACGCGAATGCTCTCTTTCCGAAGTATGAAGGTGGTATGGTATTGGTTTGGTCATTACCATCATAACTATTTTTTCTTCGTAATTGCTCTTTTGTTTTGCTTTCACCGTAGAAGACCTCCTCCTCCTCCTCCTAATTCTATGGTTGACCGTCCCTTGCTCCTCTGTTGTGTGGTTGAAAAGGAGCTAAGCGACTAGAGAAACAAAGAATATATCGCAAAAAAGATAAGGGTTATTTCAAGCAATAACATCTTCCTGTTCCAAATAATAAACTAAATTAAATAGCAGGAAGAAAGGAAAGAGGGTGATCTGATAATATTAATAGAATAGGCACGCAGGCACATCAATTTTATATAAGTTGAGTTTCAGAAACAGAGAAAACAGAGGCAAGGCAACCCAAATTTGCCTGCCTGAATGAGTAAGATACGGTTCATCAAATCAAGTCAATCAAGTAAAACATCCCAAACTAATGAAATCTTGCCTAATAATACCCAACCCTTGGAGATGGAGTTGGAGTTGGAGTTGGAGCTCCAGTTTTCCGTCCCCCACGGTTTTCAGATTTATGATTTTGATGAGAGGAGTACAAAGTAGGCTGAGGCAGAGGGGGCTTCATATTCTCTTTGTTCATCAAGCTTCTCAGCATATACCTGGGAGCCGGAGCCGGAGCCGGAGTTGGAGACGGAGCCTGTTGAGTCTCCACCACCGAGTAAGCAGCAGATACTGATTTCCTCAAGCTTTGAAGCTTCCTACTGCTAGTAGTAGTACGAGTGCTGGTTCTTTTGGCAGATTCTACTGTAACACCCAGCTTATTATTGTACTTATATTTAGAGCCGGAAGCAGACGTGGCCGTTGTTGAATAATTTGTCTCACAACCGCCCTCCTTTACCGTGATCTTATTCTTCCTATTCAGCCGCTCATTCCTTCTAGCAGAATACTCCTCGTAAAACCTACCCCTTTCAAACAAAGGACTCGAATTCAACGAACTCAGCCTATGGCTGCTGCTGCTATCAGTATCTCCACCACCACCACCACAATAATCTTCCTTGCCCAATTCCTCTCCAGTTACCATCTTTTCTAAAGCCCTCAGTTCCCACGAAATGGAGCGGTATTCAGGTCGAAGCTCCGCTTCTTCCATCTCCCAAATGCCTGTGGGCCTTGCTTTCTCCGATTTTCTTAAAGAACCGCCTGCGCCAATTCCAAAATTATTGATATAATCATATCACTTCAATACCAAAATTAAAAACCGAATTCGAAAACGAAAAACCAGACCTGTTAAAATTTTATCGGTTTGCTCGAACCCGATCTCGGACCGCCCTGCTGGGGTTGGCATACAGTTTGAGTTTGATCCGAGGACCCGACGGGGTCGAAGCCTGATGGGTGATTTAGCAAGCGGAGGCTTGCGATCCGGTTTCATCTTTGACATTGATGTTTGATGGTATTCAAACTTCAGAGCAGATTGCAAAATACCCAGAGAGAGAGAGAGAGAGAGAGCGCAGAGAAGAAGAAGGTGCTTAACTTTATCGTTGTATTGGTATCTGTGTTGCTTGGTTTTATTGTGTGAGAGAACCAGTGCCTTTGAAATATTAAAAGGTCTAGCGCCTCCAACGGTCATATTTTTTATCGGACGGTCTCGCGTGCATTCTTTGAAATTTAAACGGTAGAGTAGATTTTTCATTAAATACCTGAATTTTCCTTTTATTGTTTGAGGATTTGTCAACTAAAGCGCTCATCTATACTGAGAAATTATAGAGAAATTATAGAGTGTTATTGTCTCACCACGTCAGTTGGTGATACCCCGTTCAAAATTTGTCTAAAAAAATTATACTTTTAGCTGTATTTAAAACTTACATTCATAATAAAACTGAAGGAAAAAATAAATAGAAAAATACAGAAAAGGACAGAGATTAAGATTTGGTGAAATAGTCTCAAAGTCAAAATTAAACTTTTTTGTTTTTGTTTGTTTTTATTAGAATTCAAGAATACTATATTGGGTTACGAACAATGGGCTTTAGCTTTCGTTTAGGGCACTGTATTTTATAAAATATGTTTGTAATTTTTTGGACTATATACAGTGTGTTCGAGTTGGATTAGATACTCATCTCTGCGTGTGTAAGTCCATCCAATTCACATCACTGGTGCTGTTAATGTTAATCGCATTAACATATTGTCGCAAGATAACAATCATTTTATACAAGTCTTATTATGTTCCTGCCTCCCTTTCTTCCCTAGTCAATAACGACACCTCTCCTTGCCTTCGTTAGGATCTATCGAAGATGCCTAACCGAGCTTTTTACTCAAGGGAGTTGGTCGTAGAATCGACATTTGGAGGCTTGGATCCCCTCGTCGATTGTCTCAGGCCGAGGAAAAAAGGCTTTGACACTTCTTTTGTGTATTTTAAATGAAAATACTGTTCAAATTCAAAGTCACTCCTTTTGTTTGTTATATAGGGAAATTTGCTCCTCGCGTCATGTCCTCTTTTTAAAATTATCACTAAAATATCCTCTATAAATACTTCATATTGTCTACATATCACTTCTTTATCGCATTCCTTATTTTCTCCCAACCGCTTGTCTCTTAAGTCGCACTACGCTCCTTCATCATCTTCTTCACTCATCCATCGTCTTCTTCACTTCATCTCCAAATCATCAAAACCAAAACCCTAATATGCATAAATTTAAAGCCCTTAAATGTGAAAATTATTTAGCAAAACCCTAAAATGCGAAAATTCATTGGAATCCCAAAATGCAAAAAATCCACTAGTGAAATCTAAAAATGTGAAAATGCATTCGCAGAACACCAAAAACTCCAAAACTCCAAAAGTGAAAATTTTATAACGGGTCCAAAATGTGAAATTTCATTCTAGCAACCCATATAGGCAAAAATTTCTTCATGCCAAAATTCATTAGCACAACCCTAAAAAGCAAAAAATTCTTTCACATGGCCCCGAAAATGCGAAAATTGATTAGCGAAATGCTAGAAGGCGAAAATCCATTCACAGAGCTCCTGAAATCTGCTTATGATTTTAACAATCTATGTAACTTTTTGTTTATTGATTCCTATTACTTTATATGTTTACTTGCTATAGTACCTCCTGAAACATTGGTGAAATCTTATATTGTCATTTGAAAGTTAAAGTGATCCACTTTGACCTCTTGACCAGAGTTTGGTGTTCCATGTTGCCGCTGCCATTAACTCCATCTAAATCTCTGTCAATTTTGATCCATGGACAAATTATATGTAAGCCATGGGAAAATTCACCAATTTCCCTGTTGTATGTAGGAATAGCAGCAAAGTATTGATTCGATTGATCCATGGAGTACGTCAACAAAGTGGTTGATGGTTAGGACTTAGGACAAACACAGTGGCTTTGCTGGGCGGAGCTTCTTATTAATCGCATAATTAGCATAGGGCGCCTAAGAGCTTAGCTTAGGAGAGGACGATACCCTACCTACACTACATGATATCAAGTTAAATAAAGGGGGTCTGTCTGTCTAAATCATGAATCATGATTAATTTAAGAGCTATATAGAAAACGAATAACTAGAGTGAGTGTGTATGTACGTACGCAGCTTGGTATCATGTCGATCGGCAATGACTTTCATATCATATGTCATATGTAATGGATTAGCAATGGCTTTTTTAACTACAATAAGGTTGCTATCATGCTTTTCGTCGACTCTTATCTAACATGTGAAGTCATGGTGATCATCGATCGAGAACCAAATGCACGCACGCTTCACTCTGATAAACATCACACATATATATATATATAGAGAGAGAGAGAGAGAGAGAGAGAGAGAAAATTAAAGAGGGTAGCTTAGCTATGGAAAAGGACTGATATGCATTTCATATAATATTCCACAAATAATATGACAAGCGAAGCTGGCGCCGCACCTAATGCAGAAAGATGCCTTTCTGCCGCTTATAAACTAGCTACCTAGCTAGTTGAAATGACAAATTCTTTTGCCAAACACATTGAAAATGGAAGTAGAAATTATTTCCAAAGAGAAAATTAAACCATCTTGCCCAACACCCTCTCATCTGAGAATTTTTAAGCTTTCACTTCTGGACCAGCTCATACCAGCTCCCTATGCTCCCGTAATCCTCTTCTATCATCCTCCTATAAATGAAAATGACGATGATAATATTAATAGCAGGTTACATTTGCTAAAGACCTCTTTGGCAGAAACCTTAACTGGGATTTACCCACTTGCTGGGGAGATCAAAGATGACCTGTCCATTGACTGCAACGACCAAGGAGCTCATTATGTGGAAGCCCGAGTTAACTACTCTAGTCTTGATGAATTTCTCGGCCGACCTGACCTTTTGCTACTACTACATCGCTTCCTCCCTTGTGATGTAACAACTGCAGGTGCAAGTGTAACCAACATTCAAGTCAATGTGTTCAAATGTGGTGGCATCGCCATCGGCCTATGCATCTCACACAAGATCCTTGATGGTGCTGCTTTGTGCACCTTTCTCAAATCCTGGACTGCCATTGCTCGTATGCGCAGCAGCACCAGCAGCCCTGGGCCCGGCTCTTTGTTAAGAACATCCTCCTCCTCCTCCTCATCATCATCAGATTCAATATTAATATCATCATCATCAGATTCAGATTCAGATTCAGATGATCATCAAACAGAAGACGCAACAACATATGCAAGCGTAGCTTCTTCAATAATAGGGGGGCCCAATTTATTTGCTGCAACTCGTCTGTTCCCCACCAACGATGATTTATGGCTTAGAGATTCATCAATTCCGATGTGGGGTTCCTTGTTCATAAAGGACGGCAAGTCCTCATGCGTCACAAAAAGATTTGTATTTGATGCCTCAGCTATAGCCAACCTCAAGGACATGGCCAAAAGTTCATCATCATGTGTGCAAGTACTGGAACGTGGACCCACGCGTGTTGAAGTGGTTTCGGCTTTCATATGGCAATGCGCCATGGCTGCCTCTAAACAAAAATATGGTTTCCAAAGGCCTTCAGTGCTGACTCACACGGTGAACTTGCGCTCAAGGATATTCTTAGATGATGCTTATGAGGCTGCAGCAGCATCAGATACTGCCGCTGCTGCGGATTTAAATTTGGAGAATTCTATTGGAAACCTCCTTTGGATAGCGGCTGCCCGATGTCCGACGGTAATGCTAGATGAGGAGGAGGAGGTGGTTGTGGTGGCTAATAATAATAGCTCCGCCTCCGGATCAAGAATATTGCATGGGTTAGTGAGTGAGTTGAGAAATGCATTGTCAAAAGTTGATGGTGGTTTTGTTAAGAAAATGCGATCAGGCGAGGAGGGGAAGTCTCTCATGTTGAAGTGTCTGAAAGAAATAATTAAAACAAAAGAAGAAGAAGAAGAAAAAAAAGATTATTATGGGTTCAGCAGTTGGTGTAAGTTTGGGTTGTACGAAGCTGGTGATTTTGGGTGGGGAAAGCCAATCTGGGTCAGCAGCATTGCTTCCACAGGTAATTCCGTCTTCATGAATCTCATCATTTTGGTGGACACCAAGTTGGGTGATGGAATAGAAGCATGGGTCACGTTGGACCAACATCACATGGCTCTTCTCCAATCCAATCCCCTACTCCAAAAATATGTTTCATTCGACCCCACTCCTTTACTACTCCTTTGATATCATATTATTGTACAATATATCATTAATCTTTATTTTATGCAAACAAACAAGACAGGTTAACTTGTTAATCTCATTTCACATTTTTGTGGTACAAAAATATCACCTTCCTACTAACATTACTCTTTCACAAATAATAAGCTTAACTCAACCTGGAAACATAACAGCTCAGCACTTGTAAATTACAAGCCTAACTAAGAGATTACTAACGCATTTAATGAATGCAATTTAACGGTCAAGATTAAAAGTTTGTAATCAATCCTTAACACAAAATATTTATTGGAGAAAAAAAATAATTTTATTTCACTTTTATTTTTTTGTTTATAATAATTATTATAAAAAAAGAAAGAAATAAAAATAAAATACACATAATAATATTCATTAATTAATATGACATGACCACATCAACTGCTACCTAAAATAATTTGCTATTATGACCAATTTTGTGTGTCTAAATAGCAGTACTTATATATATGTGTGTGCGTGTGTGAGATTGTCTTCAAGGAATGTATGCAACATTTAACGGAAAAAAGCAGACAATAATTTTAATTTTAAAAAATAAAAATAAAAAACAACGGTTGATTTTTCGGGTCAATGAATTTCAAAATCTAACTGATCTCCTTGTTGTGGGACGATCCACAGTCGATCGAAACCAGCCAAGGCCGGTCTTCTTGCTCTTGGGGACCAATTAAAAAATGCAATGAGTGTCTGACTTACTGAATTGAGAAAAAGAAGTCGATCGATGCATACCTTGTGTAAATAATAATTTAAAGGGAAAAGAAAAAATGAAATAATAAGCGAAGCTATCAAGACCGTTGAACGTGGAAGTTGGAACAACAGGACAAACTGACAGAAGAAGAGTTAACCCTCTTCCCTTTCTCTTCTTTAGCCACACAGCTTGAAAATGGAATAATGAAAACTCAACGAAAAGAAAAAAAAAAACTAAATAAAAGAGATCAACTTTTTCCTTCTTTTCTTCTTCTTCTTCTTGGTTTTGGTCTGACTGGCTCTGGCATGGCTCATCTCCTTCTCCTCTCCTCTCCCTTATCCATCAGTTTGTGTTTCTTTGCTTGGTTGCAAGGTTTCTTGGTCGTTCATGGCAATACTAATCTCACCCACTCTTCTTTCACGCCCATTAATCGTGATCTGTACCATTCCAGGTGACGTCTACTCTCTTTTTCTTTCCCTTATTCTATTTTTTACTGTGTTCCGATCTTTTTGCACTTCCCATATGTCTTTTTTGCCTGAATTAATCTGGCTCCTCTGGGTTTTGCTGAATTGGAAGTAACAGATTCATTGATTTTTCTTTGAATCTTAAAATGGGTTTTCTGTATATTTATTTCATTTCTTGTTTTCTTCGTGGAAGGAATTAGGGCTGATACTGACTGACTCTATGGTTGGTTGTTCAGAAATTGTAGGGAACTGAATGCCTGAATCTTGTTCTGGCTATTCACTAACAATTCATATATTTGGTTTACTTGATGTCAACTTGTTATGAATTTTTCAGTTTTTTTAACCCTGAAAACATCATATATATGTGCATAACAATCAAACTTTCCTTTTACTGGTCTGCAGTGGGGATTTGATGGAAGAAATAAAAGCTTTGGTCTTTCGTCACCCAGACCGGCTCACTGTAGGTTGCCTTTGCCGATTTATTGTTTTCCTGAAATTCATTTAGTTTCCTAAAACTTTGATGTTAATGACAGTTCGATACAATTAAATCTCGAAACAAGGGCTACTCTGCTGAGATCGCAGTAGTTACCTATTGCCGGAGAAGCCAAGAGACTGATGACAGGCCAAAGTTTCGGATACTTCTTGTAAGTTTTTAATGTATTTTTATGCGTTGGATTCCTATTGATTAGATTTTGCATTCAGGGTTGGCTGTTTATAGGCCTTAATGTTCTTTGATTTTTCAAGTTAAACAAAGGCGGGGATTTCCATATGCTTCAACACTATATCAAACTGTAGTAATGAATTACAGAATATTTATAATCTGTTTTTTAGCGTATAGATAATCTCAGATTGGTAATGGCTGGTGTTTTTGACAGATGATTCCTTGTCTTCCAGAGTTTTGGACAGCATGGAAGGGAGCTCATTACATCTGAGCTTGCTTTGCGAATCCTTTCAATCTTGAGTAAAGAACAGTTTCTACCCAACCTGGACCCAGCCTCCTTAGACCATACCCTTGACAAACTCTTGATAAAGGTAACTTTTTGATAATGTGCAGCAAGACTCTTTCCCTATTAATTATTAATGTAGATGCAATTTTCTTTTACCAGATGATGTCAACTGTTTATGTAAACGCTTCTGCTTTTGCTTCATCCATCTAAGCAGCATACTACAACATGAGCTAGAAATATTAGGGCCACTAGAATTTGAAATAATGGATAGGCACCTCCTTCACATATCTTCATCTTCTTCCACTTCAAGTATCTGGCTTTCACTTCAATCTATCTGGCATTTCTTCAGAAATTATGAGCAATATTTTTATGCCCTCTGCGGTTTACCTCTAGTGTGAGTATATGAGCTCAAACTTACAAGTTGGCAACTCCTTATATGGAGATGATTTGTTTCCATGTTTCTCGTGGATCCTTCTGCGTGTATTGAGAGAATTTTATATTATTTGTTAGGGGGTTTACAACTGGTACACTTGATCTATAGTACTCATCATTAGAACCTGATGCCCCAGGGCTTGAAATACTTTCCTCCTCAGTTCTGATGAGCTATTTCATCGGAGATACTTGAAGAACTTTGGTATTTTTTGAGTTCTGATATCTAATTTTATGTCAGATGGTTCCTATGGAAAACATAAATGGCCGCAGAATTGTTGAAGCAGGAGATCTCTGTGAGAGGAGAAATGGTAAAGCAGTTGATTTTGTGCATTTTGAAATATACTTATTTATACACACACTCTATTATAAATAGAATCCTCTTTGTCAATCAACATATATGCAATATCAAATGTTCCCCTATTATTTAAACGGAACTAATAATAGATTTTAAAAGCAAGGATAGCATGACAATTGTATAAATTACCCCATTTTCCAGTAGTCCGTACTTTTACTCCTGTTCCTAGACCAACTTTCTGCACTCACGTGTGAATATTGTTCTAGCATGTATTATGTATGTATGTGTGTGTGTGTGTGAATACCCCATATGTATGTATGTATGTATATTGTGTTTAAGTTTGCATCTTGTGACAGGGAGAGGAGTTGATCTCAACCGTAATTGGAGCGTAGATTGGGGCAAAAAGGAGAAGGTTAATCACGCTTGTTCATTTGATGCTAGTCTTATTTTCTTATTCATGCTATACCGCATATATCATGTTGCTTGTTTATTTCATCTTTTAATTGTCTTCTTGAGGTGGACCTTGTTTACCATTTATAGCAGTGCACGTAATATATAACACATCATTAGATGAAGCTGTAGTCTCATTCATTGTTTTTCCTGCTTTCTTTCTTTAAATTAAATATTCAACTGTCATTTCGTTTCTTTTGCTATTTTGTGCTTAAGACTCTTCTTTCATTTTTATGTTGTTTTTCTATCACAGGATTATGATCCATATGAGGAAAATCCTGGAACTGCTCCTTTCAGCGAACCTGAAACTCAGATAATGCGGAAAGTTGCCATGTCATTTGATCCACACATATGGGTTAATATACACTCTGGAATGGAGGTACGTCAGACAAACTTTCAGTTATTATTCCCTACTGTTGACTCCGAAGTCATATTCACAATTTCTGGAAATTTCTGATTAAAGCACTTCTGTTTTACAAAAGTAGCAATGTCACCTACGATTTTGTCACTTACAGTGTATACAGTTTTATATTCTTTTACCAATTACCATTGTAGTGACCCTTAATTTTTGTTTAATTTTTAATTTAGGGTTTGTGTACACTGCATATGGCACATTTCTTATATAGCTTCTGTTTTTTTAGGCTCTATTTATGCCATATGACCATAAGAACACAACCCCTGATGGAGTTTCCTCGCACCAGATGAAGTCATTGCTTGAGGAACTCAACCATCTGCATTGCCAAAGGCGTTGCATGATTGGGTCTGGTGGAGGTTCTGTTGGGTTAGTATTACTAACAGTCACTATTTTTGTTCAGCTGTTCGTTGTTATTATTACCAATGATATCTTCTGTTTTTTGCTTGCCCAATATGATTGATTACATGGCGGGGATGCTAGCCTCAATAACCAATTGAATTGTGCTGGAGGATGAGGTCTAGAGGGTTTTACAGAGGAAATTTGGCACTTGTGAGGGCATAGGAGTAGTTGGAGTGCAAGGCTGAAGCCCTGCTGGGTCTAAAATTTTAAGTAGTTTAGTTGGCTCATTAATCTTTACACCTCAACATGAGCCAGAGTTTAAAGGATTTAAAGCTCACTATTTTAAAATGCTTGTTGTAAGTTTTTCCATTAAATTTTAATACGGCTTAATTGTAGGTATCTGGCACACGGGACATCAACTGATTATATGTTTGATATTGTAAGGGTGCCAATGGCTTTCACCTTTGAGGTTTGTCAAATTATCCCTCTTTTTCCTTCAAATTTATGATCTCAAAGAAAACTTGACTAAGACAAATCTGCATCCTTTTTCATTTTGACTAAGATATATGGAGATGGAGCAGCATCATCAAGAGATTGCTTCAAAATGTTCAATCCCACTGACTTTGGTACCTTCAATGTATGTTAGTTTTTCGGTTCATCTTTTAAGTTTCAGCATATACAGAACCAACAGTTAATGAAATGGAGTCTCAATGAACCAACAGTTAATGTTTAACAGTGTAAAATTTTCGCTTTCAGAGAGTTCTCAATGAATGGTCTGCGGCATTTTTCACAATTTTTAAATTGGGGCCAAACCAGCTTGGTGAAAATTATTCCAAGGCTTCTGTGCCCACCTTAGACAAGTGGGTATCCATAGATGAGTATCTTGACGGGTACTTAGTTGAGAGGAGTAGCAGATATGGAAAGAAGATGGAGGTGCTTGAATTAGGAATGCAGGAGATAAGAACATATTTCAGGCTCTTCTTGTTATCTTCCGTCCTGTTATTGTTCATGTTCTGTTCCAGAATTTCAAAAGGAAAGTGTGCTAGACCAATTGTTTCTGCTATTGCACTCTGATATTGAGAAACAACCCCGCGTCAGCAGCTTCCTGCCGCACTGGACTGATCGGATGTGGTTCTGCACATTCCACCTCTTCTCCATTTGTTTCCAATAGTTTTAGTGAAACACCATGAGAAACACCATGAGCAGCAAGAAGTTGAGGTCCGTAATTTGAAGTGAATTTTGATTTACCCGTTCCTAGTCGTCATGGGAAGAACGGGAAAAATAAGAATATATATGCCAAATTTTTGAGATAGGATCTCTTCACATTTTATATGTACAACTACACACAATACGAACAATTTTTCTTAACTCATAGTGTAATTGTTTACTCTGTAAAACTCGTCATATTCTTTTCAAGTGAAGCATCAATGTATTTGCTTACTGATTCTTCGGATGTCTTAATTTTGCATATCACAACACCGGACTAAAATATAATGCACATCTCTTTGCAGACATAGAAAAAATGTGGAAAACAAAATGCTGCCTAAATAATCACGCTCTTCCAATAAAGACATGAAGAAAAAAAAATATAAGCCGATTTAGTTTTATAATTACATTCCACTTTATGATAAAAAGTAATTGGCAAATTTTTACAAGATACAAGCAACAATTTATCTGGTGCTTAACCTATGATTATATTGAAGGGAAGGGGGTTGTTTCTTCAACTGTTCTCGTGTTTGTTAAGAGGGTGTGGCAGGTCTCTTTCTTCCCAAACTCTGGAACATGATCGTCCTTGAGGTTGAATTCCATTGCATGATGGCCAGCCTAAATCATGGTTCCTGCAAAATCATCAGACAGAAAGAAAAAAGAAATGTTTGGAGATGCTGACATTTGTGAAACTTAAATTCATGCTTGTGTGTGTAAATACGCGGCTTTGGCCTAACCTTCCTATTAGACCCTAAACTACTGAAGGAAGAAAAAAATATGTCAATATACAGTTTGGGCCTAACCTTCATATGAGACCTGACTAGATCAAGCATGATTAGGTGAACACAAGTAAATTTGGCTATACGATACGACTCAAATCATATCATTCATCATCTGAGTGTCTGTTTCATGTATTTCAGAGCAGACCGCAACATTGCCCTGGCTTTCCTATCTGGAGTGCATCTAGACAGAATCATTTCTTCATACACAGCTGGAACCTGAAACCAAACAACGCAACCTATGTTGAAATATACCAAACATCCTCAGATACTGGAATTATCTAACAAGTATATAAGTCACATGGCATGCAATAAGAAATGGAGGCACCACAAAAACTGAAGGCCTATTATGCATACAAAATGCAGAGGTCATCTATGATAAAGGACATTATACAAGATTCATATACCTTGTAAAATTTATCAACACGGATAAGGGTTTTCATAAGTGTAGTATATGTAACTACATCTGGTTTCAGGTCCTGCAGTTATAAGGAAGCAAGTGAATTGTAATAAAATGGCAAAGATCAAATGTACCACTTTGTGCAGTAATAATAAATTAGAAACTGTGAAAAACATTAGAAATTAACTTACATTTTCCTTCATGTACTGCAACACAGAAAAGGCCTCAGCATCCCTTCTATCTTCACCAAATGCATTGATTAATGAATTGAGAGCTAAGAGACTGGGTTTTAAGCCATCTGCTCTCATGACCCTAAATGCATTCAGTGCTTGCTCAGACAAACCCTGTCAAACATTCACATGGAAGATCAAAAAAATGCTCAACCATCACACTCATGATAAGACTATCCAATTCATTATCAGAGATCCAAATAGAAAGATAAAACGGTAGTTTGAATTGAAGTAATGAGAAAAGCTTTCTGGTTGGAAATTAATCAGCATATCTAAAGCTTCAGCAGTCCAAATATAAGTAAATAAATGGTATATTCAGCAATATTTTTGAACTTCGTCACTGGTAGTACTGAGGACAGGTTTGAGATTGTGTCAAAGCTAAAAACTGAGGGAGTGCAACTTTCTCAAATGGTATGACAATCCACTTGAAGCTGGTCATGTCATTACGAATAGATATGACACTGAATAAAAAAATTTGCCATATGATGGTTTCAATTCACAGAATAATGTTTTTTCAGAAAGAAAAAAAGAAGAAGAAGAAAGATCAATTGTATAATGCAAGGGAAAAGTGAAGGTAAAATCACCTAGGATAAGATGGTTATATGCTTAACATATTCCAGTATTCTACATTCTGAGAAATGCCAGCAAGTGTAATGTAACTCAAGTGAGGAGGGTGCATAATGAAATTACATAAGGTGTGTCAGAAGTGTAGAGAATACAACTTACTCTTTGTGCATAGGCATTAATTAAGGCATTGTACATAGTCGGGGATGGTTTCAAGCCTGCAGACTTCATGACCTCCAAGCACTCTATTGCATCATTAAATCTCCCCGACTTTCCATAAATATCAATTAGGGTGGTATAGGTAACTATGTTGGGCAGTAAACCCTGAGCCTGCATCTTCCCCAACAAGCCCTTCACCTCAACCCATCTCTGCTGCTCCCCAAAGGAATTTATCATGATGTTATAGGTGGTGGCGCAAGGGGCGCACCCACTTTGGTGCATTTCCTCAAATAATTCCTCTGCCCTTTTATGGTGGCCTGACTTGCAATGACAATCTATAAGCGTATTCCAGGTGACGGTGTCGGGTTGAATTCCCTCGGATAGCATCCTTTCAAAGGTAGCCATAACATGATCAAGACAGTTAGACTTTCCAAATGTGTCAATCATGACATTGTAAAATGCCTGTCGGGTCTTACCCCGCTGCTCTTCATCTCCCTCAATACTTGGAACGACTTTTGCCACTCTCCTCTATCACGGTAGCTGGCTAAGATCCTACTGAAAACGTAGGAATTAGGCTGCACATTGCTGGCTTCCATCTCTTTCAGCACAATTCTTGCGCTTTCCCACCTCCCCGCATTCGCATAGGCATCAATGAGCAGGCTGTATGTGTGCTCATCGGGTGAAATGCCGCTCCTCTCCATCTGAGACACGATGGATTCGGCGTCTTTCAATTGAGCAGCCTTTACATAGCCTTTGAGCAGGGCATTGTAAGCCCTGGTCCTGGGCTGCAATCCTCCTTCTTTCATCTCCTCGAAGATAGCTTCGGCTTCAACCACCCTACCGCAATTCCCTAGGGCGGAGATGAGGGCAACCAGAGTGGCGGTTTTGGGGCTCAAGCCAGTGGCCTGGACCATGGCGAGCAGATGCATAGCCTGCGTGGGCTCACCGGCTTTTGCGAAACCAGCAATGATGTCGTTGTAGAGCTGGCCATCAATCTCAATGCTCTCCGACTCAATCTCCCGGTAAAGCTTGATCATAATGGGGGAATCAATCTTGTTGGAGCGGGAGAGGGATTGAATGATCAAGCTGTAATTGACGAAGTCGGAGCGATAACCGTCTTGGCGCATGCGGGACATCAAATGGAGGGCCTTCTCGAGGTCGCCGTTGCGGGCACAAGCGCCTATGAGGGCATTGTAGGTGAGCGGTGTTAAGGATTGTCGCTGGGAGAGCAAGAAAGCCTCGTAGAGTTTCTCGGAGCGGCCGAGGGCGTGGATGAGGATGGAGTAGAGGAGTTCGTAGGAGAAGCAGAGGTTGTGCTTTTGGAGCCAGGAAACGACGGCGTAGGCTAGTTGTATGTCGGAGGAGGAGGAGGAGCAGAGAGATTTGAGGAGGGAGTGCCAGAGTGGGGCGGGCACGGCCCGGTACGACTCGGCCAGCTGGAACTCGGCTGGGTCGAGTGAGGTTGGGGAGGAAGCGGAAGATGACATTGACATTGACTTGGCGGCGAGGAAGGTGAGGAGGGGGCCGAAGTCATAGCGGGAAACGGCAGCTTGGTGGTCGTCAAAAGAGCGCCGTCTTGAGTTTGAGGTTGAGGTTGAGGATGGAATTGGGGGTAGATGGGCTTGGGATGAGTTGGTAACGGCAGCGGCTGTGGTGGCGGACAGAGACCACAAATGGAACATATGGTGTTGGTGGTGGCGGATGAGTATTGGAGAAGCCAATTGAAAGGAAGGGAAGCGAGTCGACCCTGGCAGTGGAACCGGAAGAAGAAGCATGTTTGTTTGTTGATAATATTTGACTGATTGCTTGCTTTACTGAGAGACTATCTAATATCTGTCTGTCTCTGTGTTTAGCCAGACAACCCGCCCAACTAGCATACTATTTTATCGGTTTCGTTTCTGGCTCTGGCTCTGGGGATAGTTTTAGTGGAGGGAAGGCGAAGAAGAACAATAGCCAGCCAACAAGACATACTTGATAGTAAGTAAGTACACTAAACGGAGGAGGGCCTATCCTCTGTTTTCCGGAACAGGGATCTGTTTTCCCCATATCAATCCTTCACCTGCCACGTAAGCTTTATAAGATTCCTTTTGTACTCGGGCGTGCTTCTTGCGGAGCCACTCGACTCGCAGTATGAAAATGCTTCGCCTTTAAACTTTTTAAACCCTTCCTCACCGCCTCACCCTTGCTTGCTTGCTGTCCGTCAGGCTTAGGGTTTCTCTGCAACAGTCGCTTTGCGAGCTCAATTCAACGAGCCCCATAAGGCGCGCTATTCCTTCAAATCTACGTGTCGCCTCCCCAAAGAGAAACTTGAGGTTCTATCTTTCAGTTCTTTTTCTTTTTCTGTTCTTTCTAAATACCACTGCAAGCAAGGCAAGGCAACTGAACTGGTTTTAAATTTGCGCGAGATTGTCGTTGCCGCTTCAGATAAGGGTAGGTAGGATCATTGCATTTTCAATTTTAGATTTGAAATTGGATGTTTTGTGTTGGTATTAGAGTTATTAGCACTCTTGCTAGATTTCCAAAGTATCTAACTCAATTTATTCTTTAGATATTGAGATTTGAAACCACCTCGTGGACATGGAGCCTGCGATCATGTATGGAAATGGCCATTACCCCGCTTATTCTGACACCAAACTTGTGTTTGAGTTGAGTTGTAGCTTGCTCAATGCTGATAGATACATCAGCGCTGTTGTTGTTGTTGTGGCTTCAGCAAGCTCTACATCTGAAGAGTCCGACTACATTGACTCATTTGGAAGTCAATGTCTTTCTGTATTTAGGTCTCTTGGTTTCGTGTTCATTTGAACTACAGGCTACAGCTAGGTATAGGCTTTCACATTTGATTATTATAGCATTGTATTTAGGTCTCCCTTCCTGTATCCAACTCTTCTATTATCGGATCATAATTATTATATTTGGATTCAGGTTGAATCTGATGATGATGATCACGACGAGCCATGGCCTCCCAAGCTTTGAGAAAGACACTGAGCGAAGCCCCATCCAGGAGCATGTGTGAAACGGTGGCAGCAATAGCTAAGCAACTGGAGCACCTGGAGTGGGAGTATCCCATGTTCATGGAGATGGAAGAAATTTTGAGATTAATGAGAGATTAGGACTGTTGAGAAAGTGATTCAAATGGGAGTCAGTGCGGGCCTCAATATAGTAAGCTCCTTGGTCGTTGCAACTTGCAATCTATGGAAAGGTGGCCTTTGATCCTTCCTGCAAGAGGGTAAAAATGGGTTAAAGTTTTAGACAGAGACTGCTTTAGCAGCAGCAGCAGTTGCCATCTTTTATCATCCGCCATCTCCAGTATAGGATTGGGATTGGGATTGGGATAATAGAGGAGCATGGGGAGATAGACGAGAGGTGCGAACTGGTCCACGAGAGACAGATTGTATATATAGCATGGCATCTAGCTGCTGCTAAGCGCTAACGCTCGCTCCACCGTAGTTTCATGTACCCGCAAAATCTTTATTAAACATGGCATCTAGCTGCTGCTAAGCGCTAACTTTCTAATCTCCTATTAAACTAACTGTCACATTAATGCAATTTTTTATTCTTCATCAGTATGGTTAAATATATATATATATATTTATATATGGCTTAAAAGTTAATAGCAGAAAGAAAAAAAAAGAATTTATGGTTAAAAATAAATAGGACAAAAGTCTTTTAAGTTTATTGCTAGAAAAAATTGTTGTTTGGGGCTTATACTAAAATTCCCCAGCCCTCCACCTAATTGGTGTCTGGTCATCTCTCTATTGAACCCTCATCTACTTCCAGATTCTAAAGGCACGCTCACAGACTAAGTAGTGGATCTAGTATCACCATTAGCCAGGCCTTGTGGAGCCTTGTGATTCATGAACTTGTGCCACTATATTGAAATTTGAAATTCCACGAGGAGTAATCGTAATTAAACATTTTCTCCTGGAGGCAATTCTGCGAGCTTTGGAGGAGTCCCAAGTACTCGTTCCATATCAAAACGAACTTCAATATTGCGAATGCTGTATCCCACAACCATCAGCCAATACAGCAGCTTGGCAAGTTCCGGTGCACTTGTCTCTGTTACACTTGTCTGTAGCAACAATTTAACAAGCTTAGGTTATATTCAATTTAAGTGATTCAAGACAACTTAACTTGATTAGAACAAACATCACTGATTTTGAGAATAAATAATATGAGATGCTCGGCTTCAGTTCATGACATAAATTGACTTTGATCCAGGGTGCATGTAAAACAGTTACTCTAGTTTTCAAGTTATTCCCCTCCAACAGTCCAACCCGCAGCCCCCACAGTGACTCTATTTCACCTTCTTTTTTTCAGTACATAACATATTATGATATAAAGAAAATTTTGGAAAATACTTCACTGAAACTTCAACCAGAATCTAAATACAGCTCATTGCAAAGGCAAACCTTCATTTGGCCAGGATCTGAAACAGCCAAAAGCCGCTTGATGAATGTATTCATTGCAACCACAACATCGTCTCCAGCACTGCTCGTCAACTCCTACAAATTTGAACACATTTAACCAGAGGTCACAAAGAGATTTATGGCCCCTTCAATACTAATATACAAGCAATAATAGCTGATTCTCATGACATGAAACAGAGCACAGTTCACATTATTCCGCTACCATATCCTGGGGACAATGCCCCAACTGACTAGTAGCAGGTAGGATCTTCCCAATCAGTTTTACCTCGAACAATAACAGTAATAATAATAGTGCTCATCTTGAGATATTCCAACAAAAAGCACCTAGCCTTTAGCCACGAACCAACCATTCCTCGGCTACCAGCCACGCACCTAGCATCTAGCCAATAAAAAGCAGTTCAGATAAACAGAGGGGAAGTTGTTTACCTTTAAATTTTGGGGCTCAAGAGACTTGAGATACTCCAACAGTTCATTTTGTCCACTCGCAGATTTCCTCCCAACTTGAGGATTTAGTTCCTCAATCTCTGCTTCAAGTAACTCAATGTACTTCTTAGCATCTATTCTCTCAGGGCCAGAAACATTATTCCACCTAATAACTTCACCTGACACATTCTTCTGTGTCCCAGGTGCATAATCTGGTGCATCCTGTAAGTCACAGGGTACCAATTAAAGGTTGTACAGAGGAACCTCTCGAAAATAAAACAGAAGCCTCAAAATGAGTGAGTGAACAACATAACTAAATGAAAAAGAAGAAAGAAAAAGATTTATTGTTTACAGCTTTATGAATTTTCCTTGACAAAAACTGCCTTAATTAGAACACCACTAGCTAAAAGTGCACAGCTTTGAAGATTACATCTCCATTAAGAATCATTGGAATTTCACAAGCTCTGCAATTTACTTAAAGATGTGGTACTTTCCACGTTAGTAAGACAAGGGTCAGATAATTAGGAGTGGCATTATAGCCTAATCTCAATGCCATCAGAAAATACAAAACAACTACATGGTAAAGAAAAGCCTTCCCAAAGCACACAGGTCCGAGAGGTAATGTCTGAAAGTGTAGCCACCACAAGGTTTCTCCTCAGCAAATGGTGATGTAGCAAAAGGTTTCCACAACCACCCAAAGTATAAGAACGTTCATAAATATAAACTGAAAGATATGAAGGGAAAAAATATTACCCTTTTATCTTGCACATCAGGAAGAGCAACTGGCTCTAAACCTTGCTGGAGTTCCAACCTGTACTGTGCATTCTGAAACATATATCCAGTCATCATGATACTGTACATGAGTTGTGCAAGATTTTCGGCAACCTGAAATGGAAGTCAACCAATCCCACTGAATATATAAATTGCTTAAACACAACTATTATGAAAACATGCACAAAAGATTTGCATCAGTAAATCAGTCAGCCAACAAGTACAGAGAACCCATCAGATCGTATGATACTCACGCTGCTAGTTCTATGAAGAGAAAGAATATTAAAAGCTATATACTTACGGTGGTGACTGTGACTGCAAAAATTGTGGGGGTAGAGTTCCAATCATGTTTGTGACTGTTTGGCGCATTGCATCAACCACCTACATGAGTAACCGTGAAAAGTGGTTTGATTTCAGCCGATTAGTCATGGAAATAGAAATCCATAGCCTCTATCTTTACATTAGTCAGACAGATATTTTATTCATTTTAATGGGTTTGTGCCGAAGACGTATAAAATACCTGCTGGGGTGCCCTTTTTACAAAGAGCTCCATGAATTCTGGCTGCACATTTTTTACATATTCCAAAAGAATTTCTCTCCTGCTCTTTGGCTGTTGAGTTCAAGAAATTTAATCAATCATATGAGTTGGGTTGGCAACAATATATGTGTTTCAACTAGACAACGGGTCTACTTTAGTAAGATTAACAATTGAGAAAAGAGAGAGCGAGGCATCTAGCAGGCCAATTGGGAGAGATAAAGAAATACCAGAGTGCCGTTGGGAGGCTTGGAATCGCCAGACCCATTGGGACTGTCGCTCTTTGAAGACTCGTAAGCGTGAATTCTCAACCTGCTTCCTCTGTTTTTCGTCTTTATTCGGAAGGTAACCGAAGAAGAACACGACCCAGGCCAAAAATGTAAAGAAGAAGAAGAAGCCGACGAAGAAGAAGTAGAAAATTTTGGTAAAAAGAAAGAGGGCTTCACCGTCAACGAATACATGTTAGTTAGCATAGCAGCCTCCACAGAATCCAAGAAACTTGGAAAACCCAAAACTAAGGGATTTACTAATTCCTTGTTCCCTAATATCCTTGTTGCTGTGCTCTTGCCATCAACAACACCACCACCACACACATACACAGTGGGTGAGGGTGCACAGTGCAGGGGTGGATGAGGAGGGTTTTCACGTTTGCATAAATTGAGAGCGTGTAATACAGTCCATGGAAAGTACCATGCGGCTGCAGTATTGGATGATACCTCTGTCCCTTTTTAAAATTGATGGGATTTTTTAAGAAATCTCATCCGAATTTATATCTCACTTTAAATAAAAAATTTAAAGAAATGTAATCTTTATTTTTCAAAATCCATAATTTGTCATCTCACTTTAACACTATTCAATTTTCCATCCATTTTCAAGGGTATTTTAGTCTTTTTATTTTCAAAAAAACAAAAGGAAAAAAAGATACCTCTCTCCCTATTTCCACCACCCTAACCCCACTCGTCCCCATAACACATTGCACATGACCCCCCCTCCCCTTCTACTCTCTCTCTCTCTCTCTCTCTCTCTCTCTCTCTCTCTTTCCCTATGAGCATGTATAAAAAAAAATTTGGTATTCATTGAGCATGTCTAAAATTTTCAAAAAGAAAAATGAAGAAGGTGGACTTGGTTTGGGTGGGCTAGGGAAATTTGTGTGTGGAGGAGGGTAGGTGTTCCATGGTAGAGAGAAAGGATAAAGGGGAAGAGTGAAGGGGGAATGGAGGATGGGGTTGTGAAGAGGTTAGAGAGAATAGATTTCAAGGTGGGTGGGGTTGGGTGGAGTTGCCGGTGGCGCATAAGGGATGGGGGAAGGTGATAAATTTTTTTTCAATTTAATTATTTAAAATATATACAATGTTTTATATAATAATTTTTTCATTTTTAAAGTACCCTTTAAAATGGATGAAAAATTGGATGGTGTTAAAGTCATATGACAAATCATGGATTTTGAAAAATTAAGGTGACATTTCTCTTAAATTTTTCATTAAGGTGACAAATTGAAATTGAGGTATAAGTTCAGCTGACATTTGTATAAAAATCCCTAAATTTATTTTAGTTTTCTAAAACAAATATCACTCGTTGCCCTTTCAACATAATTGATAGCATCTACTTAATAAGTAAATAAACAGAGGACAGAGTTAAGCAATAAAATTGTGAGTTTAAAACTTGCTAATTAAAAAAGAAAATAAAAGAAAAAAATGATTTTGACATAAAAATAAGCGAGGAACTAATTAGAAACATATAACTGAAAATAAGCCTAAACAATTACCACATACCAGCATCAATTCGGCCGAATCAAATTGTAATTACAGGTTTGGTTTTGTTTTTACCTAGAAAAAGTTAAACGGTTTAAAAATCGAACCAGATCATATATGGTTTGGTTTGATTTGGTTTTGAATTTTTGTAAACCAGCCTAAACTAAATCGAACCGTTTATGTGTATATTTATTCATTTATATTCTATTTTACATTTGTAATACTCTAATTAGGTAATAACTATATATGGATATTTGAATTGAGCTATATTAGTTATTGAAATTTGAAGTTTTATGGCATATTAAGCTTTAGGACGGTTTCGTACTCTAGAATGATTTAAGTATAAAGCAAGTTGTGAATTTATTGGTTGTAGTTGGGCTAACAATGTTTAAGAAATGCAAAAAGAAAGAGAATTGGGCTTAGGCCCAAACTGGCCAAACCAAACCATCTTAAGGTTCAGTTTCCTTCATGACTTTTTTTTAAAATCAAACAAAATCAAATCGTTATATTGTAATTGGTTTGGTCATGATTTTAAGGTGAAACTAATCCAATCTGAAACGTGCCTACTCCTAGCAACAAGGCATTAATGAGGTGCACATTCATATTATTTGTTTGGCAATCAAATTAAATGAAAAATGTACTTATAAAGTAGGGGGTTGTTTTGGTCTTAACCTGTAATCCAACTCGATATATAGCGATTTATGATTTCTTGGACTTAAGATCTACTAGGGATAGGTTCAGTTCGGCAACCAAATAGAGAGGCACAAACCGATTACCGAACCAATGGTGGTTAGAATGCTAAAACGGGACCGCTACCAACACCGACGGCTGTTTGACGATTGTCAATTGAAACGATGGTTAAACGGGAGAGAGAGAGAGAGAGAGAGAGAGAGAGAGAGAGAGAGAGAGAGGGCGACTTTATGGACTATAATAGTGTTAGGGTGATATAAGGGTTTTCTAATAAATCTCTTTTTTTTTAATTATTAATTTTATCTTAATGATACCACTAAATAAATTAGCAATACATAATTTGAACAAAGAAGCGTTGTGGTGCAATGGTAAATGGTTGAGTATGTGAGTTGGAGGTTAGGGGTTCGAAACCTTCTGTCGATTCAGTTCAGTCGAACTGATGGTTTGCAAAATCCAAGCCGAGTGTCTGGTTCGATCAGTTTCCTAGTTCGAATCAAGTTTTGGGTGAAAAATACTAGCTCTAAGATCGAATGAACTCAAAATTAAGCTCACTTTTAAGTTTTTATTCTAATCTATAACTCAACTCGTATATATTAGTTTATAATTTTTTTAAACTTGGACATGCTCAAAATCCAACCCAACCCACCAAATTCTCTAATAATTAAATTGAACGGTTTAATTAGGTTGACTCGAAATTGTCCTCCCCCATTGTAAATTAAGGATTAAGAAGGGATCATTTAATTACATGTACACACTATTTTAAGCTCAAAACTAAAAACTGGCTGGGTTAAAACGGATTTTAAAATTTTATATTTGATTGGTTGTTTGTTTGTGTCCCCCGGTGAAGGGAGTATTTGATTTTGATAGGAAAGGGAAGACGGACACGGCAGCACCAGAGCAGAGCAGAGTAGAGCAGAGAAGTAGTAGTAACAGGCTGGCTGCCAACCACAATCACAAGCACTCCTCTCCTCCTCCTCATCCGAAAGGCCGAAACTCCAAAGCCAAGTCTTGATTTGAGAGACAATGTTGTATTTGTATTTGTAACAGCAACAGTCAAGTCTGCGGGTGCGAGGGAGGGACGGAGGGAGGGCGATTTGTTTCTCCGTGCTCTCTCTGTTTGCGTTTGTGTTTATAGCAGCTCATTCTCTTTCTTTCTTTGTTTGCCTCCCTCGTTCATTTCATTCATCCAAATTCCAAACCCAACGGATTCATTCATACATAACACACAGGAGACTGAACGACTCCAAAATACCAACAACAAAAAGGAAAAAAACGAAATGGCCTTTCATTTTCAACGCCGCCGCCTCCACTACTACCACCGCTTTCGCTTTCTTCTTCCCCTCATTTCCGCCATCTCCGGAGCCCTTCTCATCCTCTTCGCTCTTCTCTTGATTCTTGCTCCTTCTCCTTCTCCTCTCGATGTCAATCACCTCCATCAACCACGTCACCAACACTCTTCCTCTTCGGTACGACAGTACAATTTCACAAATAATTTCATTACATTCTTATCCTAATTGCTTCTATTTTCATCTTTTTCTTTCCAGTTCAATGTTGGCGTGGACGATGATGCGATTGGAGTTCCAGTCTTTCGTGTTCCGGTTAGGTTTTTCCTTTTCTTTTCTTTATTTATTCGCTTCGTTATTTCCTCCGGATTTGAGTCTAACAGTGTCAGTTATTGGTTGGATCTTTACGCTTCTCGCTTACTTCTTCAAAATCAGAGCCGTGGAGGGAGATCAGATCGCGATATTTGGACTTCTAGGAATTCAAACTTCTACTATGGATGCAGCAATGCCACCCACAAGTTTCCAAGTGCGTATATTATTCCGCCGTTTTCTTCTTCTTTTATTCCAATTATCTTTCCATTTTAAGTATTACCAAGGTCTAGGGTTTTCCATTTTTCTACTGTTATGAATTTGTGTATATGGTTCGTAAAATGACAGTTCTGTTTGTGTTCACAATGACACTCTTGTTTTCAATTTGATCCTGAATAGCTGTCGTGTTCATATTTGCAGATGTTGATGAAATTACACCTCCTAATAGGTACTTGGCAATTGCAACCAGTGGAGGTTTGAATCAACAAAGAACTGGGGTAACTTTCCTTACTTTTTTTTTCTCAACTGCAGCATTCCAATCATAATTAGTGCATTGATGGTTCGTTCAGCATGTCGGAGAGGATGTTTGATTCCACCTGAACTCTGACAGTTTAATTGATGGCATAAACGAGGGTAAAAGGAGTAATTAGGTAGACTAGGAGTTTTCCTTGTGTTAGTTTAGATATTTGATGCTTGGATGTATGCATTTCTAACCATTTTATTCCCTTGTATTTGTGAGAACTCTGGAGACACAATGCTCTATTGAATTGGTTGATATGTTTTCTTAATCCAAGAGTAGAATTTGTGACGCAGTTAGTTGCCTTTGATTTAGTTGATTTTTACTGTAAATAGTTTAGTTTCTCCTTATATTGGAATCCAGAAAATGCTATTCAGTGACATATCTTGTGACCTATCTATGTCACATTTGTGCTAGAGTTTTAGCATAATCTTTTTTACTTTTGGTATGGAACTTACTCTACCTATACTATACTTTGGGCAGATTACAGATGCCGTTGTTGCTGCTCGTATACTGAATGCTAGTCTTGTTGTTCCAAAGTTGGACCAGAAGTCTTTCTGGAAGGATGCGAGGTCAGTCATTGAATTGCCTACATATGCTGCCCTCTTTACTTACAATCTGGATTTTGTTATTACAGTAACATGTGACATGTTAGAGGTAGTGTTTTCTTAAATTAAAATTTTACAAATCAATTGTTTTCTTTTGCAGTAATTTTTCAGAGATCTTTGATGTTGATTGGTTTATATATTTTCTATCAAAAGATGTTAAAATCATTAAGCAGCTCCCTAGAAGGGGAAAGGGAGGTAAAACGTGGACACCATCAACTATGCGTGTCCCAAGGAAGTGTAGTGAAAGATGTTATCAGAATCGTGTATTACCTGTTCTTTTGAAAAGGCATGTAAGTTTTCAGTTCTCTTAAGCTTCTAATTTCTTGTAGAGCGTAGAAACTTCTTTTATTATTTCCTCTCTAAGTTGCAGCAGTACTACCTTCTTTTTTGCTTATTTTTGTATCTTGGTATTCACTTTGCTTTTCAGTTGTTACTTTGAAGTATTCACTTTTCTTTTCAGTTGTTACTTTGAAGGACATGATATTTCCATAGTTCATGCACTCACATTTATCCAGTGCCCAATCTTGTGGACCAAATGATGGAGTTATTTTCCTTTTGTGAAAATCAAAACATTTCTTAACTGCTATGAATCCAATGCGAAGTAAACACGGAAAGGCATAACAGAATGAATTTCTTGGTCAGACGTTTTGTTTTCCCTAAGGATAATATTTGTAAACTACCAACCCTGTTCATTGATACGAGATTAATAGATTGATGTATCTGCACATATCCTGTTAAATCAAAAGACACTTTCTTATAGACTCTTAATTCATGAAGGTTTCGCGTTTTGTAATATAAAAAAAGGTATTAACTCCCAAACTTATATTCATATCTAAAGTGCTCAAAAATATGAATCGTTGTAATATTCTTTATTGCCGATACCATTTAGAAATGTCCCCTTTCAGGCTCACTTCCTTGTATGTTACCCAGTTTCAAATTGAGTTCCTATCATTTCTATAATACATTTAAGGCTGCAAGCAGGGGAGCTGAACTGAGCTTTAGGCTAACTAGACTCAGGTCTCTAGTCCTTTATCAATCCCTTGATGAGTGGCTCCCCTTTTTTGGCACCCTGAATGTCTTCTTGAATAATCTTTGTACAAGTATCTAAAATTTATAGAAAAGGCACTTATTAGTTTTCATTATGTGACAGGCTGTTCAGCTCAACAAGTTTGACTACAGACTTGCAAACAAGTTGAGTACAGATCTTCAAAAATTAAGATGTAGAGTAAACTACCATGCTTTAAAGTTTACTGACCCAATACAGAACATGGCTAAAAAGTTGGTTTATCGAATGAGGATGAGAAGCAAGCATTATATCGCATTGCACCTGAGGTAATCTTATCTGTCTTTTAATTTTTGTGTTTAGCACTACCATATGGTCTTGGTTTGTTGCTGTCTTTCTTGGATATATGTAGATTAATCCATAGAATTGCATGTCGATTCTTTGTTCCAACAATCATATATTTCTCTGTACATTTGTATACTTGGATTTCCATATCGATTTGATATATCATACATTTATAGAAATACATGTTCATGAGTAGATTAACAAAACCCATTAAATTCCTTCACACATTTAGGCAAGTAACAGGTTGTGCCCCCATTACATACAAGGTTCTGCAAATTTTAAGGGTAACTTGTGAAATGGTTTCTTGATATAATTGAACGTTTACTGTTACAGGTATGAACCTGATATGCTTGCATTCTCCGGATGTTATTATGGTGGAGGAGATAAGGAAAGGAAAGAACTGGGTGCAATACGAAGGAGGTGGAAGACTTTACATGTAAGGCTTAAGTGATGTTCTTTTGGACTTGTGTAATCTTATGTCTTACCCTGAAATCAAATATTTAAGAATAAGACATTTAAAACCTAACTTTCTGTTTTTAAAATTTTCAAAAATGTGCAAGAGCAAGTTGTATTTACATAGTGAAGACTAACAAAAACGCTACTATTAAAGCAAATGAAAAGAAAATGTTAATCGATCATGCGTATGATGTGTGTATTGAGTTAATTTCTATCCCATTGATCTGGATCTATAGATTGGTATGTATAAATGTATTGGATGGAGTTGCAGATAAGCAATCCTGATAAGCCAAGGAGGCATGGGAGATGTCCACTTACTCCAGAAGAAGTTGGTCTGATGTTGAGAGCACTGGGTTATGGCAGTGATGTTCATATCTATGTGGCATCAGGGGAAGTGTATGGAGGAGAAGAAACATTGGCACCCCTTAAGGCACTATTCCCCAACTTTTATTCAAAAGATACAATAGCAACGAAGGAGGAACTGGAACCATTTTATTCATTTTCTTCTCGCATGGCTGCACTTGACTTTATAGTTTGTGATGAAAGTGATGTCTTTGTCACCAACAACAATGGTAATATGGCTAAAATATTAGCCGGACGAAGGTATGTTGTCTTTCTTTGCCCTTTCTACTTCTCTTCTCATCTTATTCTTCTTCCCTCCACCTGCTTAGTTCACATTTTTTATTTTTTGCAGGAGATATTTTGGACATAAGCCTACTATTCGTCCAAATGCTAAAAAACTCTACCGGTTGTTCCTAAGCAAAGAGAACATGACCTGGGGAGCTTTCGCTTCTAGCGTTCGTACTTACCAGAGAGGCTTTATGGGTGAGCCAAATGAAGTGAGGCCAGGCAGGGGTAGTTTTCATGAGAACCCACACACCTGCATATGTGAAGATTCGCAGGCCAAGGTCAAGAGGGATGTGGGACCAAGAAAATATGGTAAGGTTATTAATGAAACAAGAAGAGATGAAGTAGAATCTGATGCCCAAAACGTGGAAGATGATCCAGAATGGCCTGATACTGATGAGGAAGAAGATCAAAGTGGCCCTCTGGACAATGATATGTTTAACAGAACAGGTGTGGATTATGACGCTGTCAGCTCCGAGGAACCTGAATTGGAGGAGATGCTTTCGGATTAGATGATATGTTTAACTGATTATAATGTGCAATTTCTTCCTCATATCTTTCACTTTAACTATTTCCAGCTCTAAGCCTGCCCAAAAGTTTTGAATATGGACCCTCCTACCTGCCTATGTCAACTGTATATAAAACTGAGGATAGGTAATGTGCATCCCCTACTTTTGTGGGTACTGGCACGAGGCTCATTTGATGACAGCAAACTGATTTTCGACCTCAAAACTCGCGAAGCATCCTATGTGCAATTGCAAGGGTCACGAACGAAAGACGGATTTTGATGGAGCAATGACTCGGAAGCAGATGTGAGCAGTCAGAGAATGGGTATTTGGAACCAAGGTTGGATTGAGCCTCGACGCTTATACTAAGAATATTTGAACTACTCACAAGAATGTTTGGCTTCTTTCCAAATCACCTGAGAAACTAAGTGCAAGGGAAGTTGGTTTTGGGGGGTTTGGTTTACAGTCTTTCTAATATTTTTTACCGAATTGAGAGACAGATGGCAGTTGTAAATTAATTATAAGACTAGACCAGTTTTTTCCTTTTTCCTTTCGTCTGGAGGACTTGACCAGTTTAAAATCTAGAGATATATATTTTCTAGTGCTTAAATGGAAATGTGTCTAATTTTTATTTCTTTTTCTCATCTATATGTACGAAGGGAGAAGACTTTGAAGGTGAAAATTCAAAATACCAAGAAATGTTATTGGTTCTCAAATATATTAAGAAGGAAGAAATTTATTAAATGAAGATAATATAATATTAACAATCTTTTAAACTGAAAAGTTTTTTAAAAAATTAATAATAAAATAAAGCATAAAACATTTCCTCAAAAATAGGAAACGGTGTTTTTTTGTTTTCTTTTCATTTGTTTCCATTTAGATTTTAATTAATATTAGCATAACAATGAGAAAAAGGCCGGCATATAGTGAACAGATTAAATTAGACAGATTGAACGAGATAGTTCTTTGACCCAAAAAACACCAAGCTAGTTCAATAGCGTTGGATTTTTAGTGTAAAACCACAAATAGGAGGACTTTCAACCATATCTGAAACTAAATTTTGACTTGGCATGGCGAACTCTAAATTTTGATTTTTAGTCCAGCGCCTGAATACTATGACTCTATGTTGCGCCGATACTCCTAACTGGAGGGGTATGCTAGTATTCAATACTCCGATACGGGTAAGGTACACCTTCGATATAGATATAGGAGTGTCGTTGATGTTTTTGAAAGTTTGACCTTACGATACATTTCCGATACTTCAAGGATACGATCTTGATACGTTTCCGAAACTTTAAGGAGTAATTTTGAAAATATGTTTGGTCATTTTCAAAATTATAAAATCCTATGGATTTACAGATTTGGGAAGTGACTTCTCAATGTTTTAATTTGTTTTTTGTGGACACTTATATTTTATGTTTTGTTTAGAGACTTATATTTTATGTTTTGTTTATAGACTTGTATTTTGTGTTTTGTTAATAGAGACTTGTATTTTGTGTTTAATTTTATATTTGGTACTTACGATGGATGCAATATTAATTTTTGCTATTTATATTAATTTTTAAATATATATTACCGTATCGGTGCCATACTTGTATCGTAGTTTTTGGAATTTTGCCGTATCGTCAAATTGTATGGTATCGGCATACCCGTGCAACATAGCTATGACTTGAACCCCAAGCCTCAAACGATGGATAAGATATCGTTGCAATAGCAGCTAGGCCTGGGTGCCAACTTGGTCGGAATGTTTTAAGTCTAGCCCAATCAAAATTTACAACATTCTTCTTGTTTTAGGTTTTTAGCGATAAACCCATTTTAACTTGACATATTATACAATTACTCATATAGAGCTTATGTGAAGGGAAAACCTCAAAACTAGTCACTTGTCAGTTTCTAATTAGTTTTTAGAAAATTTTTAACACACTAAAAACCAATTAGAAAATAATAAGCGACTAGTTTTATATTTTTCCCTCCAAAAAGGCACTATATAGGTAATTATATAATATATCATGCTAAAATGGGCCTATTAATGAAAGCCATTCTTCTTTAACTCCCCCACTCAAAAATGTCAAACGAATCTTTTACAAAGATCACAACTTGAAATAAATTAATCCTAATGCGTAGATTGCTAACAGAATCCTCAGTGCCCACTTTGAACCCTAGCAATCTACGTTGGGCCAGGAATTACAATGCAACTCCCAAATAAATAATCCGAAAAAATGTAGCAGTCGCCCAAAATGAAAATAATGACGATTGAAAGAATGAATAAATTAAAGACTAAGGTTTCCGTTACATGAGAAGAGTTTCAGCCAACATAATTGGACTTGGAATGGAACAATATTCTAAACTAAGGCACCCTAAACTTCGTCACCTTTTCATTGTGGAGAAAATTCCTCTGGTGGTTCATCAGCTGGAGGTGGCGTTGATCCAAACTCAAGGTTAGGGTAGACGCCAGGGGGCCTTTCTCGAGGTTTAATTGAAAGCAACTGGCTAGAATCGCCAACAACATCTGCCCATCCGTAATGCGGCTCAGCCCTTCATAAAAAAGTGAAGATCAAAATTACCATACAGTAGGCAAGCATTAACAGAAGACTTTAAAATCTAAATTTTTATTTGATCCCCAGAGATCCTTTTCACTGCTTCAATATATTTAATCTCTAGATAGAACCAACTTTAGAGTGTAAGTGTGTGTGGAGAGAGAGAGATACGGAGAGCAACTCTTACTCGTAATAGGTCTCCTCATCCACAACAATATCCCAGCTTTCACCTGTTGTGCTTTTCCCATATTTGTGCACCTTGCTGCAAAGAGAAAGGAAGTTGACTTCTCAAAACAACGTTTATACACGGCTGATTTCTAAGAATAGATAAAAATGCAGTTCAGCAAGCTTATCCCTTTTGCATACCCATTTCCGAAGTGCTCTTCTCCCCATGTCCTTGACCAACCTAGACATGAGAGAACAGAAAACAGAGTTTCATCAAACTTCATAAATGAAAAAACAAATGAACATGAAGATCTGAATAATTGGAAGGGATTCAAGACATTTTCTAATTTTAGGGAATAGACAACTGAGAAAAGCGCACTTATCTCCATCAAAACATGAAAGAATCCTACTATAAACTAATTTTGCACGGGAAGATTGATAAGGCTACAAACAATTTTATGGCAGTAGTAACATAGATATTCCTTTAACATCTTGAAAGAGAGGAACAATAAATCAGGCCTGTTACATTTGTGTCAATGATTGTACCCTGCAAATCAGGAGTGCTACAGTGCATAAACATTATGTCTGATACGAAATATCATAAATGGAACAGTCTTGTAGCTCTCCAGGGACAAAACAGGTGGCCGGGCTTGCTTATATAAACATGTAACCCATGACCTGTGGCTGAAAATATATAGGTACCAGCTCATTACTGGAGGTTTCAGCAAGGGTGATGTGTGCTTATGCGCAGTGATCATGGAATAATCCTTCACCCACAATATAATACATCATGTCTTCCATCAAGACTGTAAATGGGGCTTGAAGAATGAGGCAAAAACTTATTCCAGAACATAATATTTCCAGCATTTCTCAGGTTTTGTTGCCATATACCTTTGAAAGCACACCGTACGCGTGACGTGCACTTAAATAGATAATATAGTGAGAAAATTTGTATTATAAATTGCGATATGCTAGAAAACCTTAAGGAGAAAAAAATATGGATACTAGTAGCTACACAAGGAAATTCTAAAACATAATATAAGAATGCTGCATGATGTAATGGTTATAGAAGGAAACAAAAGAAAGGCAGACAAACTTTGTGGGTTAATCATAGTTCAATTTGCTTGCACATACGTTCACCACTAGGAGATACGTGCCATGTCTCCCCTTGTCGCGAACCTATTCCAGTAAAGAACTTCTCTTCCCACTTGTCTCCCCATTTGGTTCCAAGTTCAGTCTCAGCCCATTTATCAGTCCTGAAAATTATAACAGCCCATATATCAATGAGTGGATACTTTTAGTTGGCTGCATTCAGCTACATACTTTCAATTGTAAATTATCAAAATGCTAATAGAAGATGCCAAAAAAACTTTTTAAATTTCAGAGGAAGGATTGCACAATGAAGTTTCTTTCAGTAAAAAAAAAACACTATGAAGAATTAAATCAAGTGGATTAGAAAAGGTAATTAGAGGAACCATTTGAGAACAGATCCCCTTCCGTCATAATGCTCTCCCCACTTCTCCCACCATGACTGCTCATTGAGTCTACCATATTTGTGTGCTCCTTTCTCAGTCCAGCCTTTAGCGTCATATTTCTCCCACCTGTATCCAAATTATAAAGTATGATCGTCCATATATTCCACATATTTCATCATTTCTTTAAATGCATTATCATGTGAATAAAGATGAATTAGCATCCAGACTTTAGCTTACCATTTCTCATACCATCCAGCATTCTCAGTGCCTGATTTTGCTTGTTTCTGTGCACTTCTCTCAATCCTTGCTAAGTTACTGCACTTTCAAAGTTGCCACATTTATTGTATTGGGAAAAAATGAAACAAGAGGTTCAAAAATCCTATAACTACAGCTCAGTTAGCAAGTTACAAGTAATTCTCTAAATTTTAATATGAAAAAAAAGAGATAAATAAAGACCTCCATTCATCTTGATGAAGAACTTCTTGCCAAGTTTCCCACCATGAATCGCCTTGAGCATTTCTACCAGATTTCTCCACACCTATGAAAAGATAATAGATGTGAATTATGCACGCCTATTTGTATCCATGCCCCATGATAGATAGTAGTGAAATTTTCTGAAAGACTACTGACGGTAAATGCATACATGACAGAACAGTGGCTTCACAAAAACAGATATTGATTAATTAATCCCGTATGTTATGAATGATTGTCGCTCAATGCCCTCAGACATTTGGCCTGTTTGCCACAGCAGTGGGAAGTGTTTAGTTGAAAAATTCTAGAAAATGGATGAATATAGAGACTACAAAGACAGCACCTACAATTTTTATTTATCAGATGACCCACAATGTTTAAATTTGGTAAAAAAAATTCTCCCGTATTTAAAAATGATTGTGTTGCTTTGTTTATGTGGATTTCAGTCTAAAATTTGTGGGTTTTTTTGGGTAAGAAAAAAATATACAAAACATAAATAAATCATTGAAATGTCATGGTGATGGATAATGATAGCCAGCATTTGAACTTTGAAGATAGACAAGAAAGACATACCTAGCTCTTTGTATCCGGTCCAGTCACTTTTCTCCCACCACTGTCAATGAGATCAATAAATCCAATTAAATGCATCCACCTGGGATGATACTTAATGGGGTTATAAAAACAAAGCCAATCTAGCAGAGTTAGTTTTTATGATGATGATGATAGTTTACAGGTAGCAGGATGTCTAAATCCCCTCTAGTTGTTTAAAACTTCCTGAGTACGAAACAAGAGGAACCTAGAGAGTAGAAACGTAGAATTTGGTCATAACTATTGCTAAAGTAAACAAATGAGAGAGATTCCAGATGAACTATGTCGTGTTTTGGTCGAGTGCCAGTCCCAGTCCCCAGAGAGGTGAATAAGAAGGATAGTCAAGTCAGACATGGCATAGGTTAACAAAAAGTAAAAGTAAAAGCCGAAGCCATTATGATACCGTTTCTTTCCATTGTGAAGAAGCATCATGGGAGGTACCGCCCATCCTTGTCCACCTACATCTGTATCCATTGTCGCCAATGTCCTCCCCACTTTCTCGATACCATGTACTGCCATCTTCATTAGTCCCAGACTCGTTTACATTTTCGGTTAACAAACTGATGCCCCAGTCCTTCTCATTGGCAATACCAGTATCTAATAATAGAGTAGAGTGAATCAATATCAAGATGCACAATCGCCAACCAAATATGTTATTCTTATTATCATCCATGGAACGAGAACAAACCACTAACTAACAGCAATCTGATTCTGCGTAGTACAACATATTAATATTACTATCTTATATCCTCAAATAGATTGATTGATTGATTGATATAATTACCTCGTTTGGGTGGAGTGTCACGAGATTGTGGACCAGAGTTTCTAGGGGTACAGCGGGGGTAATTTTTCTCTTGTCTGGACAAAAAATGAGATCTGCAGCAATCGACAATAGGCAATAGCAATTAGACAATTGATTCATTATAGACACTAAAATAAAACCCAGCTAGCTACAAAACAAAACCAGCAGAATAGATTTGAAGTTAATAAGGTACTGAGCAGCAGAAGAAGAAGACGAGGACGACGAAGCAAAGAAGGGCAATGCAGCAGAGGCTTGCACTCCAGCTCTAGGAGGCCTTTTCTTCGAATCGAACCGCCACTCTTCCGCCTTCTCGGCGTTCTTTCCGGAGCGAATCGGAACAACCGAGTCTGAGCAGCAGCAACTGATTCGACTGACTCCGCGTCGGTCGCCCCGAAGGCTGAACCTCCTCCGCTTCCTCAGCTCCTCTAAGCCGCCATTGCTAGTACTAGGGTGAGGGCGCGGATGGAAAGCGAGGCGGCGGAGCTTGAAATCGAGGTGAGAAGCGAACCCTCTAGAAGTGGCCGCCATTGCATTTACGAAAACGCCATTCTAATTCTCAAGTGGAGGAAGTTGAGGAGTCCTCAGAGAGCTGAGTTGAGAGCTGAGAAGAGAGAGAGTGTGTGTGTGTGTGTGAGTGGTGTTGTCTTGTGTTGGTGATTGTTTGATTGTTTCTTTTAATTAAGGAAAGGAAAGGGGAAATAATAAGGGAGTGGAGAGTGGAGACTCTACTCTCTCTGGTTTTTGGGTTTTGGGGGCAACTGATTAATTAATAATAAATAGTAATCTCCTTGTTAATTATTTACATAGAAACTGAGTAAATTGTATATTTATTTATAAAGAGCCAGCTGCTAGCTGAACAAGGGAAGGATGGAGAGGGGGGCCAATGAAAGCAACAGATAGAACATTTGAGCCATGATTGAATGATTTAGGGCTTTGAATGCAGAAAAATTTACCTATAATGAGAATAATATTGTTTGACTATTCCTAACCAATAGTATAATGATACGTAAAAAAATTATTTTATATGTCATTCTGTTATTAATCGAAATAACAAAAAATGTTATCCCCTTGTATGAAAATCTTTCTCCTACAAATGGGATGCAGCAGAGCCAAGAAGGAGCTCCCCTCTCTCAAGTCCAGTCTCCTCAGCTCTCCTATGAAAAAGGTCGGCAACTTGCGGATGAGATCGGTGGTTGCAACGCATCGCAATCGGCAATGACTCCGCATCCAATCCCGCAATTTAATCTCATCACCGTGACACGTCAGTATGGTGGACCCACTTTGAGTTTCTCTCTCTCCCCCTCATGGCTCTCTCTCTGTCTCTCTCTCTCTCTCTCTCTCACTTTGCCACGTGTTACACGCTGAGCCATGAACTCCTATCTTAAAAAGCAAATCAAATTCATTCCACCTGTGAATTTTATACACATATGTTCGGTTTCAATTTGCACTCATTATCACATAAAAATATGCGAACAAAAGGTTTTTCTGAAGGATGAAGCATCAATAATATATGTTATCATTTTCTATTTTCTCAATTACGTAGCTACTAGTTCAAGGAACATTGAACCATTTTCAACTATGCATGTTGAGGTGACAAATTATAATTTGAGTTAAAGTTCAGTTGTGTAAATTTTCCTTACTGTCAAAACGTGCCATTACCTTTTTTTCATCCTTCTTTTTCTTTTTGGCTCAAGTTTGTTATTGTTTCCCAACTAATTCAATTGAAGGAGGTTTCTTCTATTTTAAAAAAATACGTTTATGAGCGCAACTTATCCATAACAAGATTCAAAAGATAAAATATGGTTATGATTATGGTTCACTTATCCAGAACAAGGTTCAATTTGAAGTTTGATTTGTTATAAACTCAAACAAATAAAAGATACATGGTTGGAGAGGCTTGTAATAAAGTTGCAAAGTTGGTAAAAATATAAGGGGAACTTGCTAATTCCAATTCCCAAACAGGGGATTTTGCCATGGAAATGGAAATTGAAATGGAAATGGAAATGGAAATCCGTGTTGGGAGAGAAACGTGGAGGAATAGGAATGAGAATTCAGGAACGAGCAAAACTTTATCCATTTCCAATTTCCAAGCAGGAAGGAAGAGAGGGATCAGCTCCAATTATCCAATCCAATCCTAGAAGTACTAGTCAATCCGAGTCCCTCTCCACTAGGCAGAGTAGTTAGTAGTTAGTGGGCACTTGTTTGCCGGGCCACGCGTCAGCAGTTGGCACCATGATGACATGGCGGGGGCACCTGTTGATTTGAGTATTTGTGGATAAAATATCTTACGTGTAAAGCAGAACGTGTCAGGTAAGCCGTGGTGAAATGAGTGCCACATGTCTGGCTGAGACAACATGTGGGAAAACTTGGATCTCTGCTGGTGCTGTTGGACGAGGAAACCAAACACATTTTTGTGATCACGATACAAATCAGCAAAAGGGCACGTGTTTGGATAAGCTTAGTGTCACTTCGTGAAGAATATTTAGGCGCCAACAAATCTATCTTTGTCTTGGCATGCTACGAGCTTTTGACAGTTGAAATTGAAATTTGACATCCAATGGAGTGCAAGAGTGAATGATTGCAGGGGTCAAAAAAGTTTCTTAAAATGAGTGCATGAATGAGTGAATCATTGAATTTACATCTAACAATGGATGACCACAAATTTTTTGGACTCCTATAGTCCAAGAGATTAGAACTGCCAACTTATAAACCAAACAAAAAATCCATCTTCAACGGTCTCCTCCGAGTTTGATGTTACAAGTTTTTCCTTTTTGGGGTAAGATTGGAGGCCTTACTCTGCAAAGAAAAAGAAAATTGAAGTATATGATCTTCTTGGCTTAGCCTGGCCAGCAATGTAAACCTTAAGAAGCTCCAAAATCGGAGGAGAGAGGTAACAAGGTTTTCACCAGAGGCTCAGTAAACATTTACCACATGAATCAATGATTCGTTTTTCTTAATTCTCTCCCAATCGATTAAGAAAGGAAATCAATCTTTAAAATTTGAAAAGGAAAAAAAAACAAGTCTAAGAAGGAGGAATTGTACTCTTAACACATAAATGCCAGTCCATCTCACAACATTAGCCGCCTCTTTTGCAGTTTTGTATTCACAGCACCCAAAATTCTGTTGATGTTTGAATCGGAATAACATATATTGTTGTCATGTGAGGCATGTAATCAGGGAGTATATAGTACACTCAAAAAATCTGGAACTAGAATCTGATCATTCAGAAGAGTTTTCGTGGTCTGCTTGAGTGATTTATCTACCAGAGACGAGACAAGAGGCAAACAAGGATATCTACGCACCCAAGTAGACCCATCATAGCAATCGACCAGTGTGCCAAACCTTATTTCCTCGAGAGAAATGGTTTCACTGATTCTACAACTACCTGTTTTCCATGGAAAAGAAGGAATTTACATTTAATAGACTGAGTTCAAATGGTCCTACGACAGGATGCCGCATTTGACGCATATGCAAATTGCAATTGAAACTAGCGTCATTTAACATGAAAGAACTAACAGAATTTAGTGTTACTAGTGTTATTACCCTCCCATCATAGGATAATGATGCAAAGATCCAAGGCTCGCGAGAGCTCCAAGCTAGGCCTGTAGTGTCAAGTAAAAATACTTAGTTTATGATAGAAGTTCAGGTATATAGCTACGGAGTTGCAGCAATTACCATAAATACTATCTTCATAGTCGCTGTAAGAGTTCAGCAACGGGTCGATCCGTCTAGTTGGTGAATCAACCAGGCTGCCAAAAACATGATAAGAACGACCGGTATAATCAAGGAATGTAATTAGTCAGCACAAAAAGTATTCATGGAACATCGGGCAAGAAAACTACCTTTCAGATATTAAGCCATCATTGCTAGATGGAGAAGCCAACCACAGGTTGACAGTTGAGTCTGTACCGGAACTCTGCAATAACATATTTTTATCAGAAAAGCTTCAATTAAATAAAGCATGTAAAGCAAGGTTTTTAGTCTCCTCAACAAAGTCAACATGTCCAGAGAAAGAGAGAGAACAAACCAAAATCAGCCCGTCATACTCAGGGTTATACCTGACAGCCCACGTCCTGGAAACATTTCAATGGGTAACAATCAGAGCATTAAAGTTTGCAAGTATTGAAACTTCTTCAACACAAGTATGAGCATCCCACAATTTCTGAACCATACACTGATGCACAAGGGCTCATCAAGCAAAAACATGGTTGAAGAGACCAACATGCAACAGTACACAAAATAGTTACCAGTGTGTGTGTCCAGGAAGCTCCTGGATAGGGACCTTCGGCTTCCTAAGATCCCATATGCGTATCCCAGATTCATCTTCTGCAGTCATCTGTAAAAGTGTTAACAATTTGTGGTATAGTAAAGGAACAAAAGGTAGTGATATGCGTCACATTGAGAAATTTAAAAAAAAACACTTCGTCTTGACTCGGAAGATACAAATCATCACGTAAATCCTTGTTTGTGTGAAAATGTTCTATCGTCATTTTACTAATATTGTAAATAAATATCCATACAAAGTTGAAAGAAGATGTATTTCTTATGAGATAAAAAGTACTGTTACTCATTTTCTATGCAACACAATAAACTACTAATCCGTGTCTTTGTGTGAGTGCATGTGTACAGACATGCAAGTTATGTGAACATGAGCATACTCAGAGAATGGATAGAAAACTAAAATCTTACAAGCACGTGTTTCTTCTTCGGGTTATAATCAACATTGCGGACATGAGCATGCTCAACTGAATTTGTCTTCCTGCATATAAACAAGTACTATTATTGATCAAGAAAGGATATTGATGCCAAAAACTCAAACAAGTAACAGCCCCTGAAATAGTTTCCTTCATTCTTGGTTGATATAAAATCTAATTTGCAAGATGATGAGGCAGTCCATATAGCAGTATGGCAGTACCATGGTAGCCATTCGTACAAATCCTTAGTTTGAGCTATCTCATTGAAGACACACTTCACATGCCAAAGACAACATGTTGTGACTATCAACTGGAACATTAGTTTGTAAGAAACACTTGGCAATACTTTTGGTTCATTATAAATTTCCTCTGTTGAGAATCAATACAAAACACAAAGTCTGGAGTTGCAAATGACTAAGGACACTGTCCACAACAAAAGCTATTCGACTTATGTGCTGAATTTACCAAACAGAAAAAATAAGGAAAGAATACATGCTTCAAACACACACTCGACTTTTCAAGTTTTGGACATTCATGTTGGTCCTGATTAACAAATAAAAGCAATGCAATTACATAGTATCAAAAGAAAACATACTTCATTGTCCGCAAATCCCAAAATTGGATGGATGATTCACAAGTTGCTGCAACAGCATTCGTATCATGAGGATCCCATGCACCACCAGATAAGTAGTGCATGACGCCAGCAGACTCCTGTGATTGTACCTGGACCCGGAAACAAGACCTAAATAAGAATCAGTCTGAAATTCAAAGTGACACTCCATCAACTACTAAGGCTTTTGTAGGAAAAGCTTTTAAGGTCTTAAAAAGCCCATTAGGTTTCTTATGGTAACAAGATTGAATACAAAAATTGTGTGTGAGAGAGAGAGAGGACAAACGTCCTGTCTTTTTTCCTCCCCCGGTTCCTCAATCATATCCATATTTTCTCCTTCTACAGTTCATGCATAAGTAAATTTTGATGAAGCAGGAATCATATTAATTTCAAATCTTGGAAAGAGACAGAAAACTTATCCTAAAACATATACTATAACTGCAGATGATTGACAAGAGATCTCATCATGAATTCATTATAAAAATACCTGAGCAGCTTTTTTGGATAAATCTAAGCTCCACAAGGACAGATTTTCTTCATCAATGCTGATCAGCTTATCATGTCTTCCAGATGGCCACCAAAGAATGCTGTTCAATGCATATATACATTGAATAAGAGAGCCACGGAACAACATGCTAGGATCAATGAGTCCAACAGAGGACACACAGTTCATACCAAACTAAATCTCAAAACAAATAAGGCGAGTTTAAGCTCAAGTTATATTCCAAGAAGTTATAACAATATAACACGTGTTACCACAATAGTACACGAGTTACTTCAAAAGTGTACATGATCCAAGAGCATTACATGAGCATCATATAAATGATTTTGTACCTTAGAACTTAATTATTAGAAGCAATGATTTATTAGTAGTCCTTTCAGTTTCATTCAATATTTTTACACGCTGTAATATACAAATTAAGAAAAAAGATAAAACTGAAATTCATGAAACGCAATTGGGAAATTAAATATGCCCAGGGATAGACGAGGGTAAGCATACTGACCATTTAATCTTGCCAACTTGTGAGTCAAGGGAGGTAATTCTTTCCAACTGAGGGGAATTCAGTTCACCATATAACTCGGGGATCTGCCATATTGCTGCTCCATGTGACTCACCTTCAAGCACATTGAACTTTATATAAAGAAAACAATCCCAATGTCCGACATACCAGATTTGCAGAGAATTGAAAGAAAAAAAATTTATAGAAAAGATAAATTAACAGATGATGATTTCTAGTTAGCATTATTAGCATAAACATATAGAGCAATAAGAAATATAAAAGAGTAAACCATCCAACTAATAGTGGAAATATGTAATCAAAGTATTTTGGCAGATATACTCACTCAAAAAAGAAAAATAAAAAAAAGAGTCCAAAAAGCTTTGTTGAAAGGTTAAATGATATCAGGGAAATACGACTCCAACACTCAACCAGCCGTCGTTGTTTATATTTGGATTTCAGCAATGCAATTGACAAGCTTATCCTACTGGGTTCAAATACCAAATTACGAAGCAATCAAATTCCCAATTCTGACTTTATGGACCACAGAACCACAAAAATATGATCCAGCTTCATGCATTACTAACAAATCATTCACAATATGGCAATGCATAAGCATCAGGTTGAGCGCCAATCATATTGCAGCAACACAAAAGGTGGGACAAACAAATAAATAAATAAATAATAAGAAAATAAAAATGGAGAAGAAATTACCTGTAGAATAAACAGTAGAGAAGATGCGCTGGTCGAAGGGACAGGAAGCAAGGTCCCAGATCTCGTTGGGGTGCGAAAACAAACCCTCGCATACGAGTTCGGTCCCATCCGAAGAGAGCCGAATCAAATGCACCTATTCAATTTCAATCCCATTCATTAGATTAAAAGATCCAGATCCAGAACACGAACTCCCATTTTATATATTTATTTATAAAATTTGTGGAAGACGAAGATGGTGAACCTCATTTTCTTCTTTGAGACTGAGAGTGCCGGTGATGAAGCTAGTATGATCTGTGTCAGCTTTAACATCTGATATACATCTAGCCTGGACCTCTCAGAACACGGGGATAGAGTAACAATCAGAAATTCAGAATCAGAGGGTTTATGAATTTGGGAATGGACAAAAAGAAGAAGAATGGAATTGACCTGGTATTTCAGACCATATCCGATGCCCGACGATCCCCCTTGCATGGCTGCTGCTGCTGCACTGCCTGATTATACCACCACAATCTTTGTGGACTTGTTGCATGCAACCCAACCCCGCGCTTACAACACCGACTGACAGAGATTGATTCCTGCATTTCACAACGGCCAATTACCAAACAAATACCTTCCATTTTTCATTTTTTTTCATTATTTCATATTCCATTGTGGGCTAATTAGTAAAACCAAAGTACAAGCCCAACATAAAGTGTTCAAAGTTTTGTTCCGTGTTTAAGTCAAACCAAACCCCGACAAGCAGAAAACATTTGTAAGCCCAGAGCCCAACAAGCCACACTAGCATCAAATAAAAGACCAAGAAAACCCAGCCATAGGAGTGAATAAAAAGTAAAGAGAGAACGCTAGGTCAAAGATGAACGGCAGCTATGAGCTGCTTATACTCTTCAAACCCTTTACTTTTCCTCTCTAATAAATAAATGGATATTGATTTTCCTTTCATGTAAGGAGATACTTTTCCTTCTTGCGAATTATTATCTAATATATGTGCAAAAATAATTCATCAGCTACACACAAAAAAACAATTATACACACATATTACACTGCTATTCGTAGGGATGTAGTCTCATGCAACGGTGATAATACCTTTTAATATCTCCGTCCAATAACATAGTGACACATTAAATCATTTTTTCATGTATCATGATGTTATTGATCGAAAATAATAAAATAATATTATTCCTTTTATAAATAAGTTTTTTTCCTTACTTACATGATAACGAGAAAAGTATTTTTCTAAATAAAACCATCATGCCAATATTTATTTAGGTAAAAAAATAATTTCTTTCATTTAATATGGAAAAAAGGAGAATTGAAATCATCGAATATCACACCAAAAGTCCTTGCCATCTTCCTCCACACCCAAAAGAGAGTTTAGGAAAGGAAAAAGGAAATAAAAAAATTGTGATTACAGTTCAGGTGAGGAGTAAACCCAAAGTCACCCAATTTTCTCTATGTGCGCGAATTGGGTGGGAATGGAAAAAATTGGATCCAACATCATCTACAAGAGAAGGAGGAGATAAAGAGGAGTTCCTTGAGCCTCAGAGAATGATGGCCAAGTATTTCACAAAATGGTTTTCCGATCTTGATTGGCGGCTACTTCTGTTAGTCATCACTCCCCTCTTTTTTATCGTCTTCCTCTCACTCTCATCTTCTTCTTCTTACTCTCCCACCAATTTCCCCCTCTCTCCGTTTGCTCCCATTCGATCTTTCCTTCGCGGCCGTGCCTTCCAGTTCCAGCAGCCGCCCCTCAACATAACAACCCTAAACACTCTCAATTCTACAACTAGTGAGTCCAATCGGAATGGGACCGACGAGTCGTTGAAGAAGCGCAAGGATGACGATTTGCATCGGTCCAGAATAGCCGTGTGTTTGGTTGGTGGGGCCCGGAGGTTCGAGCTCACGGGGCCGTCCATTGTGGACAAGATTCTAAACCAATATCCGAATTCCGATCTTTTTCTGCACAGCCCTATGGACCCCAACGCCTTCAAGTTCTCGCTCCTCAAGGCCGCCCCTAGGATCGCCTCCGTCAGAATCTTCCACCCCAAACCCATGCTCGAGACTGAGTTCCAGCTCCGAGTCCTAACCGCTCACAACTCGCCCAATGGCATTCAGGTTTTCTTTCTCAATTCTTGTCCCCTCTTTTCTTTTCTTTTTCCTTTTTTTTTCCTCAAAAAATTATAATAAATATTTACTGATTAATGTGATTAATAATAATACTAATCTTATCACATTTTTATACCCACATTATGTGTCTGTTGATATTATTTATTAAAATACACTTTATTCATTTAATTAATATAGCATATGATCTAAACATGTCACGTTATATGATATAAAAATATGGGATTGTAAGTGTAACATTACTCTGTGATTAATATTTGATTTATGATAGTTTTGGCATGTATCTGAATCTGATGAACAAAGACAAAGTAACGATGAATTAATTTGGGTTCGTTGACCATAAACCACAAAGAAACGAACGTGTCTAATCGTCGTATCTGTTGCTTTTGTAAATGGGAATTGGGAATAACGCGTTTGCATTTATTTCTTCTTGCTGTCGTTTTAGTTGTCTATTCCCATTTTTCTTGCTAGCATATCCATTTAAAAGTAAAATTTGAAACTTTTTTTTATATAAAAAAAAAAAATTATTGTATTGTTTTCTTTATTTCAAGTTGTTTTTTTTTTTTTTTTTTTTTTTTTTCTTTTTTTTTCGAAAGTTTTTCGCACACTTACCAATTTTAAATGTTTCAATAAAGCCGTATGAGGTCACTGTTGTTTTTTTATTAAGAATTTGTTATATATTTCTAATTTCAGCTCTTGAATTGCATTTAAAAGACTAACAACACTTTTAATGATTCTGCAATCAACTGCGAAAATTAGAATTACGTAACCGATGAATGTGCTTGTGTCTGTTATCTTAATTTCTGGGTCATGTGTTGACAACGTGTATGCAGGGCCTTTTGCAATACTTCCACCTGGTGGAAGGCTGCCTAACTATGATCCAAGCATACCAAACACAAAACAACTTCATCTACGACTGGATAGTCCGAACCCGAGTAGACGGCTACTGGAACGCCCCGCTCCACCCTAAACACTTTGTGCGGGGACAGTACCTGGTCCCTCCGGGCTCCAGCTTCGGCGGACTCAACGACCGCTTCGGAGTTGGCGACCTCAACAGCTCCATAGTCGCCCTGTCGCGCCTCTCCCTCATTCCCAAACTTGACGGGGGTGGGTTCCGCCAGCTCAACTCGGAAACCGCCTTCAAGGCCCAACTCACCACCCAAGGGGTGCGATACGTCACTAAACAACTCCCCTTTTGTATCGTAACGGACCGCCAATACGGCTTCCCACCAAGCCGTTTCGGAGTGCCAGTGGCGTCGCTGTCAAGCCCAGGCCCATTGAGCGGGGCCAAGTGCAGGCCCTGCAGGCCTGTGTGCCAAGGCCCCTGCGTAGCGGATGTGATGCTTAGCCTGCAGAGAGGGTGGAGCTGGACCCCCTGGGCCAACGGCACGCTCCAGCTTTGTGATGCCCATGGCGCATGGGAAAAGGGTTGGCAGACCACATTTGACCGAGTTGCTGGCCGGAAATTAGCTGCCGAGCGAAAGCGAGTTTTGGGGTTGACGGTGAAGCAGTGCATTGATGATTTCAACCAAATGAAAAACAAAACTGCCAACTGGGAGGCACCGCCAGTGGACGAGATTTGTAGCATTGGGGTGCTTGCGCCACCCCACTGAACAAAAATCCTGCCTTGCTCGATAACTTTTTCTCTTCTTCTTTTTTTTTCCCCCTAATAGTTAAACGAAAAAAAGAGTGGCAACGATAGCGGAAAGAAATATAGAGAGTAATTTTGGATTCGTAAATTCTCTTCTTTTAATGATATAGAATATTGTTAGGACAGAGGACAGAGCATCTCTACTCTACATGTGCTTCACAATTCAAAACTTATACAACTTACGATGTGATTAGGTTTTTTTAATGGAATTTTGGGATTTCTTAGTCTTTGTCTTGTTGGGTTTTCTTGGGTTTAAGGCTTGAAGCCAAAAAAAAACATTTTTTGTGGAGAATTTCCGATGGCCGTGAAATATTTATCTTCCTGGGACGCCTCAGTCAGTCGCACAGAAGCCCTTCTTCACTTATGATTTCGCCACTTATAATATGGTAAATGGCTCAGTACCCTTTGCGTGTGGCCCAATCAAAAAGGCCGTGGTAAATGGCTACAACACATACACCAAAAACAACAAAAACCAATAGTATGTATGAGTATGACTATGTAGTGGCTCTTCAAAAACGAGTTTTGAAATTTATTTATTTATTTTACATGGAAATGGAAATGGAAAGAAGGGTAAATTGAAATATATAGTACGCAGATGCAGTGCAATATATTGATATTGTACTAATTACTGAATATAGGTTTGGCCAGTGATATCAAGGTCTCGGTCGCCGGTGGAAGGTGGGGATGGATGCTTGGGGGGTCGGGTGGTGGCTTCATCAGGTCCGTCAGCACTCTGCGTCTCACTGGCCGGTGGCTTATTTGCCGTTATTTCAGTTTCACCCTCGTCTCTCCCGTTCATTCCACCACCGTAGGCTTCATATGTTAGTGGCTTCATCCTTGATCCGTCTTCCTTCTCTTTCTGCTTCGCCCTCTCCTCTTCCACTTTTGGATGATGATGATCATCCATCATTATTAATTCATCAAATCAAATATTTCTATCAACTCTCTCTACTTACTTGAAATCGATATATATACACATAAGCTATACTCCACGGCGCCGTTAATGATACGTGTCTAGTTTAATGATGAAGTGGCAAAAAAGTGAGCTGCCAAATGTCATCCATGCATAGTCCTAGTACTATAACAACAGCTGACACTGATCAGAGGGCACAACTTATCCTCATCGTCCATCTTTTGAAGAACCCCCTTAATTTCCTCCACCCTCCTTCTCTCACTCTCTCACTCTACGTGTACATCATTCATCCATCCATTCATTCATTATTTTGTGCCACTTGATATATTCTTTAATTCGTATATATAATAATAATATTCTCATCTCTATCTTATAAATTATATTGCCCCCAAATAATTCTCCCTTGAAAAGTTGGACTGGAGGCTAATAAATAATAACAGACAGCCCAATCCAATCATAATATTGGTTGGTATAAGCTGAGTCAAAACATAAGTAGAGGTAATCTCATTCATTATTAGATTCGTTACTGTTGAACACCGTCAACCACCCTAAACCTCAACCATCCTCTCTCCCTTTCATTACAATTTACGTGCAATACCAAACCCCTATTACTTATATTTATCATCCATATTTTAACCAAAAAAACCGGCCTCCACCACTCCTTATCAGTTGCTTTTCTGGACCAATCTACCGCATGTCCTGAAAATTAATAAAATAAATACTGACATAAATGTGACACATTCTTGGTTGTTACAATAAGTAAACAAAGGACCCATAAGTGTAGTTCGTTGTTATAATAAATAAACAAAAGACTCATGAGTGTAGTGATTTGGAGCCATTGTTATTTTAGGAAAGGTCTTGAGTTTGAGTCATAGTATTCGTGTAATGTATGTGTGAATTTAATATATTATTGTTCATCTTAATAGGAAAAGTTTTCAAAAATCAAAAAATAAATAAATATGCTAAGCCCACCGTTTGACAAAATATACTTGATCATCCATATGCTAAGCCTATATATACCATCTTCACTTCACGTTGCCGTTATACATAATCAAATAATGCCTAATGGGAAGGATGGGAATCATGACTCATGGCCCGTGGTGGGACACGGAATTTCTGACTTAATTTCGAATTCTTGTGTAAATACAAAATGAACATCCATAATAATTATTTGACATCTTATTCTTCAGGTCAGGCATGTATGTCATGTCTGGATGCCAATGGTATGAGCATGCAAGTTGCAACGCTGCGTTTGGAATTCCAAAACTAGGGGAGGCCATCTAGCTGGTGAAATATTATTTTATTTAACTTCAATTATTAAGAGCTAAGGACGTTGCTGGGATTCCAGCCTGGTCAATGGACCGTAGACATACCCCAAGTTATGACTGACTCTGACTGCAAGCGTTTCTTATTAATTTTTTTTCTTAAAAAGTTGCAAAGAAAAATAAAAAGAAAGATTGAACTGACCACGTGGAACTGTTCCCTCTCCCACACCACATGATTGGTTGAGGGAGTAGACTGTGCAGTAGAAGGAAGAAGATATAAAAACAGCTAAGCGATCAGCTGTATGATTAAGTTAACTTGCCCATATAATAGATCATCAATTCATCCAATGAATAATATTATTCATTATTATGGATTATTGATCATCCACATACACAGTATAAATATACACGTCGATCTCAACAACGTTCTACAAATTAATACGACAGCCTGTACGTACGTAAGTCGAAGACATTATGACAGGCGTTTTCCGGCGGTCGCTTTCTTTCCCCAACAAAATCATTCCAAATAACCGTCAGGCAAAAGTGCGAGCACCCATGTTGTCTCATCACACCAGATCCATCAGTCTCCCAACCAGATCTCACCCCTTGATTTCCCAGCTCAAGGATCACATCGCTCACCTTCAATCATGGGCGACGGCCTCTTTCTCCTTCTCCGATTGGCTCTGCCAAGGCTTGACCCGCCTCAGAGACTTGCACCACTGCCTTGACGACACTCTCCGCCTTCCTCAAACCCAAGACTCCCTCCGCCGCCTGCGCTCCCACTCCGCCAGCTGCTGCTGGCTCGACAACCTTCTAGACCAATTCCTTCGCTTTGTTGACGTCTATGGAATCTTCCGTACCTCAGTTTTCTCTCTCAAACAGGACCACTCTGCAGCTCAAGTCGCTTTGAGGAAGAGAGACGACTCCCAGATAGCATTGTACGTCAGAGCTAGAAAGAGAATGGCCAAGGAAATGATCAACCTTGTCAACGCAGTTCGTTGTATTGTTGGAAGGCCAGGACCGGCAGCCGCGCCGTTGGAGCATGTCGGCGATAGTAATTACTATGCTACTAGTAATATTGTTGATCATGAGCTGGCTGGGGTTATGAGCGAGGTTGTTCAAATGACGGTGATGGTGTCTCTTGCCCTTTTTAACGGAATTGCTGCAGCACTCTCATCAGGCGGCCCAACAACGTCATCATCAAAATCGAACATCTTGTCGTCAAGGTGGTCGTGGGTTATATTATTTTCAATGGGTTTGATGAGGTGCAAGGAGGCCGTTGAGGATGGCGAGGATCATAGTAGGATTATTGATAAAGTAGTACAAGTCAATAATATTGGAGTTGAGAGCTTACGAAATTTAAGAAAGAAAGGAGAAGAAGAGGTGAAAATAACATTGAAGAAAATGCAGGAACTGGAGATCTCTATCGCCGCCATTGAAACTTGCTCTGAAACAGTTTTCAGGAGTTTGATTAACGCAAGGGTTTCGCTGCTCAACACTCTCACCCTACTCTAAGTTTGGGATTAATTTATTTCTTGTGTAAATTACAGTCGACCAATTGCTTGCTTATGTCTTCAAATTAATTAATTATATTAGTTGTATTTTCTATACTAGAAATTAAGGAATGTTAACTATTTTTCCTTGTTGGGATGTTCTTGTTATTATCATTTTTAATTTGTGTATGTCGAATTAATAGAATTGTGTGGTGTATATTGGCAAAAGGGATGAGAAAGAAAGAAAGAATATCATTCCCGTTGAAGATTGATGATAAGATTAATGCTCGACAATTAATCAATAATGGACCCTTCACCCTTGTAATTAAGCATAATGCATGCCCCATCAACTTTCTCTTGTTCTGTATATGCGTGTGCGTGCACAATATTCTCCACCGTCATTGACAGCTGATTTTAGCTAAGGCTATAGCAAAGCAAAGCAATATGTATGTTTTCCTTCTTCCAAATCAACACGCGCGCACGCACACATATATAAATATAATAGAGAGGTAAGAGGTAACTATGGTCCCTAATTATTCCCTAGCTAGCTAATTAGCTAATACTAATAACTAATGTGCGTGTGTCACATACCCGATGATTAGCGAATGACTAATTATGTGAAAAAGAGGGAAAAAGCGTAGTGCATGAATTTTCAAGCTAATTATTGAGGTAGCTCTTTTAATTTTCCGGGTCCATATTGTCGATTATTTGATAGGACTGGTAATTAAAAAAGGGTTTATTGGCTAGTGTATTTTTATATGCATCTGTTATGTTTCCGAGGTTGAATGGAAGGCAGATTTTTACTCATTGCAGTTGTGCTAGCTATAAAGAAAATATAAATATTCAAGAAAAAAAGAAAAGAGAAAAGAAAGGGCGGGGCAGTTTGAATCCAATCATCATTAAGTTAACTAACAGGCTGAAAGTAATGCGTAGATTTTGGCATGGGCTGCCCAGGATTGATGACCACGGACTTAACTGGATACGTGACTCCATTGTAATTTGTATATTGGACTCTTTAAGTCTTAACCAACCAATGCATTATGCTCTCGTCTCGTTCAGAAACAAATCCGCATTTTCTGTGAGAATTGTAGTCGATCCTCCCTCTTGGCTCTTGGCTCCTCTCCAATCCAATGACGTTTTTTTATTTCTTGAAAGGATCGACATGGGATGGGTGGAGGAGAGGTAGAAGAAAGTGTGGCTTTACCTAAACCCTAGAAATGCATAGATTATGGGATTCAATATCAAATCAATACATGTAATCGTACACACAGAGAGGGTCAGGGACCATGTCTTCTGGTTCTTTTTTCTTCTCCTGGTCGTCTCCGTACGTCTCCCCACCCCCACTTGAAAAGCAAAGCATAAAAGTGAGACACGAACAGAATCAGACAAAGTTGATCCAGTTGGAATTGCACCACCATATCCATCCCATATATTATGATATGAGAATATGCCGCTGCAGCAGCGTCTCCTGCTTTTATGAAAGATATCTTCAGCAGATTCAAGAATCTAACCGCTTTTTAAAACATCACTAGCAGAGCACTCTTTGCTACCTTGACTTCATATGCTTTACTATTAGACCTACCTACCTACCAATCCTGGTTATTTTGAATTATTTCCTTTCCTTTCCTTTCCTTACCAAATTTGCTTCTACAGTTCCACATGCATGCCATAACGGTTACTTACCGTAATTTGTCATTAATTGGACATCATAATTCATTATTTGACGCTTTTCCCTATTTTCTCTTTTTCGCAGAAACCTTTTTCTCATGAATCATCTTTCTTTGTTTTGAACATGAAATTAAAAGAAGAAAAAAAACATACCTTTTTTATTTTAAGCAGTTTTCAAATGTATCATAATGCAAAATGGATGGGCTTCAACTTCAATCCCATTCCTGTTTCAGTGAGTACGAGTGCAGATAAGAAGATAAAAAGAAGGGGCAACAATGCAAAGAGACGTTATATTTTCCTGCCTCGGCCTCAACAGCCTTGCACACAAACACACACACAAAATTAAGGAAGGAAAGATAATTAAAACTCACGCGCATACCCATAAAAATGCCAAATTACCAATTAAGCCTCCTTTATCTACTTAAGTTGTGTACTCTGAAAACCCAAAACAGAGAAAATTAGAGAAAATTAGAGAATGTTGTTGGTCTAGTGTCCCGCAGCGCACTGTCTTCCTAATATTTATTTCATTTGGTAAATTATTTTATTCACTCTCTCTGTCTCTCCCTTTCAGTGTTGTGTCAAGACTTGTGAACATGGGGTGCGCTGCCTCAAAGGTGGAGGATCTTCCGGCGGTGGCTTTATGCCGAGACCGGTGCAAGTTCCTGGAGGAAGCTGTCAGCCAAACCCAAGCCATGTCCGATGCTCACGTGGCTTACTTGGCCTCCCTCAGGACACTTGGCCCCGCTCTCCACCGTTTCTTCGATGATGTTAATACCATTCAGAATCATTGTAATTGTAATGGACCACCAGAATCAGAATCAGAATCCGACTCGGCCTCGCACCTCCAATTCTCTTCCGACTCCGAATCCGAAACCGAACTCAAGGGCCCCCGTAAACAGTCGGACGAAACGCCAACTCCAGTTAATGATGGTGATGAATATTACAGGAATTTAGGCGGCGGCTTGGCTTCCAAACCCCCTCCTCCGCCACCGTCTCCAATCAGCTCCACTTGGGATTTGTTTAATTTCTTTGACGCCTATGACAGGGAGAGATACCCACCATCCCCACTTTATTCTTCTACTCATTTGGAGCCTGAAGAAGCTGCTACTCCTGCTGCTGACAAAATCAAACATAACAATATTAATATTAATAATGACATTGGACAGCAGGAAGATCAACAGACTAGGCCGAAAGAGAAGAGTAAGAAGACGATTCATTTGGCCACGTCTGTCAAACACAACAAACAGAACGAACAGAACGAACAGGGTGTCTCCGCAGAAGCAGAGGCCATCCGAGAGCTTCACTTTCTGTTTGACAGAGCGTCTGAGTCCGGCAATCAAGTTTTGAAGTCGCTGCAGTCTCACCATCACACAATTTCTCTACATCAGGGTATAATCTCTCTTTTTCTCTTCCTTTCCAAATAAAATAAAATAAATATTAATATTAATAACTAATTTGATGCGCTCGTTTTGGAGAAACAGAGTATGGCTTTGGTAACCATGAAGGCTTGGGGATGAGCTCACAGAGCCTATTTTACACTCTGAACACGCTCTTCTTGTGGGAAAAGAAACTTTACGACGAAGTCAAGGTATGCTTAATCTGTCATCATGGGTTGTCTTTTTTTAAGGCTTTTGAGCATATTCGTCTGCACTTGAATTTGTTGTCAATGTCATTTATGATTTTATACATCCTGCTTGCTTATAATGAAATGAATTAGGCTGAGGAAAGATTGCGCGTAACGCATGAGAAGAAGAGTCGAATGCTGAAACAATTGGAACACAGTAAGGCCACCGCTGAGTCTCCTAAAATTGAATCTGTTCGGACTGCACTTCGCAATGTTTCAACAAAAATGAAAATTGCAATTCATATTGTTGACAAAATATCAGTTACCATAAACAAGTTGAGGGACGAGGAGTTGTGGCCGCAGATTGTTGAATTCATTCACAGGTACGTACCACGCGTCTGTCTGATTGATTGAATTATGTTTTGAATGAGTAGAGTAGGTACAAGTCATACAAAATGTCACAATATACTACACATCATGATCATGTGGTATGGATAATTGACTCGTTGTGCAGATTACTTGGAATGTGGAAAGGTATGGTCGAATGTCACAAGAGTCAATACCAAGCAATTGCGGAAGCCTCCAAGGGTTTGGATGCAATTGCAATATCCAACGCGAAGTTGAACGGTGCGCATGATCTTGAAACCGCAATTCAACTCAAGTTAGAGCTTCAAAACTGGAATGTATGCTTCTCCAATTGGATTGCCACCCAAAAGGGGTATGTAAAAGCATTAAATGGTTGGCTTCTCAGATGTCTTCTACAGGAACCATCACCGCAGTCAGATGAGGAGGGTGATGCAGCAGTAGTAGTACCTCTGTCTCCTGGTAGACTCGGTGCACCCCCAGCTTTTGTGATATGTAATCAGTGGTCTCAAGCTATGGATAGACTCTCAGGGAAGGAAGTTATTGAAGCTATCCGGGGATTTTACACTCGTATACATTTGCTTTTAATGGAACACCACGTTGATGCAGAAACATTGCTGCAAAGAATGGTAATTGAAAACAAAGATGTAGCAAGGAAACTAAGACTTGTGGAGGAGGGGAAGGAGGAGGAGGAGGAGCAAAGGATAATGCAAAAGGTGCTGATGCGAGGTAGAGGAAAAAAGAATATTATTGGTTTGAGTTTGCAGGCAGCACAAGAGGAGGGTGGAGAGAGAGAGTATAATAATGGATCAAGGAATCTAGTATGGGATCTGAAGCAGACATTAATGGCCATGGAAAAATTCACTGCAAACTCACTGAAAGCATACGAAGAGCTTGATGCACACATTGAACAAGGCAACAGCCCCGGCCTGTGTGTCTGAATAATTACAAGTCCAGGACTTGTGTATCCTACGTAGTACGTACTTTATAAATTAGAATTACCTGAGTGTTACTTTCTTTCTGGCATGTAATCTTCCATGATCCATCTAGATTCTAGAGGCTTGTTCCTCAATCTGGAATCTAGTGATGATTATTTATTGTAATAGAAAATTAGGTGTGTGGTTGTCCCTCCCTAGCTAATTTCTTGATATCAATTAATTGCATTATATTTGTTGCAATGGGTGCGTGCTTAATTAAGGTTTTGTTCATGAATATATATATATATATATATATATATATATAATATAAGATTAAGGGCCTGGAACCTGGAAGTACATAAAATACATGGTGCCTTAGAAGTTGATCATGCATAAATGTGAATCAAGAAGAGTAGAGGGAGAAATTTTGAGATGCCAAGATTGCTGAAAGACAAAACGAATTGGTTCAATTATTTGAAACTACCTACTGATGATTAAAAGGGAACTTTTATTACATACAAATTACAATACAACAAGGCAAACTAAAAGCCTTCATATGTGCCAATGGGTTCCCACCACAATGGTGGTGGCTTCCCCCTTACCCCCATGGCACTCCAGTTCGAACCCCAGGGTCAAAGACTTCCCTTTTCTCCCATGGCACCCCAGTTTGAACCCAGGGTCGAACTCTAATGTAAACAGAAATAAAAAAATCTTCATCCGTCTTTGAGAAGGGCTTTGACGAATAGCATAAATAAATAATTAGACTAGTTTTTAGGTCTAATGATCCTTGAATTTTGACATGATTCACATTTTGGTATCTCAATTTCCAAAATAGTTTTTGAGGTCCTTCAACTTCAGTTTTGTTAGGACAAATGGTCATGGATCAATTTTATTATCTTTTCCAATAAATGCAAGGGCAAAATGATCTTTTTGTATTATTTTTAATTTCTACTATCTAAATATTCCTTTCACCTAAAAAAATAAAAAATAAAACTAAAAACTAAAAAACCTTCTTCCTATCATCGCCATAGTAACAACAACCTCTCCAACCCAACCCCACTAAAATTTTCCTATGCACCCTAAGACACTACCCAAAAAATAAAAATAAAAAGGTGGCAACAATCACCATTATTTGGTGACTGTTGTCACTTTTTGTTTTTTTTTGGGTAGTGAAAGTGAAACAATTTCCAATTTTGACCCTTAACACTACACCATGTGCCATGCACATACTCAAATTTAACAAAAAATTTTAATAAAATTAACGATAAGACTATTTGCAGAGCCAACCCTGACCCAGGGTGACGGCACAAGGCCCAAATTTGAGAGGGGCACACAAATCTTTTATGGCCCATATATGATGGCCCCAAAAAACACTGGATAATTGCAAACTTAAATACAAAAGTAAAGACTCATTCTTCCCAAGGAGAGCAGCCGCGTGCTAATAGAGGATGAATGTCTTTTGACTTTCTCTATGAAACTGTTTACAATTTAATATTTGTTCATCTCCCTCTCTTCTTGTTCTTTTTTGTTTTCTTTCTGCGATTTTCGCATCTTTTTCTGGTTATGACCTTATTCTTCTTCTTCTTCTTCTCTCTCTCTCTCTCTCTCTCTCTCTCTCTCTCTCTCCAAAGTTAGATATGAGATCATATCTTAGTAGCAGATTGTGTGATTGTGTTGCTTTAATTAGGGTTCTATTTTCCTTGCAAGTTTGAGATCTTTAATCTTGTTTATTTTTTGTTTGTATTCGGATTTTGTTTATTTTTAATTACTTCCACGGTAGTTGTCTCCATTGCTAATGATTTATTCTTTGTAGATGACTACCATCTATGTTGCACAAATGATTCAATCCTTTTGTTACTTTTATATGGCGTTATAAAATGGTCATTGTTATGTTATTGTGTATTTTGAATGTCATTTGCACTTTCTAGATTTGTAGTGTATGATTTTGGCCGTAAATGGAGGGTTTGGTAGATATTGTACAATTGATTGAAGAAAATGGCTTATTACCAAAAGTTATAATCTCAATGATTAGTTTTTCTATGAAGGGCACACTCTAGACTTTTGCATTGGGTCTTAGATCAGTCAAGATCGGCTTTGATTATTTGTCATAACGAAACTAAAGTTGAAAGACCACGAAAATAATTTTTAAAATTAATGAACCAAAATGCGAATTGAATTAAAATTCAAAGACGATAAAACCTAAAAACCCATAATTAGACATAATTTTTTGGTCAACCCCATAATTAGACACAATAGTTTGAAGTGAAACAAAGAAAAGAGATATATACAATACAAAAAGGTCCACTTGGAATTGGCAGCAACTGGAGCTTCAAACGAGACGAGACGATACGCACCCTCTTATCTTTCAGGCTTCATATTATCACATTCACACATACGCGTATACGTATTAGCTGATATAAGTCAGTCCCCTTGTTTAATTGTTAGGGAAACAAATTAAAACAAAACTAATGGAGAAAAGAAGAGTATATAATAATAATATTAATGCATTATGCATGCTCTTGAAAAAAAATAATTAGACACATAATGAAAAAAGCTGTTATATTATGTAAGACATATAAACGAAAATTAAATAATGGCATGTTTAGAAAAAATATATAAAAATTAGTATCGGGATTTGTGCGGATTGTTCTTTAGACATTAGTCATTAGTCATTAGTCAGATAGTTTTTTATTATCAATATCTATAATAAATAAAAGACGATAAAATCATAAAAGCAACAGGTCTTTTGCTATTTAATCTTAGGATACTTGGTTAATGATGTCATTGTCAACTTTTGTTGGGCACCGCCAGCCTGTGTCCATAAGATTAAGATTTGGATGTTACTTTTGTCGTGCCTGCGGTGCTGTGAGATTTTGATGGTACGATACGAAACGAGACGAGACGAGACGAGGCTGATTGAGTACAAGAAGTGTTGTTGTTGTGCAATCCATTTGGCAAATCCTATCTAAAATTTAGACGTCGGTCCGCTGGATGGATGTCAAGTACCAAATTACCATAATACCCTTTACGACATAGAAAGAAAGAAAGAGAGAAAGGACAATCCAACAATAGTAGGATAGGAGGAAACAGAGGTTTTGTCAGTGAAGAAGGAAGAGAAAGAGAACGCAAGCAAGCAATGAGAAGGAAAAGAAAGCTGCAGCTCAACGTCACTCCTCCTTAGATAGAGATCTTTCCCCTGCGGCCCCTGCACTTCCCTCCCTCCCTCCACCTCTCTCTCTCTCTCTCTCTCTCTCTCTCTCTCTCTCTCTTTCTTTTCTCTGCCTCTCTACATATCTGTGTATATATTACTATACATACATCCATACATACATACATGTTTATCAAACAAGAGCTGGCTGAGGCGGGTCACTGAGTCAGCTCGGCCAAGTTATGGGGTGCTGTGAGTCGTCGTTTATACGTGGACGTCAGCACCAGTACCTGCACCGCCGCAACACTACTGCCACCGACAACAACCAGGCTCCTCAAGCCTCCAATGGAACCGAGTCCGCGGGAGCCGTACTGGGATTCTCGGAGTTCTCGCTGGCCGACTTGAAAAACGCCACCAATAACTTCAGCTCCGACTTCATCGTCTCCGAGAGCGGCGACAAAGCCCCCAATGTCGTCTACAAGGGCCGCCTCCAGAACCAAAATAGTCCTAGTTGGATCGCCATCAAGAAATTTACCAAATTGGCCTGGCCTGACCCTAAGCAATTCGCCGTATGCTCACTATTTCTCTCTCTCTCTCTCTCTCTCTCTCTTATTTTTCTCCTTCCATTTGCAATTTTTCTTAGGGTTGCCATTTCCAATTTAATTGGATTTCTTTTCTTCTCTTTTGGGTTGGGGGTTCAGGATGAAGCTTGGGGTGTTGGGAAGCTGAGGCACAAAAGGCTTGCCAATTTGATCGGGTATTGCTGCGACGGCGACGAGAGACTGCTGGTGGCCGAGTACATGCCCAATGATACCCTTGCCAAACATCTATTCCACTGTATGCTTTTAAAACAAGGAAAAAATAAAATTCTTTTAACAGTTCGATTTATAACTCTTTCTCGTATTCTTCAATGATTTTGTTTGATTCCTTTCCTCACCACCAACTCAATTCTTGGCTTTTATTTTCTGCACGAGAAATCAAATCGGTTTGACTAATTGCCTGAAATGTGAGGAGGAAAGGAACGCCCTTCTGAGTTTTTTTATAACTATATATTAAAATTGCATTGCGTTTCAGCGAGTTAGTAGAATTTAGAATTCAGCTATAGGGACTATTCAGTTGATAGAATAGGAATACCATTGGTTGTATGTATTGTAATTTGTATATAATCAATATTTGATGTGAAAATCCATGCAAACTTTAATTTGCAATTTAGGTTTGTTGTCAGTCCTGCAAAGATATATTACTTTCTCCTCTTTTCCATAGATGTTGATTTATTGGGGCATCCTGGCTTTTGAGAGCGCATATGTTCTGTGTGTTATTTCCATTTCAAATTATGATTTCTATTTCGTTTTTGACCTCTCAGATTTATTGACTAGAGTTTTTCAAAGTATTTCGGATATAAAATTCCGTTCACACTTTCTTGACAGGGGAGAATCAGACCATTGAGTGGGCCATGCGGTTAAGGGTTGCTCTATACATTGCTGAAGCATTGGATTATTGCAGTGGTGAAGGCCGCTCATTGTATCATGACTTAAATGCATATAGGGTTCTCTTTGATGAGGTGCTGTCTCAAATCTTATCCCAAGTTTGAAGATTTAGTTTTTCAGTATTTACAAGTAAAATAATGTCATCGCGTATCTTTTTATATTTTGTTTTTTTTAATGAGTAGACATTTCCTTTTGTGTTAAAATATGTCATCCCAAGAATACATGGATTTACTTGAGATCAAAGTGGTAATTTTGTGGATGGTCTTGGCAGAATGGTGATCCTCGGCTTTCTTGTTTTGGGTTGATGAAAAACAGTAGGGATGGAAAAAGTTACAGCACTAATCTTGCGTATACACCCCCTGAATATCTAAGAAATGGTAGCTGCTTATCTTCCTTCTTATTATCTATTAGAAATTTTTTGAGATACTCTTTTCGTTGTATGAGATAAATCTGAATCATTAAGAAAGTTTCATTTTTGAACACATGTGTCTGTAACAGTTTGGATATAATATAAAATGATTTGGGTGCAATATTCTTAGTCAATGTATGCTTCAGATATTTATGCTATTGTTTGGGAGGAATGCTTTGATGCAAATTGGTATGTCTTAAGGTTGTCGTAAGAGTTGGCAGGACGACGTTACTAAGTTTTATGCTGAAAAGAATTAAGAAGATTGAGATCCATGTAATTGGAAGATTTTTTTTAAAATTCCATGCCAATAAATACATAATTGAAACTGCTATTATGATATTTATTTATGTATGTGGCGTTAACATGTTAGCGTACTCATCAATAACTGAGTTTGATGTTTCTGTAGTACGTAAGGTTTCTGATTGTGTTAGCAGACATAAGGCTGTCTTTAAATAAAAATAGTAATGTGAGATACCTTAAGAATATAAACTGAACACATAGTGAGGCAATGAATAAGACTATTGGAAGCAGGTAAGCCTTGGTCATTGTTTTGAAAGTTTTGTGAAATGCCCTTGCTAGTTTGTGTAAGAAATATTTTGCTCCATAACTTGACATGATTTAATGTGATAATTTTCACCGCATGGAGATTATGTTTTATGAAGAGTCCTTCTTGGCTTTATGAATTACTTTGACTTCCCTACCAACTATAATATGTGTATGCTGCAGGAAGGGTGACTCCGGAAAGTGTTATCTTCAGCTTTGGGACTGTCCTTTTGGATCTTCTCAGTGGGAAACACATCCCTCCTACTCATGTAAGTATTTTACCATGTCATGCCCTTGTTCTCCACTCAGTCGGTTTGGAATGGACCCATGGTCTTTAAAAATTAAAGTGCAGTTCTTCTGCCAATGAGTTATGCGGAAGTCCATACACTGTATGGTAAATTGGTAATAGAGGAGTTGCTTGTTCAAATGCCCCTTACTCGGAAGTCTTTAGTACTCGGTAATAAGGGGCCCTTTGTCTGGATGATCTTTTAGTTTTTAATAAATAATTATGTAGGCTGACTTTGGATTACGGAGTCTCCTTATAATTTATGTTTGTGTTGCAGGCTCTTGATATGATTCGTGGCAAAAACATTATTCTCTTAATGGATTCACACCTGGAGGGAAATTTTTCTACTGAACAAGCGACTGTGGTTTTTGATCTTGCCTCACGATGTTTGCAATATGAACCCAGGGAGCGGCCAAATACCAAAGACCTTGTTGCAACAGTTGCCCCACTGCAAAATAAATCTGATGTAAGTCTTCCTGCCTTTTCTCCTCATGGATGCAATTTCATGTTGTTTTCGTTCTGTTTGTTTCTTAAACATTGCCTTTTTTAAAATATTATCACCACCAACATTCTGAACCAAAAGTAGTGCAACTATGCTCCCTAAATAAATGCAGTTTATTTTCTTTATACTTTTAACGTCCTTGTATGTTTCCTGTTCTTATCATTCTCTGCCAAGCAAAATCTCACTCCTTCCCAGTCTGATTTTGTTCCCTGAAAGCAATTTCAACTACCTCTACATTTTCTGAAACATGCGTAGTCAGCAATTTTTTATAATGACAATGCTTTGTAGGTTCCATCTTATGCGATGTTGGGAATTCCAAAGCACGAGGAAGCACCTCCGACTCCACAACATCCTCTTTCTGCCATGGGCGATGCCTGTTCAAGGATGGACCTCACAGCCATCCATCAAATTTTGTTAATGACACACTACAAAGATGATGAAGGAACCAATGAGGTAATTGGATTGTGCACAGGTAGGTTCAGATGGTTCTCTGATGCCTTTCTGAAACTGTTTGTCTTTGTGTTAGTTGTCTTTCCAAGAATGGACTCAGCAAATGAAGGATATGTTGGAGGCGCGAAAGCGTGGTGACTTAGCATTTCGTGACAAAGATTTTAGATCAGCAATGGACTGTTACTCTCAGGTATGGATTCTGCAATAGGAGGTAGAGTATGCATTCCTGTCCCCCATTTAACAAGTTTACACTTGATTAGTATTTTAATGCCACAAGGGTCAGGCACTTCATTTCTTCTCTCGTAGATAATGAGTTCCGAACCGGTATTCATATCAGAGACTCTACCTAATAAAAAAGCTGTTTTTGTAATTAGAAAATAGGATGGCCATCTTAATTTCTTTTAGGGTAATTGCAACTATGCTTAATTAATTTCCTTCTGTTTATAATGCAGTTCATAGATGTGGGGACCATGGTTTCTCCAACTGTCTATGCACGAAGAAGTCTATGCCATCTGCTTTGTGATCAACCAGATGCTGCCCTCCGAGATGCAATGCAAGCGCAATGTGTCTACCCTGACTGGTCCACAGCATTTTACATGCAGGCCGTTGCTCTTGCCAAGCTAGATATGCACAAGGATGCAGCTGATATGCTGAATGAGGCTGCTACCTTGGAAGAGAAAAGACAACGGGGAGGGAGAGGATAGATAGAGAGGAGAGAGGATCTTGAATGAAATGCCTTGTAATTATTTTTGTGACACAATTGGCGCCATAGATTTTTTATTTTTTACTTGGTTCTTTTTTGTATTGAAGCTGGAGCAGCAGTTGTTGTAACAAAACATGTAGATCATGTATAATGGGGTAGGGGAAATTTGTTTCGGTCCAACTATTGTGCCATTATTTTGCTTCCTAATTTCATTAAAAAATTAATTGGTTCGTAATGTGTACTTGTGTATATGAACTTTATAATACAACATTTTTACGCCGACTGATAATACATGAATTTGCTCGAGTGTCCCAACTACGCAACATATAGCTCAGCTTTCCCATCAATGAAGAGGCTCATGAACTCTTCACCATCAACAGTTTCCTTCTCCATGAGGAGCTGGGCTAGTTTGTGGAGGATATCGATGTGGGTTGTGATGATCTGCGTGGCCCTTGAATAAGCTTTCTCTACCAACTCCCTTACCTCTGCATCCACAATATCAGCAGTTGCCATGGAGTAATCTTTTTGGGACGACATCTGCAATTGAAACACATATACAGGCCATGGGCAGGCAGTTAGTTAGCTAGCTCATCATTTCCATCAGTTATCTTGTATCCCACGGGCATAAGTAAAACACACATCAAACGAGAATAATCCATTAAAGTCTAGCCACTGCTCTACCTGTTGACCTAAGAAGGGATTGCCACCACCAGCACCGATAGCAACTTGTCCGATCTTTTTGCTGAACCCAAATCTCTCAACCATCTGCCTAGCCACCCTTGAAACTTGCATAAAGTCACTTGATGCCCCTGTTGTCACATTTTCCTGACCAAAGATAACTTCTTCGGCAACCCTGCAATGCCAATAGTGTGAGGACACAATTTCTCATATGCACTAGGATTTTTAATACAGCCTTCTGAAATTGAAACGCTCTACATAAAAACTGCAGAGTTTGTAGAACTAACCTTCCACCAAGGGCAACAGCCATTTGATTCTCCAGGTAGCTTCTACTGTACAGTCCGGACTCGAGTCTCTCTTCACTTGGAGCAAAGAAGGTTAGACCACCGGCTTGGCCACGAGGGATGATGGATATCTTAGCTACAGGATCATATTCTGGCATTAAAGCACCAACAAGAGCATGCCCGGCCTCTGCAAAGAATAGATGAATAGATCAATAAAAAAAAAAAAAAAAAAAAAAAAAAAAAAAAATAGATTTGCAAAATAACAAGTTCTATGGGATGGGGAGAACGGGTCTTGTTCTATATACCATGGTAGGCGACTAATTTCTTCTTGTCTTCTGAGACCACAGCATTTTTCTTCTCAGGTCCAGCAATTATTCGCTCCAGAGCATCAGAGATCTCATCTTTACTTATTTCTTTGAGGTCGCGTCTGGCTGCAAGAATGGCAGCTTCATTCATCAGGTTTTGCAGATCAGCCCCCGTGAAACCAGTGTGTTCATCCTTTCAAATCCATAAATCAATTCACAACTCCTCATGCCTGCCTTGCCTCACCCCGTGCTCTTGCCTCTGCGCACCTGCCACCATTATTTTTTTAAAAAAAAAAAAAAAAAAAAAAAAAAAAAAAAAAAAAAAATAGTTTGTTGGGAATATGGGTACAGATAGGAAGGTTTGGATTCTCAGAGACTTGAAACATTGCACTCTAGTTTGTTGAACTGGAATACATAATTCTACTGAAACAACTTTCAACCTCACTAAAACATGAAACAAATATCCAGATATGCTTAATTAAAACAAACGAAACAATTCGATTTATAGAGATACCTTGTGTGAAAAATAAGAATAGATACTATACAAATGCATACATATGTACGTTTAGATTTTATGCTTCACAAGACACTGAATTAGTGATTAAACAGACTTGAGAACATACATACATACATCAGCTGCTCATGTTCTTGTGTGCCAATAAGCATACTGTTTTGTTAACGACTATGGTCCGTGGGAAAGGATGAGATAAAATGAAATGAAGCCAATTGAACCAATAGTGTAGGCATTGATTAAGATTTAAAACTCACTAACCTGCAGGATCTTAACTCTCCCAGCAACATCAGGCCTGTCCACGGTCACCTGTCGGTCAAACCTACCGGGCCTCAACAAGGCCGAATCAAGAACATCCGGCCGGTTGGTAGCCGCCAAAACTATGACACCGGAATTACCCGAAAAGCCATCCATCTCCGTCAACAGCTGATTAATGGTCTGCTCCCTCTCATCATTCCCACCTCCCATACCTGCTCCTCTCTGCCTCCCCACCGCATCAATCTCATCAATGAACACAATGCACGGCGCTTTCGACTTGGCCTTCTCGAACAAGTCCCGCACTCTCGACGCACCCACTCCCACAAACAATTCCACGAACTCCGAAGCTGCGCAAGAGAAAAACGGCACCCCAGCCTCGCCGGCCACGGCCCGAGCCAGAAGGGTCTTGCCGGTACCAGGTGGACCCACCAAAAGACAGCCTTTTGGGATTTTGGCTCCAAGGGCAGTGTACTTATCTGGGTTCTTCAAGAAATCAACCACCTCCTGCAGTTCCAGCTTTGCTTGGTCAGCTCCAGCTACATCAGAGAAACTCACCCCCGTCTCTGGAACTTCTTGGAATTTGGATTTGGACCTTCCGAAGTCCATAGGCCCACCAAGCCCACCAGGCCCTCCGGGACCACCTCCCGCTCGCCGGAAAAGGAGGAACAATCCCGCGAAGGCCAAGATTGGGAACAGCAAGTTCCCGATGAAATTGAACAATCCATTGCCCGAATCGCCCTCGGACACTGAAATATCGACGCCGTTCATGGCCAAAATATCGATAAGGTCCGGGTCATTGGGAACAATGACGGAGGCTCGTCGGCCATCCACGGCAGTGAGCTGGAGGCCAGAACCGTCCTTGCTGAACCTGACTCTTTCGACCTTGCCCTTCTTGACTGCGTTCAAGAACTCGCTGTAGCGCCATTGGCTGCCTTCAGGGAGATCAGTGGCGGCCTGGGATTGGGGTTTGGGGGCTGTAACGAGGAGATTCTGAGAGAAAGGGGAGGAGGCGTTGGGTTTGGTAGGCTGGGCTTGGAGAACAGGTGGAGGTGTGGGGGTGGGTGTGGCGTCTAAGGCTAGGGCTTGTGGGGTGAGTGAAGTGACCGAAGAGAAGAGTAAGGCAGCTAAAGTGGCTTGGGATGCTGCGGATTTGAGGGGCTCGGAATTGGGTTTCTGGTTGAAAATGTTTTTGGTGGTAAAAAGGTTTCTCTTGGAGAAGAAGGGCAGAGGAATTGGTGCTGGTGTGCATCTGGAGGTGGTTTTTGGGGTTGGAGGCGAGTGTAGGATTCTAGTGCCAAAAAAGTTAGAAGAGAGCAAGGTGTTGGTGGTTGAAGCCATGGCTCGGAAGAGCAAAGGAAGTTGGTGTTTTTGGTACTCTCTCTTCCCCTCCGCTCCTTCTTTACTTGTGTTATCTCTTCACTAAATTCAGCTATTTTCCAAATAATAAATTCAGATTTGCCTTTGCCTTTGCCTTTGCTTTAGGATATTAAACTTACGCTCACTGGACGGGTAATGAATTATCATATTTTATAATGGAGGGAGTGTGAGTGTCAAATCAAATACGTATATCGTGGCAAAGCTTCAAACTTAGAACTTTGCTTCTTCAAACAAAGTTGAAGCAAGCCACACCATAAAAATGATCAACTTTGGACGCTTGCTTCGGCTGTGCCTACGTGTTCGACATGCTATCCATTCATTATCTCATTTTCTTTTTATTTCATTTTTGGTTTTGTTTGATTTGATTTGATTTGATTTAAAAGAAAAAACAAAAAATGCAGTAGAAATGAAGCCCAGCTCGCTTCATGTCATGTGATTTATGGGCTGATCATTTGTTGGGTCATGAATCTGGAGTGCTGAGCCCATTGCTTTTTCGTATTTGGGCTACATGAACAAAGAGGAAGAAGCTGTCAATTTGTCAAGGTCATTCTCTCTCTCCTCTCTCTCTCTTTTAAGACAAGGAAGAAGGAGATAGCTAGCTCTGACTCTGTGTGAACGTGAATGTGAACGAAGTTTGATATGATCAACTTCTTGGAAGGTCGGTCGTTTAACTTGTCCAACTGTGGATTTTGGTGTCAGAATATATATATATATATACATGTACTAAGTCGTACGTACATTGAGAAAACAAAAGCATATGCACACAGACAAGAGACAGCACTGTAAAGTAAATGAAGTGATCATTTTATAACAAAGTCTTGATCATTGATTAATATGTTTGTGAGAAGCATCTTGTCTCGTTTCTAACAATCAAAACCAGGCTGGCACCCTTCCCTCGTGCATGTATGATTAGCCTTATGAGTCTAATCACCAACAACAATATCTCCTACTCCGATATCCTACTGGATATATGACAGATATATTCATTTCTGTATATATGAATGGAATGGAAGGTTCGAACAATACAAATTGGTGTCCCTTCCGTCCCTTAGGTTAGGCTTAGCTGTCCTGTCCTGTTAATTAACTAATATACATACAAAGGAAAGGGATTTCCAACTCTGTCCGTACTCATCCAAAGGATTCTTCCTAGTCCTTTCCTTTCCATGAAGATCTCAGATCTAAGTCATAATATTATTCAGCCTAAGCCTAAAGCTGTGTCTTTCTTTTAGCTTCATCACTATGCATATATATATATATATATGTAGGGTTCAGACGATGTAGATGTAGAGGTATATATATCGCACACTGCCCGCACTAGCTACTGCATATCATATCCACAACCACAAACTCTCTACGTACCTTAAGCTTAGCTACCACCTACTACGTACATCATCATCCTCATCTCACTCAAAGTCATCAAATTAAGAATAGTGACCATGGCAATCGCATGTCCAAACTTTGAAGCTCTGAAAGACCTGCATAACTCTGCAAATAACCTTCTCTACTCACCCATGATCCAACAAGCACTCGTCCATGACAGACAGGAGAAATGGGTTCATCAAGTCTCAGAAGCATCTCTGCGAATGTTGGATGTGTGCGGCATTTCCAAAGACGTTCTTTTAATGGTAAAAGAGCATCTCCAAGACCTTCAATCCTTGTTGCGAAGAGTAAGCAGCGACCAAGAAGCGGATATTGATAACAAAATGGGAGCCTACAATTGCTACAGGAAGAAGCTCAAGCAAGAGACGCTCAAGTGCTTGAATTCTTTCAAAGGGATCAAAAAGAACAAGTCGTCCATGTGTATCTGTACTGCACAACCACTACTAGAGTCATCCCCCATATACATGGACCACAACCTTAGGGTGGTGGTAGATGTGCTGAGACAAGTGAGGGCGACCGCCGTTTCCATCGTGGAGACTCTCTTGTCCCTAATTTCCATACCTTGGCTCGACCGGAAATCAGCTACTAGTACTACCAAATCCATATTCATCAAGGCCAAGTTCATGCGTCCAAGTTGGAGTTGGGGAAACAGACAGAGAATGTATGACACATGCGACGCAACCGCGCTTCAAAGTGCCAACAAAAGATTGGACGCTGTAGAGATTGCCATTCAAGATCTTGAAGCCGAGTTAGACTGCATGTTTAGGCGTCTGATCCACACCAGAGTTGCGCTTCTCAATATACTTACCACCACCAACTAGCCAGCCCCCTCCTCCTAGAGTCCTAGGCCTAGCTAACCTACCTACTATCAGCCCAATCCTTCTACTTTTTGTTTTGTTTTTTATTTGAATATGTTAACAAATTCTTTGATTCTTTACAATAGACTCATTTTATTTTCATATTATTCACACCTGTGAGACCGTTTTATCCTATAAAACGAGTTATACATTGGCTAAACATTTCGCATACCACCTGATTTTCCTGTTTTATTATATATATGATGTTTTGGAACTGCTCATAACACTGAACTTTCAAATGAGTTGCAAAGAAAGAAATGAAGTCACAGCAAAATGCAACTAGTTTCAACCTCACAATGTGTTTACAGGATAGCAGCATACAAACATCATAAATTTAACATTCTGAAACGTAGTTTCATGCCATCATGCTCATCACAATCTCTTTCTTCACAATCACTTTATTAAACAGAAATCAACAAACAAGTTCCACACGACATTTTCACTAGTATCCCACCGGAAAAGCCATTTATGATTCCAATTCTTCGCTCTTCAACAGGACCCCTGCAACAATACACTAAAGATGATTTCATTTCACATTCCTTTCAACGCAAATAAATTACTTATTGAAAGTCTAATTGATAAATAAATTAATTAATAAACTGAAACACAAGCTAACAAAGATAAGACAAACCTAACATAAACTGTAACCAGTATGTAAATACTTGGTAGCTAAGGGAAACCCACAGATTTCCCATATATATAGCATCACGATCCTTGCATCTACCACATTCAAGAACTCATAACTACTAAGCCTAGTGCATGCTTCTAAATCAAAAGACATGTGATAGTTAGTGAACAGTGTGAAAGCACGGCTACAACATTGCCAAGTTTGTAGCCAGATCTCTACTCTAAATAGGAGTTCATGAGTATGACTCCCACTCTCCAAATAATAAGTATCACATAAAGCAAATGAAACACAGTGGATATTACGAGTATACGTGCTAGTCAAGTAGTTATAGCTGAGACAAAAAAGGATGAACAGTACCTAATGATCACCATGGGAATGATCACCATGCCCCTCCCACGGATGTCTCCAACCCTAAAAGACATAATAAGAAAGTGAGTAATGTAAGTATATCGAATTACAGAGAAATTTGAAACAGGAGAAGCTCTTACCAGAACTGCAGGACCATCTTGCTTGGCCCTGTACAGCACCCAAAACCTGATAAATTAAACAAAACCAGTAAGCTACAAAGAATTCAAAAGGAGAGAGAGTGCGAGGCGGAAACATAAACTCACATGCAATATTTATCCTTAAAGTTGCAACACAGAGAACCAAAATTCAAAAGGAAGAAAGAAAAACTATAACTTAGTGGTAGACTTAGATGAACCGAGTAATGATTCATTACTGGAATATTTGTATGCACGAATCACCTAAAGAAAACCTCAATCCCCTACTTCAACTTTATCCCATATTGCACGATTCCAATTACTGGTGTCTTCTATGCTAAAAATCAAGCACCAAAGCCACTAGAAGTCGGCCTAGAATATAAGCTTACCCACTAGGAAAATACAGAAAGTAATGTTTGATAATATGGTTCCATTTCCATACAACCTACTCATCAACCAAATGTTACTCACAACAAGAAATCCTATGAGTCAATTTCAGCTCCCAAGCCACCCAAATTCAACAGCCAGATACCCCAACTTCAATCCCAAATGTTTAAGTGAATTCTCATTTCTTCCCGTTAGCATTTCTCCATGTCTAAGTTGCCCAAAAAAAAAGGATGCTTTAAGATAAACAACAAGGCACGCAGAGCGGATATGACATGGTGCATTGAATTGAATGAAATTTGATCAACATTTGAATTGTACAAATTCAAAATCAGTGAAATATAAGTGTAAGATATAAAACGGAGTCAATCAATGAAGAAGAGTTGTGAGAAAGATGAAGAAAGAGTATGGAGACAGAGAGCTGAGGGATTACCACATCATAGCGCACATGCCTTTGCCGGTGAGCGCGTGCCATCGCTTAGGCTGATGCACCGTGAAGCCCTTGTACGTGGTGCCCTCTCCATGTCCTCCCCCCATTTCCTAGATCACTCTCTCTCTCTCTCTCTCTCTCTCTCTCTGCGCAAGGAGAAGCCCTAGACTCTCAAATCTCAAATCTCAATTCAGAAAATGCTCCGCACCTGACAACCCATCTGTCAACCAGACCTGAGCTGACCCAGTTTTGGTTCTAAATTCTAATGAGTCGACGAAGTTATGGGCTTCGCTTCACCAATGTTGCTCCAAACCCAAATTCAAGATAAACCACCCGGCTTACTGAACCAGAGCCCAATAAAAGGCCCATTTTAAAAAGCGAGTTTTTGTTCTGCCATACCCACCCAGAACTGAAAAGTCATAATTGGCTCGATCGGCCACCAGTATACATAGTAAATACAGAATTGTGATCTCTTTCCAAAAGGGTAAAATACAAAACTGAATGAATGCATGATGTGACCACATACATTTCATTACTCATTGGTTTTTGGGTAGTAGAAGACAGAGGAGGGGAGGAGACATTTTCAAACAACATAACAAACAATAATTTATTTAATATGTGTGCGACATGCCGCAGGCACATATAAAACAGATTGAAAATAAAAAACATCCACCCCCAGTTCATATAAAAATCATGCATTGTGTAGCCTCATTAGTGTTCAAATTCTGTTGCTAGCAGTCTTTGTTAGTGCACGATTTGTGATTTTTTACATAAATCTATACTGGTAGCAGTTGGCAATTGAATGCTACGTATAAGTCATTCCTGCTCGAAATTGGGGATCTACTCTAACGCGGTTAGTGAGAAAAAAACCCTTGGCAAACCATAAAAATGTTTGGGTCATACAAGTATTTGAACATGTGTGTCCCATGCACAATAAAAGAAGACGAGAAAAACCGTGTGTCCAATGACCAAACTGGTGAGCGGTCAAAGGTCAAATATTCAATTTGTAGTGGTTATAAAAGGAATCTCGCATTTTGAAACGTTTGGATTGGACCAGCAAACAAAAAAGAAATTTTGGAAAGAAAGTCGAAAGGCAACTCTTCTCTAATCTAATCCTAAATCGCAAATTGTAGTGATGACGACGACGGCGGTGATGGGCTCTGCAAAGGTGGATGGCAGAAGCGGATTCTGCAATTCCAGCTCGACATTCTACAGCAAGCGCAAGCCCATACCACTCCCTCACAACGATTTTTTGGACATCACCACTTTCATTTCGTCTCAGGCCCACCGTGGCACCGTCGCCTTCATCGACGGCTCCACCGGCCGCCAACTCACCTACGCTCAACTCTGGCGTGCTGTGCGTTCAGTTGCCTCCTCTCTCTCCGACATGGGCATTCGAAAGGGCCACGTCGTACTGCTGCTGTCCCCAAACTCCATCTTCTTCCCGGTGGTGTGCCTGGCCGTGATGTCGCTGGGTGCGATTATAACAACCACCAACCCCCTCAACACCACCGGCGAAATTGCCAAACAAATCGCCGATTCCAAACCGGTGCTGGCCTTCACAACCCGTCAACTCATCTCCAAACTTGGCGGTTCAACTACTGATCTCTCCATCGTGCTCATTGATGACGATGAAATTAAAGCTCCTAATCATGGAAATGGAAAAATTGTGTCGACCTTGGGAGAGATGATGGTGAAGAAGGAAAGGCATGGGAGTAGCAACGGAGGATTGAATTTGAAGGAAGAAATCAATCAGGATGACACAGCGACTCTGCTCTACTCGTCGGGGACTACGGGTGCGAGTAAAGGCGTGGTGTCGTCTCACAAGAATCTGATAGCGATGGTGCGGGTCGTTCTCAGCCGCTTCAATCTCGACGATGGGGAGGAGAGGTTCCTGTGCACGGTTCCCATGTTCCACATCTACGGCTTAGCAGCGTTCGCCACGGGCCTACTGGCCTCAGGATCAACGATCGTGGTTCTCTCCAAGTTCGAGATGCATGACATGCTGTGGGCCATCCAGAAGCACCGTGTCAGTTACCTTCCGCTCGTTCCTCCCATACTGGTTGCGCTCATCAACGCTGCAGATCAGATCAAGGCCAAGTACGATCTGAGTTCCCTGCGCAGGGTTCTGTCGGGTGGGGCCCCACTCAGCAGGGAAGTAATTGAGGGATTCGTGGAGAAATATCCGACCGTCACCATTCTTCAGGGGTACGGATTGACGGAATCAACGGGCGTGGGAGCGTCGACGGACAACCTGGAGGAGAGTCGAAGGTATGGTACGGCGGGGCTGTTGTCGGCGAGCATGGAGGCCAAGATTGTGGACCCCGACAGCGGTAAGGCACTAGCAGTGAATCAGACAGGTGAGCTTTGGTTGAAGGGTCCCACCATCATGAAAGGTACAACGCTAGCCACAGCCACTCACCATTTGCTCTATTATTTTATTTATGAATTGATTGGTAATGTCACTAAGATATATTTGCAGTATCTAATATTAATATTACCCAAAAAAAAGTATCTAATATTAATTATTATTATACAAGCACGAGACAGATAGGGAGATTATTGTAATTAAATTAAAGTACTGGATGATATAATTACGTGTCTCTCTTAAACAATAAATAAAAAGCTATATATACTACTTAACTAGGAGTTGAGCTAGTCTCTTCTAGCAAAAAAAACTTTAGCAATAATGCAATGAAAAGTTATTTCTCGTCATTGTGCTATCGATCGAAATAGCGTTGCATGAAAATCTCTTGCTTAATCTAAAGTGAATTGAAATTATTATATATGAGGTTAGTATTGGTTGAGTTTCATATAGAGCATCTCCAACCGATGTGTCAAATATGCCACATAGACATTTAACAGCTATAATTAACATCTCACATCACTCCAACCGATGTGTCAAAGCTGATGTGGAATGAAGGCTAGAGGTTAAAATGTTATTTTTGACATCCCAAAAGCAAGATGTCAAATGAATATTTTATTATTTTTTCTTTTCTTTTCTTATTAATTAAAAATGAATCAACACTAAAATGTAATAAAATAATAATTTAATTTGACATATCGGGTGGAGTGTAAAGCTGTATAAGAGCATCTTCAAGGAAGATGTCAAATACCAAACATCAAATTTAAATTTGATGGCTGATGTGGCAATTTGACATTTACACAGTTTTACACTCCACCCGATATGTCAAATAAATAATTATTGTAACAGTCAAATCATTTAAGATACATAAGAAAAAAATATAAAAAGGAAAATAATAAATGAAAGTAGCAATCAACTATCTTTAAAAATAATAAAATATTCATTTGACATCTTGCTTTTGGGATGTCAAAAATAACATCTCAACCTCCAACCTTCATTCCACATCAACTTTGACATATCGGTTGGAGTAATGTAAGATGTTATTTCTAGCCGTTAAATGTCTATGTGGCACTTTTGACACATCGGTTGGAGATGCTCTAAGATGTTAAATTGCCACATCAGCCATCAAATTTAAATTTGATGTTTGGTATTTAACATCTCCCTTGGAGATGCTCTTATTCATTTCCATTTTTAATTCATAATAAATATATGTTGGTTTTGATTGATGACGGATTTTATTTACCTTGGAGTGGTAATGTATAATATTGCATGGGTGGGTTGGTACGAGTGCAGAGTATTTCAGTAACGCAGAAGCCACTGCAGCGACCCTTGATGCACAAGGATGGTTAAGAACTGGAGACCTGTGCTACATCGATGAGGATGGATTCATTTTTGTGGTTGATAGGTTGAAGGAGCTCATTAAGTACAAGGGATATCAGGTAGTTTTCATTTTATATATGCATGCATATGGGATAATGGGATGGAAATGTGCCACACACATGGCACATTTGTCAATTTGTATATGTATACACTCGTTTTCCAAATGGCTCTAGTTTTTTTGTTTGTAAGGTAAGAAATATTTAGGAGATGTTTGTTTATCGATCGCATGCGGCATACCTAATTTAATTCGATGAATATTAATAATTATGTGGATGGTTTAGGTCCCCCCTGCGGAACTAGAAGCTTTATTACTGACGCACCCTCGAATTGTTGATGCTGCTGTTATACCGTAAGTCTTTCTCCATATTTTATTACGCCAACAAAGCAAGTATCGAATTAATTACATACCTACAAATCTCCTATTTATCCTTTCCGTACTCAATCTGTTTGAATATTTGTAAATGTTGTTGGCAGATTTCCTGATGATAAGGTTGGACAGTATCCGATGGCATATGTGGTAAGGAAAGCCGGAAGCAATTTGTCGGAGAAGGATGTCATGGAATTTGTCGGGAAACAGGTGGCGCCGTACAAGAAAATCAGGAGAGTGGCATTCATAGCTTCCGTACCTAAGAATCCATCTGGAAAGATTCTCAGGAAGGATCTTATTCAGCTTGCAACTTCTTCTTCTTCTTCTAAACTTTGACTGCTGCAAATTAATTTGGAGCTAGCTTTCGCATGCGACAGGCAGTGGAGGGATCCTTGAAATAACATGGGATTCTCTCTCTGCATCCCAGCCAGAGCCATTTTCAATAATTCCTATGATATGTTATGTTATGTCATGTAATCTTTGCTTTCTTTCCTAATATGAGATATATCCATATCCAATCAGCACATTTATGTGGTTTTGTTGGAACGTGGAAAATCCTGAGCACCTTCTTCTTCTTCAAGCCCTTAACCTCAGCGCGCTGTGCAAGGCAAGCGCACAGTGCAGTGCATATGCACGTATGAGTTGTTTGGTATTGAAATTGAATGAAGACCAAGTGGGCTGGCTTATCCTTGCAAGGCAATCAAATCTGCTGCCTGGCCTCTGGGCTTTTTCTTTAAAAATCTATTGAATTGAAACCAAACAAGTGGCCCAACTGTAACCAAGACAAAATGACCCTGTTTTAAAGTCGCGCCATGCTTTACTTGTTCACTTGGTTATCGCGTGCGCCGTCGTCTCTAAAGCTAGCTAATCCAGCAGATTTTGTTTACAAAAAAATTCAGGTTTCTTAAACCTAATCCAGCAGAGGCAGAGCCGCAGAGCAGGTATTGGAGTTACCATACCAGATCGTTCGCTGTCCCCAGAGTTATTATTACTGATGCTCTAATTATTTATGCATGCATGATTACAAAGCTTTCGGGGAGAAGTGGATGGATGCTTCCAATCAAATAATTAACAATTTGGATGGATGCTTCTAGTAGTTATAGACATATAAGCTACTAGAAGGCATGTATAACGCGCTTGTTTGACAATCCTGCAATTGAATTTCCTGAGATTGACTTATGGACTGCGTATGAGCACGCTGCTGCATGTCCCCATTGCTACAGAAATTATAAATGTTATTGCCTCTTATTTCAAACGCATTTTTCTAATCCCACAAATGTGGAATGACATGGAACGGTTTCCCCCGGTTTTTCAAACTTTCTGGAAAGATGGCGTTGTCAGACCGTCGTGGCAAAGATGTAGCTTATCCAACAAAACATATTTTTGTATTCACAAATTGCAAACTGATGTTACAGTTCGCTCATTGATAGCAGCTCTTGTTTTCTTCTTCTTCTTTTTTTTGGAGGGAGGGAGGGGAAGTTAAAAAGTAAATAGTCCCAACATATATATATATATATATATATATATATATATACATCAGAAGGGAGTTGAATTGACTGAATCCGGTCTCCTAAAAGACACCGTTAAGAGGCTAATGATTCAAATGAATTGATGATTAACTGATTCATTTGAGACTTTACTTGTCTAGTATATGAAACCTTATTAGTCAACTCAAGCAGAAACGACCTTCCCCACTTTAAGGCTGATCAAGAAATAAAATATACAATGGTATGGATGTCCTTCTTCTTTTTCCTACATATTTATTTATGATTCGTTGTAGAAACAAACTGATGGGAGAAGATATCTCATTAAATTGTTGAACGACATGTGAGGACCCTACCCTTTGAGGAAATTTAAAGCTTGTGCGTGTTTTGATTCCCTGAGTGCCGGTCAACAAAAGTTGTCGACCCGCAACCATAGTAATTGATGCATGTCAGTGTCACCACTCACCACACAACATGTTATGCCAGAAAAAAGACTCATAACTGAGTCATTCTATACTCTATATATAGAAAGCTAATTAGCAATGGCCATTTTGTGATCAAGTGTTTGTGGGGGAAAAAATAAAAAAAACGGTGAGAGGTGCATGAGAGCATATATATACATGGGAGATCAGAATCAAAACCGGAGAGAGATGGGTGATGAGTTAACAACAGTGGAAGACAATATTTCCATTACTAGTATCGAGCCTAATGATGACCCTAGGATCATCATCACGATGAGTGGCACACAAGTAGATGATGATGATCAAATATTGGAAGCAGGTGCGGGAGATCATCATGATCATGGTCATGTGGTTGATGATGAAGCGGTGTCTGCAAGCGCACCTCCCATGGAGTCATCATCACCAGAGGGCACTAGTACTAGTACAACTTCACCATCTGTGTCAACGAAGCCCCTTCTACTCTCTATTGTACCTCCAAATAATATCAATAGGGCAGCAGCTACCCCAAAGTCTCACACTCCCAATTTCTTCACACCATTGGGTAGCCCAATTAGAAGGGCCATCCAACTCACCAAGTTTGACCCCCGTAGTCAGGATCACGACGCTTGGCTCCCCATCACCGAGTCAAGGAATGGCAATGCCTACTATGCTGCCTTCCATACCCTTTGCTCTGGTATTGGAATTCCAGCCCTTGTGCTCCCTGTCTCCTTCACCATTCTTGGATGGTACGTCATCTTAATTATATACATAAATATATATATATATATATTTATTAATATTACTTAGTACGTAACATACCCTTTTCCTTGTTGTGTTGTGTCTTGTGTGTATATATAAATTATAATATAATATATATGCATGCAATTTGCAATTTGGGGTATTTGCAGGACATGGGGGGTGATAAGCTTGACACTGGCGTTCATATGGCAGTTTTACACCCTGTGGCTTCTGGTGAAGCTCCATGAATCCACGAAAACTGGGATGCGTTACAGCAGATATCTCCAGCTCTTCAGTGCTACCTTCGGTGACAAAATGGCTAAGATCTTCGCCGTCTTCCCCATCTATTACCTTTCTGGGGGAACCTGTTGTGCCTTGATTATAGTGGGCGGCTCCAGCATGAAGCTCTTCTACGAGATTGTGTGCGGCCACGACTGCACTTCCAAGCCTCTCACCGCCGTCGAGTGGTATTTGGTCTTTACCTGCGCCGCCGTGCTTCTGTCTCAGCTCCCCAACTTGAACTCCATTGCCGGTGTCTCTCTAGTCGGTGCCATCACCGCCATTGGCTATTGCACCATCATGTGGCTCGTCGCGGTCACTGAGGGAAGGCTTGACGGCGTCTCTTATGATCCCATAAGAGAAAACACCAACACCGCTATGGTTTTCAGCGTTCTCAATGCGCTTGGCATAATTTCCTTTGCTTTCAAAGGGCATAATCTTACCCTAGAAATTCAGGTAATTATATCTCTAATTAATTAATTTGGGCTTAGCCCGCTTGTTCTAGGTACCGTTGGAACGTTGACCCTTGACTATAAACAAGTCAAGTGGCCCAGAAACCTGCCCTGCCCGTTTCTAAATTAATTTCAAGCCCAACAAATTTAATAATGTTAACATGGTGGTGGTATGAAATGAATGAATGCAGGCAACCATGCCTTCAAGTGAGAAAAAGCCATCGCACGTGCCAATGTGGAGAGGGGTAAAGGTTGCATATCTAATGATCGCAATGTGCTTGTTTCCTCTAGCAATTGGAGGATACTGGGCATACGGACACAAGGTGCATGCCTAATTGATTTATTTTATATATATATATATATATATATATGTGGTATGTGTTATTTAATTACTCATGTTTGCAAGTGTGTTTGGAAATAGATTCCACCGAATGGGGGAATGATGACTGCAATATATGAATACCACGGACGTGACACTTCCCAATGGGTTCTTGGATTGACCAGCTTATTCATCGTAATGAATGCGGTGAGCTCCTTCCAGATATTTGGGATGCCCATGTTTGATGACATGGAGTCCAAATACATCAAACGCATGCGAAAACCGTGCCCCTGGTGGATCAGGTCGATTTCAAGAGCCATGTTTGGATACGGGTGCTTTTTTATAGCAGTGGCAATTCCATTCCTAGGTAGCTTTGCGGGTCTGATCGGAGGGATCTCCATTCCGATTACCTTCGCTTATCCTTGCTTTCTGTGGTTGAAGGTGAAGAAGCCCAAGAAATACAGCTTTATGTGGTGCCTGAATTGGGGGCTTGGCCTTTTGGGCACCGTTCTCTCTATTATACTCATAGCTGCTGGCATTTATGTTGTCATTGACACTGGAATTCAAGTCAGCTTTTTTAAGCCCCAATAGTTCCTCTATTCTAGCTACTTCATCCCATCCTGCATTCACTTCCCTAATCAGCAGGATGATTATTTCTTTTTCATTTGTTGCCTTCCCTTTATAGACATACATGTATGTTTTTGTACGTACACTTCAATAAATCCTTTTTCTAATATTATTATTTCGAGTTTCCCTATTCAAGTAAATTCCTGTAAGTTACTTCTGGCCTGTTATATCATTGTCTATATATATATACCCTTTATTATAATTGTGACATTATCAACATACATTAGAACAACTTTTTTAAGGAAAAAGGACAACCACCAACACCAACAAACAGAAAAGTAGAAGAAAATAACCAGACAAAAGCAATTTGAATAAGACTCAGTCATAAAGCGAGAGAGAGAGAGAGAGAGAGGAGAGAGAGAGAGAGAGAGAGAAGACACCAGGAAAGCTCGCTGCAAGGCCACATGAAGGAGAAAATTATTATTGAAGAGCATCCTACCCTTCAGCCAATGAATATGCAAGACACTCCCAACAAGTTACGGCAGTCTGTAGCCATATTCAAGTGTGAATGCTTCAATACAACCAGAATACTTATCGTGGGGTATTCTTCCTATTATATTTCTTATTCTTCTCTAAACTCTAGTCATATTTCTACAATTATGTAAGCCACCAAAACCTACTAGAATCATCTCTAATTAATTAGTTACTTTAGTTTAGTACAACAACTACGCGTGAACAGGCCCCTAATTAAGCTTATCCATTACCCTCATGATTACAAACAGGCAGATCTGTTTATGTTCATGAAACTTCTCTTTTTCACGATCGTACACTCGTGCAAGGATAAACTTTGTAAATAATTAATTATTAGCCTGCAAATGCTGCAAGATTTGTAATTATTTTAGGACAATATATATTAGAACTGATCAATTAATATACAAGTAAGTTTAAGTTATTAAGTTAATTTATGATGTGTTTACTAATCAGGAATTAGAGGATTCATGCATTTACTTCACATCAAGAAATTGAAAAGTAGGTGGGGCCCACACAAAATTAGGAATTGAATTCCTGGTTTTGGAGGAATTCAATTATTGGGTGGGAGGTGGTATTATAATTCCTGGATAACTAACCCATTAGAAATTCATCCTTTTCACTCATTATATCCTCACACAATTTTTAAAATTCCATATTTGCCATTTACTTTAACCTAACAACGAGAACATTTTAGTAATTAGAATCACTCATACCCAAATTCTATATGATTTAGTAAACAACTTGAATAAGAATCTGGAATCTAACTCTCCTCAATCAATATGGTTTAGTAAACAACTTTAATAGGAATTCGAAATCTAATTCTCCTCAATCTAACTCATCCTCAATTCAATTCCTCATAATTAAATTACAGATTAATAAATATGCCATTAGTGATGAGACTGAGCTTTCCATGGAAATGAATGGCATGGACCAGGCGGGCAGGGTGGCAAATGCAATGTTCTTATAGTTGAATAAAATGTGGTCGAAAGTCCCTCCTACCAATCCCAAACGGACAAGCCCGAAAAAGAAAAAGTGCCCAATGACACTTTGATGACTAGTAATGGGCTGTGACATCTTCATCATCTTTATAGAAAAGAAATGCATAACACGTACGGCAGGAGCAGCCAAACGTGGCCCAGTCAAAAGTAGCTTTCTACTTTCAATTCGATTAGCTAAGGGCTCATCACATTCACAACCTTCCTTCCACATTCCACTCCATTAAATTATTAATTCACCTACTCACCATCCAGCCATCCAGCCATCAATCCATATGAATCATTATACGCCCCGAGGTCTGGATAGAAATGTATAGGAATATTAAGTTTTTGCTATTTTCGACTAATAATACAATAATATATAGGATAATTTTTTCATATATTATTGTGTTATTGGCCGGAATAACAAAACAATGTTATTCCTATTACATATAAGTATTTTTGCCAGGCTAGGCCAGGTCCCTTTCCTCGACCAACCATCCGAAAAGATAGCTGAAAAACCAAACAAGGAGAAAAAGCAACCCTCACAATTCAAAGCCACCTTACTTAATTTTGTCGCTTTATTATCACTTCTGTCTGTATATATTCAACAAAAAATTTGGTCTTCTTCAGAAACCCTCCTCAACTCTCAACAAATTCATCAGTTTGAAAGAGAGAGAGAGAGAGAGAGAGAGAGAGAGAGAGAGAGAGAGAGAGAGAGATATTGATTTGGGCGATGCGATGGAAGAGGTGGAGGAAGTAACGTTGAGCCCAAAAACCCCTGCAAAGAGCCCATTTGGTTCGCGTTTTATGGCGACTCCTCTAGCCAGCCCCAGGATGAAGAAGGCCGTTGCAAGCATGAGAGGCTACTTAGAAGAAGTTGGTCACTTGACAAAACTTGATCCTCAGGACGCCTGGCTTCCCATCACCGAGTCCAGAAATGGTAATGCCTTTTACGCCGCTTTTCACACGCTCAGTTCAGGCATCGGAATTCCATCCCTCCTTCTTCCCCTCTCTTTCACCGCTCTTGGTTGGTAAGTACTTTCTTAATTCTTCCTTTACGTTACTTATATATTAGGGTACCTCGTTATGGCAACTTCACTGACGTGAAAACTACATCTTTTTTCTGATGATCATATATCTAATGCAGGGCATGGGGAATTATATGTCTCTCACTGGCTTTCATATGGCAGCTCTATACTCTCTGGTTACTCATACAGCTGCATGAATCTGAGTCTGGAACGCGCTACAGCAGATACCTTCGCCTTTCCATGGCTGCTTTTGGTAATTCTATGCGGTCATTCACTCACTCGCTGCTAATCTAAGACCAATTATTATTAAACTTGCAACGTCTTCACAGAGTCCCCACTTTCCAAATTAATAATAATTAAACAATAGTGAAGATTATTAATACTAAGGAAAAATCAATTTGCGGTTTTTAGGGTTCGCATGAGTTGCCACCTCAACAAGAAACAATATAAAATGTATACGGTTTCGTGATAATTAGTATGATGTTATTGGCTTTGAAGAATTATAACTATATATATATAGAGAGAGAGAGAGAGAGAGAGAGAGAGAGAGAGAGAGAGAGACGTAACAATCTTGCATGAATTGAATTGCATATGGTAGTCAAAATTAAGTACTGTGTGATATTGACCGGCGGTGGACCCTCTTTTGAATCTATGATATTATCTATTAGTCTGAAAAATAAATAATCTTGCTTACTGAGAAAGTAAGTTGGCGTCTTTAGATTAAAAAAACAAGGAAACAAAAAAGTATTCAAAAGATTTTTTCCTTCTAGCAACATACTTAGCTAGCCTATTTAATTTTGAAAACTAATCAAGTGCATGCATGTGTGTATATATATATGCGTACGTTACAGGTGAGAAACTGGGGAAATTTCTTGCGCTGTTTCCAATCATGTACCTCTCAGGTGGCACGTGCGTAACCCTGATCATGATCGGCGGTGGGACCATGAAAAATTTTATGAAATCGTGTGCGGTGGTACCGGCGTAGTGAATCCACTGTCGACGATAGAGTGGTACTTGGTGTTCACCGGCTCAGCCATCCTTGTTGCTCAGCTTCCTAACCTCAACTCCATCGCTGGAATTTCCCTCATTGGGGCTCTCACCGCCGTGAGCTACTGCACGCTCATCTGGGTGGTTTCCATAACCAAACATAGGCCACTGCCTGCTGTTTCCTATCAGCCGCCGGAACCAAAACCCAATGCAGCAGCAGCCACCGTTTTCAGTGTTCTAAATGCGCTTGGGATAATTACCTTCGCTTTCAGAGGCCACAATCTTGTGCTCGAAATACAGGTATCATTGAATTTAAGAGAAACAATATTGAATTTAAGAGAAACAATAGACGTAATTATATCTATATTTATTATTATCGTTCGTTGACATGCATGCAGGGAACCATGCCTTCGAGCACCAAGAGACCCTCGCGCTTGCCAATGTGGAATGGGGTGAAGTTCGCGTATCTCATCATCGCACTGTGTTTGTTTCCCCTAGCAATTGCCGGCTACTGGGCTTATGGAAATTCGGTAAGAAACAACACAAATCCTTTTGGTTTCTCGGTCCAATATAATCTTTTCTTGACCCGGATTCATTATTTGGATAAATCGAGGTCACTAGGACAAATTATTAACGATTAATTTTATAGATGTAACAGTCGGGTTCTTTCTTTTTGGCAAAATTAAAAACATAAATATAAAAGCGATTATAAATCCTGCTTCCCCAACTAACCAACGTATCGTAATTGTATGGCAGACACCTTCAAATGGGGGGATGCTAAATGCTTTGTACAAATTCCACGGTCATGACACATCAAAGTTTGTCCTGGGATTGACAAGCATGCTCGTTGTGGTGAACAGCCTGAGCTCGTTTCAAATATATGCAATGCCAGTCTTTGACAATCTGGAACTCAGATTTACTAGCTGCATGAACAAACCTTGTCCACGGTGGCTCCGCTCTGGCTTTAGGATCTTTTTCGGCTGCTTTGCCTTTTTTATAGCGGTCGCACTACCATTCTTGCCCAGCTTGGCAGGATTGCTTGGAGGAATTGCCGTACCAATCACCTTGGCATATCCATGCTTCATGTGGATATTGATCAAGAAACCTTGTAAATACAGCGCAATCTTTCACTGGCTACTCGGATCCTTGGGGATTGTCCTTGGCATTTCAATTGTCACTGGTGCAATTTGGAATATAGCGACCATAGGAATACAAGTCCACTTCTTCAAGCCTGAATAAGCAACTACGGCAACAAGAGCACCAAAAAGTCTAGAAATGATATGCTATCAACCAAATGCTATCAATCGGACCTCTTTCACTTGGTCCTAGTGATATTACCATTACCTTGTAAAGAAACAGACCCAACGCTGAATTTAGAGAAGGAAAGCAACAACTTCAACAACTGTTTGGATATCTAAAATAATTGTACTTCATGCTGCATATCCACGCAGCAATAAAAACACTTTGAGCATGCATCTGAATGCCGCAACACTTTGTTTCTCAAGTCATTGTATTGTTTATAAGTAAAACAAACATCATCAATCATCAATGTCTCAGTAGTAATAGCCCCCCACTCACTAAATCTCCCTATCTCGATCAATGAACTTGCTGCCACTCGGATCAGCATCTTACAGAGTAATCACATCCGCTTTTTACTAATATTTCGAAGGTGTGATTACACATTCCAATAACAAAAAAGAGGATATAGACCAAATGCAATTGGCCAATAATTTTCAAGATTTACACCATAAGGTTGGGTAGTATGTGTCATCTAGTATTACATAGATAAGGGAAGAAGCATCCTTCGTTTCTTTTTCCTCGCCAATCTCACTTGCTTGGTAATTTTTATGCACAAAAGCAAAAGCATTGCTATGCATAGTAAGAGAAAAGCAAGTCGCAAATGCCTAAAATATAAAGAAACAGCTGAAAAAACCAAGAAAGCTAGGATTACCAGTTCCCATATTACAAAGAGCACAACATCCACCCTGCATCCACAAGTTGGGGAGAAAAAGGAATATTATCATCAACAATAGCATACCAAAAAGGATTAAAAACAAGCACAAATGAGATAACTCAACCACAAAACTTCCACATGGTTAGCAATGTTATACATGGATTAAAAAGATACCTCAACCCCAGTTCAAACCAAGCTCAATAAGTACAAAAGGCAAGAGTACGATCAAAGACAACATTTGTGCTCAAATGCACACTATCCAAGATAACCCTTTTCCTATTTGTTGGAACTTCGTTTAGAGAATGCAGACAACAATTTGGGAAACTTCCCTCCCTAAAATGAATCAATCATCTGGATATATGTGCATCTAAAGAGGCACCTGAATCCTGATGGCAGACAGCCACTCCCAAGTTTGAAAAACAGGCAGGCACTATACCAACAGAAACTTTTTATCCTCATTATATTTTCCACTTCTATTTCAACTACCGTGATTCTATCCCTTATTTTCTACCATTAGCGTATTAGGAAAATAGATGACATAGCTTCTTCCAGACAACAATTATTTACCACAAAGGAAAATTTCACAAATTCCCAAGTGATTTTATTATTATTATTATTTTTAAAGAAAAAGGAAAGAAATGAAAAAACTATAGACCTAGAGCTATCAATTTATCCGAGCTTCAGCGACAGGGATTTAGGTATCGAAGCTAAAGTTTCGCCTATAAAAGCTTAGCAATTATCAAAGCCAAAATAGATCAAAATCTGATCTAGCTCAAAATGGAGAAGCAAATTTAATGGAACGATAGGTTTCGAATCAAATTGTTAAGAATATAGATCCCACAATCAGACAGCAAAGAAAATAAAAAATCAAAGGTTAAAGGAGAAACGGAAGGGGTAGGCAAACCTTGATAAAGTATGATTAGAGGTGGAGGAGAAGAAGGAGACGGAGGCCCAGTCATGCTTCGATCGAATCTGATACTCTCTCAACTGCTCTGCCAGATTCGATCGCGTTATCATCTCTCTCAACTCAAGGTCAAGCCTGCAGCCCCTTCGCTTTCCTTCTATCTATTTATTTTTATCTCCACAGCAGCTCCCAGGTCCCTCCTCTTCAACAATGGATTTCAACGACGAAAGACAAACGACGAGTATTCGAATCGCTGGGCTTCGTTGCGTCTCCCCGTCCCGTGGACCTCCCCTCTCACTATAACTTTCCTTTTCCTTTCGTTTTTTTTTCCTTTTTGTTCCCTTTTTAAAATTCTCAATTAATTTAAAGATTTTAAAATTAAATTTAGGACGGCTTGGCTGGCTGGGCTGGCTCTTCATCCGGCCCAATTCTATTGCGTTTGGTAACAGATGGGCCTTTCTAAGTTACTTTGAAATTCCAAAAGCCCTAGAGATAGAAATTAGAATCGGCTTAAGTAGGACAGTCCATATCGGAGTGGAGCCAAATGAATGACATACCCACATGGAAACAACGGACCCTTCCGATAATCTTCCTAACGACGTCGTCTTCGACGAGTCATCGCCGGAAACCGACCTAACACTCTCAGGCTCAACCCCTCACGACAATCACCATTCCCAAAACCACTCGTCGGAAAACCCGTCCGCACCTCCCCGAACGACTCTTGATGCTCCGATATCGGACTCTCAAGATGACTCTTCCGAGCCCATCCCCGAAGGCGAAGACTCCCTTCTTGATCAACGAGGCCTTCCAAACCCAGCCGAACCTGGTCCAGCCGAGCCCGGTCCGCCGGCCAAGAGACGTCGTCGCAGGAAGAAGTTCTTTACGGAGCTCAACAGCACTCCGTCGTTGGCCAAGAACCGCCGGACCGACCTCAACAAAGACGTTGACGTAGAAGCCCTAATTGCAATTTCAGTCGGATTTCCGGTCGACTCGCTCACGGAGGAGGAGATCGAGGCAAACGTGGTCCCCACCATTGGCGGCGTTGAGCAAGCCAACTATATCGTCGTGCGGAACCACATTTTGGCTCGGTGGAGGTCCAATGTCTCTTTCTGGTTGACCCGGGAGCTGGCGCTGGAGTCGATTCGCTTGGAGCACAAAGGCCTGGTCGACTCAGCTTACGACTTTCTGGTGGAGCACGGCTACATCAACTTTGGGCTTGCACCGGCGGTTAAAGAAGCCAAATTGAACTCCTTTGATGGGGTCGAGAGGGGCAATGTGGTCATTGTGGGGGCTGGGTTTGGCCGGTTTGGTAGCGGCGAGGCAACTGGTGTTCTTGGGCTTCAAAGTTGTGGTCTTGGAAGGTAGGAACAGGCCTGGTGGGCGCGTGAAGACAAGGAAAATGAAGGGCGAGGGCGTGGAGGCTGCAGCGGATCTCGGTGGGAGTGTCCTCACCGGAATCAATGGAAACCCGTTAGGGGTTTTAGCTAGGCAACTGGGTTTGCCTCTTCATAAGGTGAGGGACATTTGCCCGCTCTATTTACCAGATGGGAAATCAGTGAATTCTGAAATTGATTCTAGGATAGAGGCTTCTTTTAATAAGTTGTTAGATAGAGTGTGTAAGCTAAGGCACGCAATGATCGAGGAAGTTAAGTCCGTAGATGTTTCCTTAGGGACTGCACTTGAAGCTTTTCGACGTGCTTATAGTGTTGCCCAAGACCCGCAGGAGCGTATGCTCTTGGATTGGCATCTGGCTAACTTGGAATATGCAAATGCTTCCTTAATGTCCAATTTGTCCATGGCATATTGGGATCAGGATGATCCCTATGAGATGGGTGGTGACCATTGTTTTATTCCGGGAGGCAATGAGACCTTTGTGCGATCCCTTTCAGAGGGCCTTCCAATCTTCTATGAAAGGACTGTGCAAAGTATTAGGTACGGCTCTGATGGGGTTTTGGTTTACGCAAATGGTCAGGAGTTTCGAGGGGACATGGTTCTTTGCACAGTCCCATTAGGTGTGCTTAAGAAGGGTTCCATTGAATTTGTCCCAGAGCTTCCACAAAGGAAGAAAGATGCAATTCAGAGTTTAGGATTCGGATTATTGAATAAGGTTGCCATACTATTCCCTTATAATTTTTGGGGTGGAGATATTGATACTTTTGGGCATTTGACTGAGGATCCGAGTATGAGAGGTGAGTTCTTTCTGTTTTATAGCTACTCTTCTGTATCAGGAGGGCCTCTTCTGGTTGCTCTTGTTGCTGGAGATGCTGCCATTAAGTTTGAGTTGATGTCTCCTGTGGAGTCTGTGAATAGGGTGTTGGAGATATTAAGGGGTATTTTCAACCCGAAAGGGATTGCTGTTCCAGACCCTATTCAGGCAGTGTGCACTAGGTGGGGGAAGGATGCCTTTGCATATGGTTCTTATTCGTATGTTGCGGTAGGGTCTTCAGGAGATGATTATGATATTCTTGCAGAGAGCATTGGGGATGGGAGAGTGTTCTTTGCCGGAGAGGCCACTAACAAGCAGTATCCAGCAACAATGCATGGAGCCTTACTCAGTGGAATGAGAGAGGCTGCTAATATACTGAGAGTGGCGAAAAGGAGGTCAATTATCCCATCAGAAAAATTAAACAATGTTTATGGGGGGGAAAGCGACAATTTGAATCAATTATTTGACACCCCTGACCTAAAGTTTGGGAACTTCTCTGTTTTGTTTGATCCCAGGTCAAATGAGGTTGATTCTAGTAACTCACTATTGAGGGTGAAATTTGGAGGGAAATATTTGGACGATGGATGTCTCAGTCTCTGTCTGTATGGCTTAATTTCAAGGAATCAAGCCATTAAGCTGAGTGAGGAAGAAGGTGAAGAGAACAGGATGAGAATGTTAAATCAGGAATTTGGGGTGAGGTTGGTTGGGAGGAAAGGTTTAAGTGGTGCCGGGGAATCTCTAATCACCAACATTAGATCAGCAAAATCCAACCTAGAAGATGGAAGAATTCAAAGATGATACTTGTTTACCTGAACATTGAAAAGAAGCTACATCTGTTAGCGGTATCAAGTATGAAAGCAGTACAGTAGGTATACGAACTGGATGGAATTCTTGGTGAACTGATTTGGTAGCTGCTAGTAGAAGTCATTGTTCATGCCAAGAAGAGGAAGAGGGTGTGATTCTGGTTGATGCTTGCGCAATTCAGCATTCTTAAGCAATGCCTTATGCCTTGTGAGTTTGCTTGCCTAACTATTTAACTTGCAAGGGCAAAGCTGATTGTGAGTTAACTTAAAATATATTCATCCTCCCACATTGACTTTGTTGTACACCCTCATCATCAATTTAGTTAGTTGCACTATGATTTGATTTTTTTTTCCCATTATCAATGTAGTTAGTTTGCATTGCAGTATATGTTGCTGCTGTTGTCTTGTCTCTCTCTAACCCCTTGCTTAATCTTAACCGGGCCAAATACTGTCCAACCCAATCCAACACACTGGATCGAATGGCTATTAAGGACCCCTCATTATAAGTTATAAAGCTTCATAATAACCCCTCATTCTAGCCTCCCTGTGACCTTGGGCCAAGAGCGAAGAGAATGGGGATGGCTTGGACTTATTGGATCAGTTGACAGTCCTTATGACTTTGACGAAAAATGTGAGCTTCTGGCCTAATAATAATAATAGTAATTGAGCCAGACCAAATTCCGAAGCCCAATCCAAAGTGTTTTTCTGGAGCCTTTTCCCGTCTGATCTTATATTTGCCATCATTTACTTATTTTTCAAATTCTCTCTTTTAAAAATAATTGCCAAGTGGTAGTCCAGAAAATGTTTTCCCTTATTTTTTATTATTCTTGCGAGCAATCACATCACATAGCCTTTTTAAGTAATTACTTTCAACTGATTCGAAATTAAACTTTGAATACGCCTTGGTGGATAAGGTTGGCCTCTGTGAGCGAGAATGATTCAATGAAATGGGGCCATGTGAATCCAACTTACCATTTAATAGTATCAGGCAGAAAAAATGACAGCCTAGCCATTGGAGAGAAATTCTCACAGATATAATTTGTTGTTATTCCTGGTCAATAACACAATGACATGTAGGATAACTTTTTTATATGTCATTGTGTTATTGACCGGAAATAACAAAACAGTGCTATACCCGTTATATATATAAACAAATTCACCCAATGAGCTACCATTATTCAGACATTTAGACTGACTAACATCCCCAGCCATTGGAGTTTTTATCAATAATAGTTCAAATGTATACCCTCAATTTCATAAATGTCCGTTTTTATAAAAACTTTCAAATATAGACAAAAACCCACTTAAATTGACACAAATACCCTCAAAATTAAATCAAATAACAATGAACTTACAAACCAAATAACTCACAATTATGGTGTTGAATAAAATGCTTATGCCTGGTCGTATGTGATTTTTCCTTTTAATTTCGAACTATATTAATATAATAATATCTCCCTTGCACTCTCTTAAATTAAATAAAATGATTCTGCGTTTGTATTCTTTTGGAACAAAAAAAACCAACATAAGGCAAATATTGTTGGGATTTTGCTGTGTTTGCTTGATATGGGTTCCATTGTTTTTATTGAAGGTTTTTTATTCTTAGATGAGGAAAGTTTTAGATCTACAAAATTCGAGCAAAAACAAAATGGGATTTTGATTTTCTTCATGGTCAATCTTTGAGGTTCTATGTTTGTATTGTGGTGATGATTGAGAAGCAACAAAATTGGGACTTTAGTCTTCATTTGTGGAAAAAAAATTTCCTCTTTTAGTTTTGTTGTTATAGTAATATAGTTAATGTGAAGAGGTTGGTTTTATGGGTAATTATGTTTTAATTTTGAGGGTATTTGTATCAATTTAAGCGGATTTTTGGCACAAATTATGACGTTGGCTCTCCCAATTTAAGGAGACCATAAGCAAGCACCCCTCCTAAGTGCAATGGAGGTCACCTTCCTAGGCCATGGGCCTTCATGATCGCCCATTAACCCCGTCCAGGTAAGTGGATTTTTGGCTATATTTGAAAGTTTTTATAAAAACTGACATTTATGAAATTGAGGTGTAAATTTTGGCTATTATTGATAAAAACTCCTACCATTGGGCTATAGTACACCATTATTATTCCAGTATTTTAAAAATCTTAGGCACTATTTGTGATAAAAGGAAAATGACTTGTCTGCCCATCCAAAAGTTGATTAAAATTAAAGTTTTTCTATTTTAATTTCGCACTTCTCTTTGTTCACCCCATATTTTAAGTTCACCCCAATTTCTAATTTAAATTTTCTCAATTTCTAAGAAAACCCTATTATCTTCCCAAACTATCCCAAGTACAAACCAAAAGAAAAATAAATAAATAACTCAATCTAACACTCCACACCCACATCCAATAGAATAATTTTGTTTATTATGTGCTATTCATAGATGACATTTGGAATGTTGCGAGGTATTTTTGCTTTTCGAGTGTTGTATTAATTTGTTTGAGTTGACAACATGTTATTGGGTGTGGTATTAAGAAGACCAATCCATGACATTGACATCGATTATCCTTTCATTGAGTTTATGCAATGCCTCTTACTTTGGTTTGGAACGTAAACATATTAGTGCAATTATGTACGAATCTTTTTGGATGAAAGTATAGTCGGTTTTATATTAAAAAAGAAAAGTAATTTGGTAATAGTGTGTAAAAGAGTTTGTGTTTTTCTAAAACTTAATATGAAGAGTGTGTGGAATGGGTGTTTCACGTGTGTGTGTGTGTATATACTACGTTAAATATTAAGTTGGATGACCTTTTTTGTCTTTATACACAATAATAAAGCAAAAAAACTTAATAATTTAAGTATTATAATTGACAAGGAAAAGTGTGATGTAAACAGGAGAACAACTCTTGAAATTATTAATGATTATTATTTCTTGATATAGTGATTGATTGAATTCTAGGGGCTGAAACCAAAGCGAAAACGGTACGGCGCTTGTGCGATTTTTCGAGAGTTGTGGCAAGTGGCAACACCAAGACACTCCCAGCCCAGCCCAGCCCATCTTGTTCCAATAGACTATGATATAAATATACTGTACCCCACCCAAAGTGGACCCAACTAAACGTATGCCGATGCCCATTGGTAATTTGCTATGTGCTGCTGGCAACATAACAACCGTCCATCCAACATACTTCAAACCGATGAAAATGAAAAATGGCCCACCATGAAAGCTTACCGTGCACCTACCTACAAGTGGCAAATCTCGAAGACACCCCCCTCCCTGTCCTCTTTCCAACGTAAACTGGCTGCCACGTGGGCCACTCATCACACCGACCTTCTCACATTTATCCAAACAAGGCCGACACTAGAGGGGTCCCACAATTACACCCCTCCCACGTTCATCTGACACGTTGCAGCCATTTATTGGTCCATCGTCTCAGCACTAGCACAATGACTGTACACCGTGTCCTTGTCCTCTCTCTACTGGCATGGCATCTTTTCTACTTTCTTCTTTGGCCTTTTGACTGTTTGGTTTTGCTTATTGATTTGCGTACGAAACAAGCACAACTCGCGCTGGCAACTGGCACATTTACTGTAGAGACATGTGTCGGAAAGATACAGCGAGTGGAAAGCGATTGTGAAATGTTGTGTGGGTACAAATGCTTTTCGATTGATTATGATTGAATGCACCACGTCGGTCGGTTGGACGAAGAAAAAGGGGAAATGGAAATGGTACAGGATTTGGTGTAATTTATCAAAAGAAAAAAAAAATGGTTACAGAGGATTAGGATTTGGGCAGCTACAGCTTAACAGCTCATCTTAAGTGTTAATTATAATAAGTGGTTTTAACTTAATCGCGTCATATCCGCGTTGGGTGCTACTATAAAAGCTCACACCCTCCTCCATAAGCAAAGAACATCAAAGCATATTATAATTCACTTGCTTGCTTATTTATTTCATCATCGTCGTTAGAAACATATATACATAAATATACAGATAAGTATGGCAGAGGAGTACAACAAAAACCAAGATCGTGAGTATGAAGGGAAGGTTGGTGAATATGAGGAGGGATCAGGCGCGCGCGCAGCTGAATGTGGTGAGATCAAGGATCGGGGCTTGTTTGATTTCCTGGGGAAGAAAGAGGCGGAGAAGCCTCAGGAGGAGGTGATCGTCACTGAGTTTGAGAAGGTCAAAGTGTCTGATCACGAGGCACCTCATCCTCATCATCATGAACCAGAGTCATACAAAGTAGAACAAGCGGAGGATAAGGAGAAGAAGCACTGTAGTCTTTTGGAGAAGCTTCACCGATCCGACAGCAGCTCTAGCTCTGTAAGTTTTTTTACTCGATCATTAACTTATATTATATACATGTGTGTATAGTTATTTGCAAGATGTTCCATTCCATGTGGCATTCATGATTTGGCAGATGATCTCCTTCTGCATATGCCACCTGTATCTCAAAACGACTAATTAATTGTCAAGTGTTCTTTAGGTTTTCCTTTTCTAGATAGATAGATAGTAACCTAATTAATTATATAATTAAAGTTGTTTGAACTGATTGAAATATTATCTAATGAATATGCAGTCGAGCGATGAAGAGGAAGGTGAAGGAGAAGAGAAAAAGAAGAAGAAGAAAGAAAAGAAGGGATTGAAGGAGAAGATCCCCGGTGATCATGATCAGAAGGTGGAGGACACATCCGTCCCAGTGGAGAAGATCTACGAGGAGCCAACTCATGAAGAAAAGAAAGAGGAAGAGAAGAAGGGTTTCCTTGAGAAAATAAAGGAAAAGATACCAGGGCAGCAGAAGAAAGAAGAGATTCCAGCTTCGTATGATGATCAGCAGTGTCATGATCAGCATGCTGACCCTGCAGCAGTAGGTTGCGAGCCCAAGGAGAAGAAGGGTATCTTGGAGAAGATCAAGGAAAAGATTCCTGGTTACCACCCTAAGACGGAGGAAGAAAAGGAGGCCATCAAGGAGAAGGAGAAGGAAAAGGAAACGTCTTCCTATTAAATTAATGAAGAAAAACCACTTATACAAACCTGTGTTTATGTGATTGTGTGTGGCTTTTTCTGATGAGTGGGTTTATTTGCATTTCTTCTTTTGAGTTTGAGAGATAAGTATGTGTTATATGTGCTTATTATTGTTTTCATGCTTGTTTAGGACTTCCAAGTCCACACTACTGTAGCTACTATTTGCATTTGCTTCTTTAATTTCTATGTGATATTTAAACATTGTTCATTAATAATAATTGTTTCTGCCTTTGTACCTATTTTCTTCGTATATATATAATGAATACAAATGTGGATCAATTCAAGGGTGAAATATGTATTGATGCAACTCATGATCATGAAGATGTGTACTTCACTGAACCAACATTTTCCTAATAATCAGAAAGATAATGTATTCAATATCATGTGTGAAGTTCAAGAGTAACATGCGTTATGGAGTCGCAAGAAGTGATGCTTTTATTAAACACCGTAAGAGTATACGGCGGAAAGAATGACAACCTCTTTTGTTTTTATTTTCTTATTTACTTTTAAAAGCATAGATGAATGATCCCACAAAATGGGGAAAGATTCATGGATTTACTCTTTAGCTTTGTTTATTGTGGTAGGGCTGCACAGTCATAATAGCCTTTGCTTTTTATTACTTCATTCAATTTGACCAAAATATCAAGCTGACGACCGTTTGGAAAATGATCCGTTCGATTCGAGGCTGACACTTCCCTCCTATTTGCCCTTGCAACCTTTAGAAACTTGGGATGATCACTGAATGCATTTGTGTCGAGTATGTCTATGAAATCAATTAATTTAATTATATTATAGTTTGCACGTCTCTCTACAAGACCCTGAACGTTTTATAGGGAAAAAATCCACACCCAAAAAAAGAAAAGAAGCGTCTCCATGAAGGACGAAGCCCGCAATCATAGGCATTGAACAAAAGGAGTAGTGACCGAAACAATCTCATGGATGACAGTATTGGTGCGGTGGTCTAGTCCATGCCAAGCTTTTTGACGATGAACATTGCTACTACAATAATGTATTAGAGGTGGACCGTGATAGTCTAAACTGTAGAAGGAATGAGATTTCACTCATACTACCAATGTGATATGTGGGTTCGAATTTAAACCACTCGTCCCGTAAATCAATGTATTTTTCTATTAGACTAGACCCAATGGGAGAACTACAGCCACCACTGTGGTGGGCTGTAGCCTAAGAAAGCTTTGAAGAAAAAAATATTACCTACATCTATATGGCCCACCAAGTTTGCTGCCTTTTGCTTTGATCTATTCCTCCAATCAAATTGAGCGAATCATGCAATTGCTTAGTAGCCTTGGTTTTGTTTTTTTCCCCTCGAAGCATGCAACCTTTTGCTTTTTTTTGGCTGGCAAAGTCAATAATTGTTTTTTCCACCAAAATAAAAGGGAAAGCTTCTTAATGTTGTACTCGATAAAAACTCTCACAAGTCTTTTAACCCATAATTACAGATGACAATAGGTAATTAAAACTCATAAGTGGGAAGATATTTTCAAAACGAAACAGTAACCTAATTATATTCTTCTTGTGTTCACAACTAATATATATGTGAAACTTAATTATTTGTATTTTTTTCACTTTGCATTTGTCTTGGTTGATGCCAAGAAACAAGAAACGTGAATAAGTACACTTTCAATTATATTGCTGAACACATTAATTTTGATAATGTGTATTTTTTGGGTTACATTTAATATGTATTTGCCTTATAAGGTTTATTGAAAATTAGTCAATGAAAAAAAAAAGTCATTAGAGTTTAAACTAAAAAATTTAGCTAACTCACCCATAAAAAATTCATGGTTCCATCCTTGACTAGACCCCGTTTACAAACATTATCATATCTTAAAATGCCTAAATTTAATAATTTTGTTGAATGCTTAGACTTCACAACTAATGACAACGAATGAAATTTATCCTTTTATTTTCTATTTTTTATAGAATATAAAATGACGGACACATATGATTGCCTACCAAGGGAAAGTTATGGTAAGCACCATTTGTTGATGCACACTCATTTCGGTGAGTGGCCGTGGGGACAGATTCAAATATCCATTATACATGGCATGGTCGACTCACTTTCATGTGGCTTAAAGATTCACCATATAAGTTAGTGCAGAAGCATGCAATAGCAATAGGGTGTCGATAAAAATTTCCACGCAACCAAATCAGATATCATATATGTGCTTAAATGGCGGCTGAAGGCACCCAAAGCCCACAAAAATGGACAAGACCAAACCTTGTCCATCTCATCTCTCTTGCATGCGGCGGAGCAACCAAGAAGAGATGCTCTTGTGCCAACTTGGACTCCAAAAACTATAAACTACCCCACACTTTTGTTTTGGGTTGATTGAAACAAGCCAGCCATGGAAGTGATCACTACATACTAAGAGAAGAGAATTCAGCGCCCAACAAAAATAAATATATAAATTCTACACTGTATCGACCAAGCTTCATATATATAAGATATATATACAGCTCTATGGTCATAAGTTTAATTTGAGATCAAACATGAAGACGAGAAGCAAAATTCAAGAGCAGCACTCATCTCTTCTTTCATCACTTATTATTATGATTATTGTGGGTGTAGGTGTAATTAGGAGATGCAATGGCGAAGGGTATTTGATTGGAGTGGGAAGCTATGACATGACTGGGCCAGCAGCCGGGGTGAACATGATGGGTTATGCCAACATGGACCAGTCGACTGCTGGTGTACATTTCCGACTCAGGGCAAGGACCTTCATCGTCGCCGAGAGTTCCCAAGGACCGAGGTTTGCCTTTGTTAATCTGGACGCTGGGATGGCTTCACAACTCGTTAACATTAAAGTGCTGGACAAACTCAAATCAAGGTGTATATACTATAGTATACTTTCAGCTACTTCCTAGTCACGTATGTTGATATTAATTAATGTTCCCATTTATTTATATAAATTTGATTTGGAAGGTTTGGAGATTTGTATACGGAAGAAAATGTGGCGATTAGTGGGATTCACACTCACGCTGGACCAGGGGGTTATCTGCAGTATCTGGTTTACTCTATAACATCTTTGGGGTTTGTCCAACAATCCTTCGATGCCATTGTGAATGCAATTGAGCAGAGCATTGTTCAGGCTCATCACAACCTCAAGCCTGGTTCTGTTTTCATCAACAAAGGTGAGCACCATTGACCCCCCCCACCCCCACCACCATGGCACCCCCCACACCCAAGTTTTACTCTCTTTTTTTCTGAATTGACTTGAATTGAATTGAGTTGATTTTTATGGGTTTACAGGGGATGTGGTAAACGCTGGAATAAACAGGAGCCCAAGTGCTTATCTGCTAAACCCGGCGGAGGAGAGAGCCAGGTATCCAAGCAACGTTGACACCCTCATGACTCTGTTGAAGTTTGTGGATGATGCAAGCGGGAAGAGCGTTGGAGCTTTCAGCTGGTTTGCCACCCACGGAACCTCCATGAGCAAAAACAACCTCCTCATCAGTGGAGACAACAAAGGTGCCGCTGCTCGATTCTTCGAGGACTGGTTCTCCTCCTCTTCCTCCTCGTCTACTACTAGCTCCGACTCTTCCTCTACCACACCAGCTGGTAATTACTATGTATTATTATTGTTAGTAAATTAGTAGCCTTGTAATTATATAAGCTGTATAAGTGATTCATGAGTGTATCCATTAATTAATGCAGATAGTAGCGCCTCACTATTATCACTAATAAAGAAGGCGCAAAGCATGAAAGCCACGGGAGGAAAGCTCTGCGGTAAAAGAAGCAGCCGAGAGTCTAAGGTGAGGAAGAACAACGGGTCGCTGTTCGTGGGAGCTTTTTGCCAATCAAATGTTGGGGATGTGACCCCAAATGTGCTTGGAGCTTTTTGCACCGATTCTGGAAGACCCTGCGACTTCAATCACTCCTCCTGTCATGGGAACGACCTGCTTTGCCTGGGGCGTGGACCTGGCTACCCAGATGAAATACTCAGCACCAAAATTATAGGGGAGAGACAGTTTCAAAAGGCCGCTCATCTATTCACGACGGCTACACAGCAACTCACCGGGACTATTGACTATCGCCACGTGTACCTTAACTTCACCGATATTGAGGTTGAATTATTAGATAGAAACGAGAAAGTTAAAACATGCCCCGCTGCGCTCGGTCCTGGTTTTGCTGCCGGGACTACGGATGGACCCGGTGCCTTCGGCTTCCAGCAAGGCGATACAAAGGTCAGCATCAGCAGCAGCAACAGCACTTTTGGCCTAAACCACTTTACTTTTTGGTCTTGTCTTGTATTGCTACATCTTAACCAATCCTCTGTTTATCAGATCAATGAGTTGTGGAGAAAACTGAGGGATGCTTTAAAAAAACCTACCCCATATCAAGTCGACTGCCAAAAGCCCAAGACAGTTCTGCTCGACACTGGCGAAATGTTTGTACCTTATGCATGGGCGGTAAGACAGGAGTTTTGCCTGTTACTTGCGTTGTTGGGGGAAAACCAATTGGATTTTCTTTTCAGACATAATATTCATTTATTAAGAATTACAACTACTTACTTAGAAACTAGGGATTAATATTAATATTGTAGCATTAGCATAGCAGGCAGGCTGACAAACACTCTCTAATTACGGTTCAAATGTTATGAATGCAGCCTGCAATCCTTCCTATTCAAATGCTCAGATTGGGGAAGCTGATCATACTTTCTGTCCCAGGAGGTTAGTACTCTGTCACTTTAATTAATTTCACAACCCACTACAACTTCATACCTGTCTGTCTTAATTGCATGTGCGCTATTCACTGCTCAATGCAACCACTGCTTCCCATAACTAGTAATTCTTTGGGTCTCGGCTCGGCAAAAGAGCCGACATTAACCAAGATAGCAAGCCCATTTTCTCCAAATAACTATACATTCAAGGAAACCTCAACCCCACCCCATTTACCTAGCTCAGCATCTAGTTCCTATGAACTCGTCTTGATAGGGCAGGACAGCACTCTCAGTCCAA